CTTTTAACATGGGGCCATAGTCCAAAGGCAGCAGGCGAGCAACCAGGCTTCTCCAATGCAATGTGGCGAGATTGGTCTCTTCACAATGAACATCGTCTCGTGGTGCTTGAGGACGCCAGGCGGGCTTCCCATATTAAAATCAGGGGAGTCCGAGAGGACATTACTGAGGTCGAACTGCCTAAACTAATACAGCGCATGTTACTAGAAATACTGCCACAAAGACAGCATGCCACAATCACCCCAGAAGGGGTCTTCAGAGTCCCCAAACATGGCCACGAGAGATGTCATCCTGACCCTCCGCAATAGCGGACATAAGGCGGCGATCCTGTCTGCCCTCCGAAGCAGGACCCCCTTCCAATTCGAAAACAAGGACATAGAAACATCGAGACATAGAATCTGATGGCAGATAAGAACCATTCAGCCCATCTAGTCTGCCCAATTTTCTAAATACTTCCATTAGTTCCTGGCCTTATCTTATAGTTAGGATAGCCTTATGCCTATCCCACGCATGCTTAAACTCCTTTACTGTGTTAACCTCTACCACTCCAGCTGGAAGGCTTTTCCATGCATCCACTACCCTCTCAGTAAAGTAATACTTCCTGATATTATTTTTAAACCTTTGTCCCTCTAATTTAAGACTATGTCCTCTTGTTGTGGTAGTTTTTCTTCTTTTAAATATAGTCTCCTCCTTTACTGTGTAGATTCCCTTTATGTATTTAAATGTTTCTATCATATCCCCCCGTCTCATCTTTCCTCCAAGCTATACATGTTAAGATCCTTTAACCTTTCCTGGTAAGTCTTATCCCGCAATCCATGAACCCGTTTAGTAGCCCTTCTATGAACCCTCTCTAAGGTATCAATATCCTTCTGAAGATACGGTCTCCAGTACTGTGTACAATACTCCAAGTGAGGTCTCACCAGTATTCTGTACAATGGCATGTAGCCTCTTTCTACTGCTAATACCTCTCCCTATACAACCAAGGATTCTGCTAGCATTTCCTGCTGCTCTATTACATTGTCTGTCTTCCTTTAAGTCATCAGAAATAATCATCCCTAAATCCCTTTCCTCAGATGTTGAGGTTAGGACTCTATCAAATATTCTGTACTCTGCCCTTGGGTTTTTACATCCAAGATGCATTATCTTGCACTTATCCACATTAAATGTCAGTTGCCACAATTCTGACCATTTTTCTAGTTTACCTAAATCATTTGCCATTTGGCTTATTCCTCCTGGAACATCAACCCTGTTACATATCTTAGGATCATCAGCAAAAAGACATACCTTACCATCAAGATCTTCTGCAATATCACTAATAAAAATATTAAAGAGAATGGGTCCAAGTACAGATCCCTGAGGTGCCCCACTGGTGACAAGTCCAAGCTTCGAATATATTCCATTAACTACAACCCTCTGTTGCCTGTCACTCAGCCACTGCCTTACCAATTCAACAATATTGGAATCCAAACTTAAAGATCGCACTCTACTCACTCTACTCGGACCTACTGGCGCAAATCGCTAAGGCCGCTCACCTTAATGCTCTGTGCCCACAAGATAGACTACTGCTGGTGGCCTCCCAGGACAAGGACAGCCCAGACACACTGGGTCACTTACAGACACGAGACACGCACCCAGCCAGCAACTGGAACATTCAAAGGCCCACCGGAACGGTAGGTAACATATTCCCTCACTGCCTTATACCAAAGGCAGACAAGTCCCCCCTCGCAGGCATCGGTTAAAGCACCCAACTGACAGACAGCAGGAACTCCACAGACCTAACATTCTCACAGCCCGATATCCCGCCAGCACCATATTCTGGGTCGGACTCTGACTCCAACTTTTACTTTTGTCCAGTGGTCAACACAGAGAACTGGCTGCCTCCTGTCCCCCATAGGGGTGTCTTTCACAAAGCTGATCTATGCTAATCCACAATTGCAAGAAAAAAGTATGTGAACCCTTTGGAATGATATGGATTTCTGCATAAATTGGTCATAAAATGTGATCTGATCATCATCTAAGTCACAACAATAGACAATCACAGTCTGCTTAAACTAATAACACACAAAGAATGAAATCTTGCCATGTTTTTATTGAACATACCATGTAAACATTCACAGTGCAGGTGGAAAAAGTATGTGAACCCTTGGATTTAATAACTGGTTGAACCTCCTTTGGCATCAATAACTTCAACCAAATGTTTCCTGTAGTTGCAGATCAAACGTGCACAACGGTCAGGAGCAATTCTTGACCATTCCTCTTTACAGAACTGTTTCAGTTTAGCAATATTCTTGGGATGTCTGGTGTGAATCGCTTTCTTGAGGTCATGCCACAGCATCTCAATCTGGTTGAGGTCAGGACTCTGACTGGGCCACTTCAGAAGGTGTATTTTCTTCTGTTTAAGGCATTCTGTTGTTGATTTACTTCTATGCTTTGGGTCATTGTCCTGTTGCAACACCCATCTTCTGTTGAGCTTCAGCTGGTAGACAGATGGCCTTACGTTCTCCTGCAAAATGTCTTGATAAACTTGGGAATTCATTTTTCCTTTGATGATAGCAATCCGTCCAGGCCCTGACGCAGCAAAGCATCCCCAAACCATGATGCCCCCACCACCATACTTCACAGTTGGGATGAGGTTTTGATGTTGGTGTGCTGTGCCTTTTTTTGCCACACATAGTGTTGTATGTTTCTTCCAAACAACTCAATTTTGGTATCATCTGTCCACAGAATATTTTGCCAGTACTTCTGTAGAACATCCAGGTGCTCTTATGCAAACTGTAAACGTGCAGCAATGTTTTGTTTGGACAGCAGTGGCTTCCTCTGTGGTATCCTCCCAGGAAATCCATTCTTGTTTAGTGTTTTACGTATTGTAGATTTGCTAACATGGATGTTAGCATTTGCCAGTGACTTTTGTAAGTCTTTAGCTTTTGTTAGTCTTTAGGATTCTTCTTCACCTCATTGAGCAGTCTGCGCTGTGCTCTTGCAGTCTTTACAGGACGGCCACTCCTAGGGAGAGTAGCAGCAGTGCTGATCCTTCTCCATTTATAGACAATTTGTCTTACCGTGGACTGATGAACAGCAAGGCTTTTGGAGATACTTTTAAAACCCTTTCCAGCTTTATGCAAGTCAATAATTCTTAATCGTAGGTCTTCTGAGAGCTCTTTTGTGTAAAGCATCATTCACATCAGGCAATGCTTCTTGTGAAAAGCAAACCCAGAACTGGTGTGTGTTCTTTATAGGGCAGGGCAGCTGTAACCAACACCTCCAATCTCATCTCATTGATTGGACTCCAGTTGGCTGACATTTAGCTCTTGGAGATGTCTAGGGATTCACATACGTTTTCCACCAGCACTATGAATGTTTACATGGTGTGTTCAATAAAAACATGGCAACATGTCATTCTTTGTGTGTTATTAGTATAAGCAGACTGTGATTGTCTATTGTTGTGACTTAGATGATGATCAGATCACATTTTATGACCAATTTGTGCAGAAATCCATATCAGTCCAAAGAGTTCACATACTTTTTCTTGCAACTGTATGTCCCCAGTTGTACCTTGTTTGGTAACATGTAACACCTCATGTATTTACTAACCTAGTCTGATAGCTCTGCCTAGCCTGCTACATGTGGCAACCCACTATTTGCCCCACTATACTAGCTTGACACCAAACTTTGTTCACCAGGACTAGCATAACGTTTTTGTTTCTAGCTAGTCTTAACTTCCGTGGCAACCCAAGCTTGTTTAGAACTAAAATTTTTGGTTTATGTTTACAATTTAAAATGTGCTATCGGGGCCTTAAGCGTACACCTATAATCTTATACGCTGGTCTCTAGGATACCAGTAACACACTACTACCAGCATGTACCCAGCCTATTAAACACAAGACACACGCTTGTACTACACTACAGCTAAACTGTACCCAGCCTATTCCACACAAGACACACGCTTGTACTACACTACAGCTAAATTGTACCAAGCCTGTTAACACAAGCATACCATACACTACTACTAACATGTACCCAGCTTGTTTTACACAAGACACTAGCCTGTACTATATTACGGTCACTCATCTACACTAGAATACTTAATTGAAACCCATCAGTTATACTAAGCATGTTTTAAAACAAAAACAAAAAATGTGTGCAATTGCTCATGCCACGGTCTAAACTGTCTATTTATTTGCACACTGTTGTGGCGTTTGACTGTGTGATGTACCCACCTGCACAATAAAAAAAAATAAAAAATAAAAAAATAAAAAAGGAGTATCTATAAAACGTGGTTGAATAAGTTATAAGGCTTGGAAACATTAGTTATAATATAATGCATACAATGTATAGCTTGGAGGAAAGACGAGACAGGGGGGATATGATAGAAACATTTAAATATATAAAGGGAATCAACACAGTAAAGGAGGAGACTATATTTAAAAGAAGAAAAACTACCACAACAAGAGGACATAGTCTTAAATTAGAGGGACAAAGGTTTAAAAATAATATCAGGAAGTATTACTTTACTGAGAGGGTAGTGGATGCATGGAATAGCCTTCCAGCTGGAGTGGTAGAGGTTAACACAGTAAAGGAGTTTAAGCATGCGTGGGATAGGCATAAGGCTATCCTAACTATAAGATAAGACTAGGGAGTAATGAAAGTATTTAGAAAATTGGGCAGACTAGATGGGCCGAATGGTTCTTATCTGCCGTCACATTCTATGTTTCTATGTATAAGATATACATTTATGAAGTTTCTCCTGCTCTGATATGTATGTATTGTCGGTGTAATGTGATGTAAATGTCATGTCTGTAATTGTTGTATGGTCCTGAAAATGAATATAGTAATTATTTTATTCAATTACTATGGATGAATGTATAAAGGAAATATTATTACCTTTTTATTAAGGATCATTGTATATGGTGTATGTATATGTATTTTATATGATAAAACTAAATAAAGAAATATAATTAAAACACAATGGTGATATATTAAAAATCCAGACATAAATAGTTGTATGCATTTTATTTGTTTTAAAGAAGCATCATTGTTAATACATATTGCACAGACACAGGTCACATTCATACAATCAATAAGTGCATGTAAATACAAATACCAGGTATGTTTTTAAAAAAAAAATTAAAAAAAATTAACATAATGATTGCTTCTTTCATAGGAGAAAAATATACATGGAGGATATCACATATTATTTAAAAGGTACACTGCTTTCTCTCTATGAGACTTACTGTGAAACAATATTTCTAGTTGTACACACTCTGCAATATAAATACAAAAAGAAAAGTCCTGCGCTCATTCCAATCACTCCTGGGCGGCAGCAACGATCACAGTACACATCAGCCAAAATATATATAGTAAAAACCAAAGAAAAAAGTTACCTGCGCTCTCTCCTTAATCCCAATGTATATTTAAAAAAATTGAGGTCATTAAGTTACTCCAATGGCCACTGGAGGGAATGCCCGCCTGCCAACGTCAAGGAAGACCCCCCCTAGACAGGTCCTACTCTGACCCTTCAGCTTGCTTCCTTGAGCTTCTGGCAAAGATATCTCTGAGACAGAAAGGGGTATTTTTTTATATACACCCCTATATACTTATTAACCCTTAATAGGGAACACATGGGATCGGCGGCAGCATTGTAACCTAGCTGTGTGATACAAATACAAAGAGAAAAGTCCTGCGCTCACTCCTGGGCGGCAGCAACTACCACATCAGCCAAAATACATATAGTAAAAATAAAAAAAGTTACCTGCGCTCTCTCCTTAATCCCTATGTATATTTAAACAAATGGAGGTCATTTAGTTACTCCAATGGCCACTGGAGGGGAGATATCTTTGCCAGAAGCTCAAGGAAGCAAGCTGAAGGGTCAGAGTAGGACCCAAGACTGTCACAGCATTTGACAGCATCTGCAATGCCTTTTAGGACCAGTTAAGGCAACATGCAAATCTTGCTTTGAAGCCAGCATCTGCAATACGAGCTTATCCTTTGCAAGAGAGGCCGGTTGGGCCCAGTAAAGGACACCCTCGGTCGCATTGGAGCCCTTCAGATCACCCAGAGAAGTGTGATGCCAGGAGTGGGGAATCCCGCTTCTATCGACTTTCCTATGCTCTGAGAGGGAGACGGGCAGGTTGTTTGAGAGGCGCGTTGCATCAGAGGCAGCTTGCCAATCATGAGGGGAATTGGTCTGGGGCATACTTTTTTCCTGATGCCATTGCTTGACAGAGGCTAAGGCCACCTGACTCACTGGGACGCATGGAGGAGGTCTCCCTTAGCTCCACCTGGCACATCGCTGGTAGCAGCATCATGACGAGGCATCAGTTAAGTGTCTTGCCATGCAAGGTGCTTTACTGGGACTACTATTATATGCAAATTGTTCCTAGTGCTGTCTTGTGAAACACAGGAGTTTAGGCGCCAACGCTCAGTCTTAATAGATTTGGCTACAATTTATATATAATCTTGTTATTATATCAGTGTCCACACTCACACTAAGTTTATTAGCTATTGTTTTGTTTTGTCTATTGTTGGGATATGTCTGCCTACTCTGCCATTTATTATAGCTAATGTAGACCTAGCTTGTTCTGTTTATTCTGCATTACATCATAAAAATGTGCAGTGTTATCGAAAGCCATACAATTGTCTGTCTATGTCTATTGAAATGCTTGCTCTAGCTGTTGTGGCATTGCAAGCCTGTTTGTATTATCTATGCACAACTAAAATAAAGAGTTCAAAAAATAAAAAAAACTGTGCATTGGTATCTTCATGGAATGGGTTGCCATGGCCAAGCAGTTGCATGCAAACCTCACATCACTAAGTACAATGCCAAGTGTCGGATTGAGTGCTGTAAAGCATGCCACTTCTGGCCTCTTGGACCAGTGTTAATGTGTTTTGTGATGTGGTGAATCAAGCTTCTCTGTTTGGCAGTCTAATTGGAGAGTTTAGGTTTGACGAATGTCAAGAGACCGTTACCTACCTGACTGCACTTTAGAAAATAGGATGATGTACATCTTACTTTTGAGGTCAATTCATCCATGACAAAGTTCTCCTCAATTTTAGAAAGCACAACTGGCAGCAACGACAGCTCCATTTTCAACCAGCCTGCCACCAAAACTCTTCTAGCCCCCAGAGAAATTAAATTAAGTAGTTTTTGAGAAAGTTTAGTCATCCCGTCAATCTAAAGAGAGAGCAGAAACACCGAAGTAGAAAGCACAACCGGCCTCTGGAGGACCCCTGAAACGAGATCAGTCACTCCCTTCTGAAACTCCTGTAGCTTAGGACAATCCCACCACATATGGAGGTATGTAACTCTGTGACTATACAAGTGCCAACAGAGATTGGTCTGATTCCTCCCAATCCTATGTCAAAGTAACTCAGATCTTTTTGGTGGCACATTTTTTCTGCTTCCAACACATGAAATTCAAGAAATGCTGGCACTTGCAGCCTAAAATATGTAATAAAACTGGGGTTACATGCAAGCGAAACACAATTTTAAACATTTGTTTTTGGGATAGAACGCATACTGAGGTCTTAGATCCGGAGTGGGGAACCTTTGGCCCTCCAGACCCCTGTCTTAGATGCAGCCTCCTAAATTCCCTCCCACTCTCTAGGGCAGGCTTCCCCAAATTCCAGCCCTTCAGATGTTACTTAACTACAACTCCCATGATTCTTAGCCTATCTATTTCAGTCATAAAATCAATGGAGTTGTAGTTCCGCAACATCTGGAGGGCCGGAGTTTGGGGAAGCCTGCTCTAGGGTGTCACAAAGATCCGCCTCTCAGTGATCTACATATGGTCCCCATACCTAAGGCTATGCACATGGATTTGTATATACAAGGGATATAAGGCCCTTTTTTATATTCTCACACATTACATGCTCAAATTATATTGGGGGGGACATATAGGGTTGCCATTAGGCTGCCTCCTAAATGCCAGAAGAAAAAGCAAAGTTCAGTATCTGAAAAAATCCTTGGTGTTCAATTGAGTCTTGTGAAGGGTAATTTTAATGCTTCAGCATACCAAGACATTTTGGACAATGCTTATGTTTCCAACTTTGTGGGAACCGTTTGGGGAAGTCCCTTTTATATCCATCATTATGTTGGCACAAGGCCAGGGCTTTCTGTCCAACATCAGTGCCTGACCTCACAAAATCCCACAGATTCACTGTAGAACCTTGTGGAAAGCCTTCCCAAAAGAGTGAAAGCTGTTATAGCTGCAATTTGTGTAGCGGTTATTAATGTATATGTATTATGAATGCAATGTCATAAAAGCCCCTGTTGGTGTAATGGTCAGGTGTCCCAATACCTTTGTCCATATAGTGTATATCTGATACCCTTTTATTTCATATATATAGTGAGGGGAAGAAGTATTTGATCCCCTGCTGATTTTTAACTTTTGTCCACTGACAAAGAAATAATCAGTCTATAATTTTAATGGTAGGTGTATTTTAACAGTGAGAGACTGAATAACAAAACAAAAAACCCAGAAAAACGCATGTCGCAAAAGTTAAATTGATTTGCATATACAAAAAAAGATAAAAATAAATTATATATAAACATCCAAAGTTCCTTGCACTCATGCTTTCAATGTTTTTTTTAATGCCGGGTGCACAATGCCTGGGCTCCAAATAATGTAGATAGCAATGAAGTTGGCCACACTCCAGTCTTTGAAACTTCAGTTCTTTAATAAATCAATTTTAAAATGATATATATATATATATATATAGTTATCAATGCATCTCTATGAGGAAAATCCAGCGTCTCCACTGAAAGGCAGTGTTTAAAAAGAAATGCCTGAAGGGAGCTATTATCCCCTTAAAGACAGAGCTTCAGAAGATTGTCTTTCACTTAATGACAACAGCATTTTTTTTCATTTTTTGCTATTTGTGTTCAACTGCAATTTGCATTTTACTAATTTATTGCACCGACACATATTATATATTGTTTTTATAGGATAGAAAGGGCTTTAATTTGATGTAAGACATATTATAATATAATATTAACCCCTAGTTAGCCTAACACCAAATCCCCCAATTCCCCACTAACTTCCACACACCCCAGCTAGCTAAACATATCATTTTAAAATATTTAAATTAATTAAATAAATTTAACCCCTGAGGGTTAAAAAAAAAGAATTAACCCTCAGGGGTTAAAAAAATAAATCAGATGACAGTAAAATGTAATCCCTGCCAATTGATCACTGTAGTCAGTGATCAATTGGCAGGGAAGGGGTTAATTTTTAATCAAAATGAGTACAGGGATTTTAAATAAACTTTATTAATTTTTTTAACAGGGAGCAGGATCATTACTGATCCGTCTCCCTGCACTTCACACAGAACCAGGAAGTGCAGGGAGGCGGAAGGGAAGTATACTACGCACATGTGCTGGGAATCACTATCGGGTGCTCCCGATAGTGATCCGGGGTTAATTTTAACGGGTGACCGACAAGGTCCGTCACTCGTCGTTATGGCAATCCCCTGAGTGACGGACCTTGTCTGTCACTCGTGGTTAAGGGGTTACACTCACTAAGCTTTAGTTGTTCTGGTGACTATATTGTCCATTTAATCTTAAAAGAACACCCCAATTACCATAATCACTAAAGTAACCTGATCACTGCAGGAGTGACCTGGCACAATCCCACATTGTAAATACTCAAACCATTTTAGAAAAGTGACAGGTACCACTCCCTGCATCCACTACTTCAGGCAAAGAGTCAGAATTTTTTGTCTGTGCTAAGCCCGGTGGCACAGGGTGCACTCACTGGCGGATCCAGGGGGGGCAACGGGGCAATTGCCGCCCCCCTTCCCCCGAGAATCTGAGGTTCTCCCTCTCCCTCCAGGTCCTTCTCCTGCGAGCACGGAGCGTTACCACGGCAAGACCGGGGCTAGAGTTCACTCTCACCACATGGACCACCAGGGGTTCCTCACCGGACCACCAGGGATTGAGAAATGTCCCCCCTCGTCCCTAAACAAAGGTAAGAACGGAGGGGGGACATTATGTATATTTTAAATAAAAATAATAATTTTATCAAATTAAAAAAAAAAACATTAAAAAAGCCCCCACCCTTATCACACACATACCCTACACACACACACTGCCCCCACACACACACATTGCCCCCCTACATACATAGACTGCCCCATACACACACACTGCCCCCACACACACAAACTTCCCCCCATACACATATTGCCCCCCACTCACACTGCAACGCACACACACACTGCCATCCTCACGTACACACTGCAACTTTCACACACACACACACTGCTCACGCAGTCCTTCTTACACAAACACACACACACTGCACCCCTGCTCCTATGCCCTACTACAGCCCCATTTCCAAGCAGACCTCAGGTAAGTTGTCAAACTGTTCTTAAACGGTTTGACTACTTACTTTGGGAGGGGGTCCCGGCACTACTAGCACCATAACCACTACATTGAGCTGTAGTGGGTATTGTGTCTGGATTATTTCTCTAAATAATCTGCAAGTGCCCCTCCCAAGGTCAGGCTCTGGATCCGCCACTGGGTGCACTGCATTGCTTAGGAGAGCGAGTAGAAAATCCTATATATATATATATATGTATATATATAGTATCTCATAAAAAGTAAGAACACCCCTCACATTTTTCTAAATATTTTATATCTTTTCATGTGCCAACACTGTAGAAATGACACTCTGCTACAATGTAGTAGTAAGTGCACAGCCTGTATAGCAGTGTACATTTGCTGTCCCCTTAAAATAACAACACACAGCCATTAATGTCTAAACCATTGGCAACAGAAATGAGTACACCACTAAATGGAAATGTTCAGATTGGGCCCAATTAGCCAATTTCCCTCCCCGGTGACATGTGATTTGTTAGTGTTACAAGGTCTCAGGTGTGAATGGGGAGCAGGTGTGTTAAATTTGGTGTTATCACTCTCACACTCTCTCATACTGGTCACTGGAAGTTCAACATGGCACCTCATGGCAAAGAACTCTCTGAGGATCTGAAAAAAAGAATTGTTGCTCTACATAAAGATGGCCTAGGCTATAAGAAGAGTGCCAAGACCCTGAAACTGAGTTGCAGCACGGTGGGCAAGACCATACAGCGGTTTCACAGGACAGGTTCCACTCAGAAGTTGAGTGCACGTGCTCAGCGTCATATCCAGAGGTTGTCTTTGGGAAATAGATGTATGAGGGCTGCCAGCATTGCTGCATAGGTTGAAGGGGTGGGGGGTCAGCCTGTCAGTGCTCAGACCATACACCGCACACTGCATCAAATTGGTCTGCATGGCTGTCATCCCAGAAGGTAGCCTCTTCTAAAAATGATGCACAAGAAAGCCTGCAAACAGTTTGCTGAAGACAAGCAGACTAAGTGTCAGGATTACAGTATGATCCAGCATGTAGAATTGTGTAACACAGAGGACTGATAGGTAACATATACTGGACCTAAGAATGGCCGGACTAACGTAGCAAAGAATAGTCAGGAATAGCCGAGGTCAAAGGAGACAGAAAGAGACACAACAATAAGGAAAAGCCAGGGGTCAGGGATGCCAGAAAACAGGGATGTCAAAATCAATGTCAAAGTCAAAATACCAGAATAACCAGAATCAATAACGCACTCTCGGACAACCACAAGGGAAACCACGACAGGGCACAGAGCAAGAGGAGAACTAGGCCTAAATACTTCCACTTAAGGGTTTACTGACTTTTGTTGACAATGGTTTAGACATTAATGGGTGTGTGTTTAGTTATTTTGAGGGGACAGCAAATTTACACTGTTATACAGGCTGTTACACTTATTACTTTACATTATAGTACAGTGTCATTTCTACAGTGTTGTCACATGAAAAGATATAATAAAATATTTACAAATATTTTAGGGGTGTACTCACTTTTCAAATACTGTACATATAGTTAATACAATGTTAAACAAAAATCTGCATACCAGTCAAGCCATAAGATATGCTTTTCCCACAGAAATCACAAATTTGCAGTGATGTTACTTCCACAAAGGATTCTGGGTGGGCATATGCAAATTAGTTTAACAAAGAATCACATTTTTGTCTCATATCATTTTAAACATGGATTTCTTCAAATCTGTGTTTGCTGTATACAACAGCTTTGAAACCCAACTTAGGGAAAGATACAAAGCCAGTGAACCACTCATGGACAGCTGTTTTATTGTTAATGCAAATCATGAGCATGAGGTTGCTTACTGGTTTGCTATTGGGGCTTGGTAGTGGTTGGGAAGCAAAAACCAAAAAGGTTATGGTGGGGGGGGGGAAATTGTGGTTGAAAAACCCTCCCACCTAAAGTCTGTGGCTAGTTAATACAATGTTAAAGGAACACTCCAATCACCATAATCACTTAAGCAACCTGATCACTCCAGGAGTGACCTGGCACCCTCCCACATTGTAAATACTCAAACCATTTTAGAAACACTCTCTGCATCCACTACTTAAGTCAAAGAGACAGAATATTTTGTCTGTTCTAAGTAGGTGGCACATGGTGCACTGCAATGCTTAGCTTAGGAGAGCTAATAGAAAATCCTACTTAGAAGATTGTGGCTTTCCATCATCAGTAGTAGAGGCAGGGCCGGTGCAAGGATTTTGCCGCCCTAGGCAAAAAAAAATGTGCTGCCCCGCCATATGTGCTACCCACCATGTGACATCACAATGCCCCGCCCATATGCTTTTACCTGAAAAGGTAGTGTGTTTACATTAAAAAGCCTGAAGGCACAGGCTACAGACACCAGAACCACTACATTAAGCTGTAGTGTTTCTGGTGACTATAGTGGCCCTTTAATGTTAGGTAAATTAGAGATTAGTGCCACTAATAATATATTGGATTGCCTACTTACCACCAAATGAGGACAAGAGGATGATGATGGGCTCAGGCTGTAGTTTGGCTCCACAGGTCTGTTGTAGAAGAGGCTCTCTAGAGACTGTTTGTAACAGTGCTCACAACAATTAATGAACATGAGACAGCTCCATTTTTTGGGGCCCCTTACACAGCTCAAGGTCTGACCGGGGCCTGACCGTGAGTATGCCTACAAGGCCTACCCATGATTCCACCTACATGGAGTGGAGTGTATGTGTGTAGGGGATGTGTTATGTGTTATTGTAGAGGATGTAATGTGTATGTGTTCTTATGGAATGTAGTGTGTAGGGATACCAATTTGTGTAAGGGATGAAGTGTGTGTATAGTGAGTGAGTGTTTGTGTGTAAGGAATGCATTTTGTGCCCCCTACCTATGTAGCGTGGCCGGGCGGCGTGGATCACAGTACAGGAACTGAGTGAGCCGAGTGTCAGTCCGCCGGCGGCCGGGTACAGGAAAAATAACTTCCTGTCCCGAGGTCCGTTTAAGACGTTTTGCCTACTTGCATTGGAGGAAACATTGCATTACTAAAGCCACTGCAGGGGCTATGGTGCTTGAAGTGTTCCTTTGAAGAAAGTCAAATTTATTTAGATAAACACATGAAAACATCTGTTAACTGGATTTTTGTTGGAAACTTCCATCCAGCCTACGGTACCTATTCACAACCTACACAAATGCTTTGATCACAGCAGCAGCTCTGTCATAGAGCTGGTCATGGTCGTGACTCACCATCTATAGGAGAAATCTATTATTCTGCCTAAAAGGAAAATTCATTACAAGACTTGCAGTGTGGTTAATAATACACAGGCCTCATCTGAAAGAGGCATTCACATACTTCAGTGACCTTTCACGGTTCCAACTCTCTGAGTGTAGCATCCTTGTTCACTGCATGTGCTAATCTTTTGGTCTACCTTCACAGGTTCTGATTTCTAGTGTCCTGGTTACCATCTATCTGGAGTCTTCTTTTTCAATAACTCCAGGGATTCTAAGATATGGTAAAATATATATTTTAACTCTACAAATTATAAATATGGTGCACTCTACAACCATGCAAATGTCACATAATATCCAATTAAAGGTCCATTAAAAAAACAAAAAAAACAAAATACATTTCATACTAAGTAAAAAAATAACAATCCATAACACTAATTTTGTATAGTATGCGATCATTACAGTGCTTCAGTTTGTGGACAGAGAAACCTTAGACAACATGTGGGTGCCATTCCTTAAAACTGAACATAATAAGCAAATATCTGGCATTTCTAACAAGCTCCACTAACAGATTTTGGTTCAGTGTTGTCAACTTGTTTTTTAAGTTTTGTGTTATTTTAGGTAAATACAAAAATAAAAGGTCTGCACACTCCAGAGCTCAATAAGAGGTACATTAATTGGAACCAAATATTCTGAACAATATTGCAATCCAACAATGGGTCTTTGTCAAGTTAACACCACAAACAACAAACTGTGTACAGGTAGTTCCCGACTTTACAAACTTATTGGTTCTAAAGCCGAGTTCATGAAGTGTGAACTAATTTCCCATAGCTCGCAATGTAATAAACATGAGTCCCATTCCTGACCAAAAGCATTTTCCATTGAAAACTTTAATTATGAAGTACACATACAAGATGAAAACATAGCAAATACATATATGTTGTAGAAACATTAAAGGAAAACATACCATATCGAAATCTTCATCAAATCATTATCAGTCATCATCCTCCTCACTTGTTACACCTCCCAGTCCCTCCACGTGGTGTCTTACCACCCCTCCCAGAGCCTCATTACCCCCCTCCATGTGTCTCATTCTCCCAAAGCCCATCCATGTGTCTCATTCCCCTCTCTCAGCCCCTCTATGTGTCTCATTTCCCTCTCCCAGCCTCTCCATGTGTCTCATTCCCCCGTCCCAGCCCCCCATGTGTCTCATTCCCCCTCCCAGCCCCCCGTGTCTCATTCTCCCCTCCATGAGTCCCATTCTCCCCTCCCAACCCCATCCATGTGTCCCATTTCCCTCTCCCAGCCCCATTTCCCTCCTCCATTCCCTGTCCATGTGACCCTCTCCTCCCGCCCCTCCTGTACCTGTCTATGTGTCTCTCCCACCACTCTTCCTGTACCTGCCCATGTGTCTCTCCCTTCTCCCCTCCTGTACCTGCCCATGTGTCTCTCCCTTCTCCCCTCCTGTACCTGCCCATGTGTCTCTCCCTTCTCCCCTCCTGTACCTGCCCATGTGTCTCTCCCCCCTCCCTTCCCCCTCCCTTCCTATACCTGCCCATATGTCTCTCCCTTCTCCCCTTCTGAACCTGCCAATGTGTCTCTTCCCTCATGTATCTGTCTATGTGCGTCTCCTCCTTCCCCTTTCAGGTGACTCTCCCCCTTCCCATCCTGTACCTGCTCACCATGGTACAGTACCTAGTCTGACAGGAAGTCCTCTCTCAGTGAGCACTTCCTGGCAGACTGCAGTCCGCTTGGTCACACTACAACAACGGCAGGAGGGGAGCAGCTCAGCACAGCACTCCCCTTCTATCGGTCATCATGACTGTTACTTACCTTTTTCTTCTTCTGGTCACAAACTCTGTTCCTCATTCCACATCCACTGAGAGCCAGCACAAAATAAAATGGCGGTGCGTCAGGGGAGCGTTCGCAAAGGCAGGAAAGTGGGAGTAAGTAAACCACGAAATGCCTGTGCAATCAAGCAGTGCAATCAATAACATTAACAACAAATCACATTAGATTATTACAAATATTAATAAAGTGAACTCACTTCAAAATTGCTAACACTTTTATTAATATTTAATTGATATGTAATAATCTTATGTAATTTGTTGCTAATGTTATTGAATGCACTGCCTATGTATACACATAGAAACATAGAATGTGATGGCAAATAAGAACCATTCGGCCCATCTAGTCTACCCAATATTTTGAAATACTTTTAATTAGTCCCAGGTCTTATCGTAAGTCTAGGATAGCCTTATGCTTATCCCATGCATGCTTAAACTCCCTCACTGTGTTAACCTCTACCACTTCAGCTGGAAGGCTATTCCACTACCCTCTGCTGATATTATTTTTAAACCTATGTCCCTCTAATTTAAGACTATGTCCCCTGAATATGACCCCTGTCTCATCTTTCTTCCAAGCTATACATGTTAAGATCCTTTAACCATTCCTGGTAAGTTTTATCCTGCAATCCATGAACCAGCTTAGTAGCCCTTCTCTGAACTCTTTCTAAAGTATCAATATCCTTCTGAAAATACGGTCTCCAGTACTGCGTACCATACTCCAAGTGAGGTCTCACCAGTATTCTGTACAATGGCATGATCACTTCTCTCTTTCGACTGCTAATACCTCTTGTGGTGACATTTTGTCATCAAACTAATATGGTGACCAGGGCTATGTATGCCTTTCTTACAGAATACGCTTTACCCTTTGATATGGTGATTAGGTAATTCAATACCTTTATAAGTCAGGAAAGAGATAACCACTTCCACCTATCCCCATTCCTTCCTGTTCCTTCTTGGCTGTGCTACAGAGCAGACATGGGCTAATTTTAATCATGGTGAACTGTGAGTGGGATCTGGTGACTTTATAAGATTTAGTTGTTATTGTTGGTATAAATAGATTGTGTGTCATTATTTGTATCTTGTTGTTTTGTCTCTGAATAAATATTGTTAAAGTAGACGGACCAAAGTTTATATGTGTATGCGTACATTATTGATAGAGTTTGGTAATATACCACACTTCTCCCTATACAAACAAGCATTCTGCTAGCATTTCCAGCTGATCTTTTACATTGTCTTCCTACCTTCATGTCATCTAAAATAATTACTCCTAAATCCCTTTCCTCAGATGTTGAGGTTAGAAGGGTATCAAATATCCTATCCTCTGCCCTTGGGTTTTTACGTCCAAGGTGCATTATCTTGCACTTATCCACATTAAATGTCTGTTGCCACAGCTCTGACCATTTTTCTAGTTTACCTAAATCATTTGCTATTTGGCTTATCCCTCCTGGAACAACAACCCTGTTACATATCTTAGTATCATCAGCAAAAATACATACCTTACCATCAAGACCTTCTGCAATATTAGTAATACAAATATTAAAGAGAATGGGTCCAAGTACAGATCCCTGAGGTACCCCACTGGTAACTAGACCGTGCTTCGAATATACTCCGTTGACAACAACCCTCTGTTGCCTGTTATTTAGCCACTGCCTAACCCATTCAACAAACTTATCCAAACTTAAAGATTGCAGTTTATTGATGAGTCTTCTATCTGGAACAGTGTCAAAAGCCTTACTGAAATCTAGGTAGGCAATGTCTACTGCACCACCCTGGTCTATTATTTTAGTTACTCAATCAAAGAAAAATCAATAAGATTAATTTGGCATGATCTCCCTGAAGTAAACCCATGTTGACTCTTATTCTTTAACATGGTTTCCATTACTTTCCCCAATACTGAAGTAAGGCTTACTGGCCTATAGTTGCCCGACTCCTCCCTTTTTTACTGACTGATATTTTCTCTTGTGTGTGTGCTTTGGAGGCTCTTATAACTTGCTTAGCCTCTTTCTGCCTAATCTTAAAGATTTGTCTGTCTTCCTCATTCTGTTTTTTTTTTCAGAGAAAATGCAGTGTTAGAAATTGTGTTTGCAAACATTATGTAATTTAAATATTAAACCTCTTCAGGCATATGAGTTTAGCATTCAGTACATCCACAGGGTGGTCTAAATGACAGACTGGCAGATATATGGGTTAGTCTAAAGTATTTACTTTGCAGTGAGCAAACCCATATTGTTCCAGGAAACCTCAATTGCAAGCTGCTAACTAGGGTCCTTAGAATAACAAAGGACCAAGACTGCCAGAGATTCATTGTCCAGATAAAAATGTCTATAGATTTTGCACAGCTTGCTAGCAACTATGGAGAAAATGGTAAAACAAAAGGTTGGACCCAAGCAAGTTAAATGCTAAAGGTTTGAAAATTTTACAATAGGTGTTCCTGGGCAGAGTGCACAAGGAAATCAAAGGGGGTCCACTTTAGGAAAGATTACTAAACAGTAAGTTTGGAAAATTTTCCACATCCTGCATCTGTGCACTACTGTGAATAATGGCACTGGGTAGTGAGTTTTGTCTCATGTTTGTTAGGTGGGGCATTGATAAACCAAATGTTTTCAGAAAATATCTTTCACAACTAACTTGTTTCAGTGCACAATAATATTACATACAATAACTACCATTAAAAGAATGCGTAAATATACTCTATGACTTTTGCTTATATTATAAACGTTGGATATCTCTGGCCCTGATCTCAATCTATTGTTTGTTAATTAACTACACATTAACAACTGCCAGTGCAGATGCACACAATAACATCTTTTTCAAATTTCTTGTCAACGCTTTTGGCATTTTCAATTTGGAAAATAAGGACTCTATCCCTTACAATAAACAGTCAAGTTTACGCAATTACAATCACTCTACATAAGATTTATTGCGTCAATAAACCTCAGACAACAATTTTCACAAACTAAAAATTACCTCAAGAATGATCAAACTTAACTGGGTTTATGTATGAGCATAACAAACATTAAATACACTATAAAATGGCCTTTTGTAGTTATTTTTTTTTTTTTTTTTAATAGTGCCACCAGCAGCTCCTCCAAAGTCCACACCATGCCAGGATTGGCTGTCAATCTTGTGATGCTGGTATAAAAATCCTGAGATTATATGATTATGGCAATTGTTAATGGAATACTATAGGGTCAGGAACACAAGCATGTATTTCTGACCTTATAGTGTTAAAAAAAACATGTTAGCTCCCATGCCCCCCTTAAAAAGGTAGAAAACTCACCTTTTTTCAGCATTGCATGGGTCTGCCTGCGCAGGCTCTGCTTCCGAGCCACCTCCATGGCTGAGATCATCAAAACTGACAATCTCAACCAATCCAATGCTTTTTGGTAGCAAGCATTGGATTGGCCGAGATGGTCAATTCTGATGCTCTCTCAGCCAAGGAGGTGCATTGGGGCGGAGTCAAATGCCATGCTGGCCAATCAGCATCTCCTCATAGAGATGCATTGAATCAATGCATCTCTATGGGGAAAATCTGGTGTCTCCATGCAGAGCATGAAGACGTTGAACATCAGTGCTGCACCCAAGAAGCACGTCTCGTGGCTCTCTGAGTGACTCACACTGAAGGTGTTCCTAGGCAGCAATGTAAATACTGCCTTTTTTTCTGAAAATGCCTGCAGGAACTGACTATACTTACCAGAACAAATGCATTAAGCTGTAATTGTTCTGGTGACTATAGTGTCCCTTTAAGCCTAGTTTTGAATTTATAATGGTTTTCAACAACATTACTGTCATGAAACAGACAATTTGGGATTGTGATTTAAAACAAAAAAAAAACCCTGCTATATAAGCCAAAGTTCAGAAAATTGTCAAAAAAAATAAATAAATAAACGAACAAAAAATAGAACTGAGATTAAGTCCTATTTTAGCAAAATAAACTTGAACCTATAAAACCTGACCACACAAGTTCATTATGAGAGAATTTTAAAAATAATTATGCAGAACTGTGTATAATAACAACAAAATGCAACTTCAACAATAAATTATCTTAATCCCATGCCTATAGAATACTAGGTAAAGAATAGCTGCGAGTATTCAAAGTTACTGCACAATGTACAGTTATAGTCTATCATGTAACTAAGTTAATACTACAGAATACTAGATAGTAAGAGTATCTGTACAAACATATCAAATCTTCACATGTTGTGCCCTTTTACCAATAAGTAAGTTGACTAGAAAATATGCGTCCCTTTATATATTAAATTGTTTTGGAATTATATTTTGAGATGCGCTTAGTAAATTAATGAATTACCATTTAAAAAAGACTAATCCTGCTAAAACAGTGTATCCCAGAACCAAGAAAAGCACTTTTAACAATCGGTCATTTTTATCCTCAAACTCCTTTGCCAAAATTTCAAAAAAGGTGACAAACAGAAATGTCCCTCCTGCAATGCCTTGCAAAAGAGCAGAGGTGATGTTGCTTGCCAAGTTCTGGGCACTCTCAATTGCCATTCCAGTGGCGATACCAATAGGTATCATAATGCTCACTAGCAATGCCATTTTGGCAGCATCTCTCATCAGAATGTTTATTTTTGCCATGCTGATGCCCAGTGCCACTGCCACTAATGTTTCATGGATGACAACACCAATGAATAGGCTCAGCACCTTATCACCTTCATCTTGCAAGCCAAGTGCGAGGCCCTCAAAAACAGAATGGGCTGACAGTGCAAACACCAAGCTGAAAAGGCGAAGAGGACTTGACTTGGAAAGATCTTGTATATTTAAGCTGTGAGAGTGGTGGTTGTGCCCACCTTCGTAGAGATTACAATTCCTGTTGGATGATATAAATGGGCTTTCATATTCTGAGTCACTTCCAACATCCGAACCTGCATTAAAAGTCTCCATGTCGATAAAAGAAGGTTTCTCTTTCCGAAATGTCAGAATTGCTTGTTCCACAAAGATGGTAAGGAAGAATCCTACCAACATGATGGTCTCAGCTAGTGGATATTCAGTGGTGAGATTTCCCATTTTAAGAACTTCATCAAACTGCAAAAAAAATAAATAGAAGGTTTTTTTTAATTTAAAACAGTTCACAGGTTGAATTATCTAAGTTATAATTACAAATAGGTTTTCTCGCATCTATTTCTGCTGTTGATTCCAAAAAAGAAGACAAAGAAGGCAACAAACTAGGAAAAAATCCTTATCAACACCAGAATGGCAATCAGATTTCTCCCTGGATCAAGAAGCGGTTAACCCACATATTAAATATATATTTTGCTTTTGCAAGAATTCATCCAGTTGGTTTTTTAAAATCTGTACAGACTTTGATAAAACCACCTATTCAGACGGAGAAAGCTACATCTTTATCGTTCTTACTGTAAAGAACCCTTTCACTTTGACTATATCTCATTTCTTATAGTCTAAATGGGTGACCTCATGTCCTATGTATACACTTATTTAAAAAAATTATTCCAGACAAGGTTTGTGCTATGGTTGCCTCCAGGCTATTTGAAAGTTGGACCACTTTTGATGTCCTGGTTCCCGATCTTGAAGAGAGAAAGCGACGCTCCGAACAGCATACAGCAGCAATCCTGTAAATGTAGATATCCCACAAGGCTGCGAGTTGAGAGTAAGAAGAACTGGTTTAATGGGTACTCATGCACGGCTTAAATACATATTTTCAGGCCAGAGGAACACCCCTCTGGACCTGATTGTTCGCAGGATTACAAAGTGTAACAGCCAATAGAAACAAAGTGCATTTTACAAAACACTCCCTCCTACTCTGGTGATAATTGGTCTCAACGATGACAGTAACTCCATTATCTCCAGGTACATGAAATAACCACACTTTTATACATACACAAAAACTGAATAAAAATGAATAACTTTTACATTATAATGTTGAAATACCACATTCAACCCATCCCCAGAAAGCTTGGAACTGAGTGCACAAAATACACGAAAAGCGCTCAGATCTCACTAATGGTTCGCGAATGCCATGGGGATGAAACTTGTCTACAGGGCTCAACTGTTCGACTGTTAGCAGCCCGTGTATCCTTGGCCATGGGATCTGGCCAGGGGCTGGTGTAGCTTTCGTGGAGACAAAGTGTCGAACGGCATGTCTTTCGTGGTTGTATGCACGGACGGGACATGCTGTGTCCCAGCAGGATTCGCGCAAACTATTGTCCGAAAATAGTACATTAAGTTTGACGACCAGGTCCCGCTGGGCGTTCTACAATAAAAGAAGGCCGCCGCCACGTGTTCGTGCATAACGAACGATGACCACCCTGGCGATGATCAATTATGTTGCGGTTAACCCCAAAACCGCAGCTTCAAGGTGGTTAACTGGGGGCACACGCCAGAGGCTGGGTGGTCGGGCGTTTGGGAGTTAGTTCGACTGTTCGTTCGGTAGCCCGTTCGACCTTTTACATACGAACGGTGACTACCCTGATGACAGTCAATTAGGCTGTGGTTAACCACAAAACCGCAGCTCCTGGGTGATTGATTGTAGGCACACTTCTCAGGTAGGGTGGTTGTCCGTTCGTCAGTTTGTTCTGTGTTTAGAAAGGTGAACTAGGTTAATTGGCGGCAGACGCCAGGGGCCGGGTGGTCGGCCATTCGTACATACGAATGGCCTGTAATAATTGTTTGGGTAAAAGTAACAAAAATAATAGCAAGGTAACCAGGATGTAGCAGACAGAGGGGACTTCTGTAACAGTTTGTATTGGCCCTGATTATATTAGTATTTTCTTATCATATCTCAACTGAGGTACACTTTTTTCTTAACTAAACAGATTTAGATTAGTGAGCCTTTCTTCAAAACTAAAATCTTCCATTCTACTTATTAATTTTGAAGCCCACCACTAGGAGAGCAGATGCCCAAAATTGCATGGTGTGGTGTAATAAAGGGCAAAAGATTGACAACCAACTGTATGCCAATGAAGTCAAGTGTTCTAATATAGAGATTTGAAGGGACAACCTGCAAATAATGTCCTCTCTGAAAACACATGACTAAATCCATGTTGTACTATTTAAACTGTTGGTCAACCTCCCAGTTTCTGGCAATGAAATTCCCTTCCACCAGCAGTCACTTTGGTCTCTGTTGAATACCGCTGGAAGATTGCCTAAGGGAGGTGTGACTAGCAGAAGGAAGGTGGTTTTCCTATTAAGAGGAAACTCTAACCTTTTGTGTGGAACCATATCAAATGGCTTGGCAAAAACCAAGTAAATTGCATGCATTTCAACACCCTGGTCTATATTTCTGCAATTCCGTTAGTTTGAAATTATCTATGTTTCATAAAATCATGCTGATTTCTGCTAAATACATTGTTGTTCCCAATAAATTCTTGAATAGTAACCCTTAAGAATCATTTAGGCTCACAGGAATAAAATTTCTGGGCAGAGATTTTGAACCCTTTTTGAATAGTGGAGCTACATCAAGCTTTCTCCAATCCCCCAATCCACTTTCTGAAAGAAAAAGAATTCTGAAAAATTAAAGACAGAGTTTCGCTTATTTCCACACTAAGCTCCTTAAGTGGGTGTATACAGACTTTCGGCCTGGGGCACTGTTTGCCCTTACTATTTTCAGTTGCTGCAGCACCTTGTCTTGAGTCATCAAATAACTATTTTTCTGAAGCGATCATTTGCATATCTCTTGCCATAGGTTAATGCTTGATATGTACTTAAGAAAAATAATTATTTAACATTTCTGTCTTTTCCTGATATTCATTTATTAACACACCCTCTGATAACAGTGAACCTACATTAAAAAAAAAAAAAAAAAAAAGAACTAAATACATACTTTTTGTCCAGAGCCACAATAGATTGGCGAAGATCATTTAGACACATAACCAGGGAGTTACCCACAAGGTGCCATACACATTGTGTACACCACCATGCCAAATTTATCCCTCGGGAATTAACGGTTTGTGAGGTCCTGGAAATCTCAGGCACCCTTCAGAAGCTTGGGCTGATGACCGATGCTATGAGGCCTCAATCTACTCTGCACTCACAGCATCAGATCTCCTGGGACCCCGATCAAATTCACTTGAGAGGAAGCCCCGCGACTACAGTAATACTTTAAGCGACTGAATTGCAATTTTCACTGTTGCTTTATATTATTGTTTCCAACATATTTTTCAAAGTTAATTTATAGAAGCTTATAACACATTGAGTGTTCTTTGGGACACACCCTTTTGGTACAACCCGGTCTATGCCTGCTGGCATGGTTCCCCCCCCCCCACCCATAATTTCCCTCTCCCCCGGCCACTAATTCTCGCACTGAACCACCTGTTTATCTTTCACACAGTGGGTGTCAGCATCTGGTATCTCTGGCTAGGTATGTTTATTATTGATTCTACATGGTTATTTCAGGCATACTCCACTGCTAGTTAGCAAATTGTGCATATCATAACATTCTCACCTGGAGCGAGATGCACTGCATCTTATAATAAATGGATTGTATAGAGTTAGGATTACAAATCTGTATCCCTAACACTATAGTGCCCTCTTCATCACAGCCCCTCCCTTGCAGCTGATAAGGGATTAACATTTTCAGGATCGGACTGTTTTGGCCATGTTGTACGTTAAGAACCAGAGCTATTTTAACACTTTTGTGGTGTTTGTGTTTAGCTGTAATTTTCCTCTCTCTCATTTACGGTTCCCATACAAATTATATATAGTTTTTTTCAGGACAAGAAGGGCTTTTCTTTTTTACATACCATTATTTGTATCATGTCATATATTTTACTTTTAAAAAAAATAATAAAATATGGTGAAAAATTTTAAACAAAACTTTTTTTTTACTTTTACTAGAAAAATCTTTTACTGATCTACAAAAGCTACTGAAAAAAACTGCTAAAAAGATTCAAAATTGTGTCCAGAGTTTAAAAACACCCAGTGTTTACATGCTTTTTTTTGCGAGTTATAGGGCTATAAGTACAAGTAGGATATTGCTGTTTCAAAATATATATTTTTAAAATGTATCAATAGTGACATTGTAACACTGTTATCTGTCATAAATCCCCAAATCATACCTCACATGTACATATTTTTTTAAAGTAGACAACCCAGGGTATTCAATATGGGCTATGTCCAGTCTTTTTTAGTAGCCACTTAGTCACAAACACTGGCCAAAGTTAGCGTGTATATTTGTTTGTGTGTTAAAAATGCAAAAAACAATTATGAACGCTAACTTTGGCCAGTGTTTGTGACTAAGTGGCTAGGGATACTGATACCGATAATCTGTTAACTTTCAGTCCGATAGCCGATAACTTGCCGATATTCTGTACATTTACCATTTTAAAAATATACTATTTCTAAAACGTAAATGCACAAAATATAAAAGCCACATGCACTGGATGCAGTGTGTTTAGACAGTGGAGCTGTGTATATTTGTGTAGTGTATATATAATGAATGCAGGGTGTGTTTGTGTAGTGTGTATATAATGAATGCAGAGTGTGTGTTTGTGTAGTGTGTGGTGTATAAAGGGAATGCAGTGTGTGTGTGTGTGTGTGTGTGTATAGTGTGTGTAAAGTGAATGCAGTGTTTAGTGTGTATAGCGAACGCAGTGTGTGTAGTGTGCGTATAGTGAATGCAGTGTGTTTGTATAGTGTGTGTATATAATGCCTACAGTGTGTCGTGTGTGTACAATGTAGTGTTTGTAGTGTGTCTGTGCATATATGATGCAGTGTTTGTAGTGTGTGTGTATATATAATGCAGTGTTTGTACTATGTGGGTGTATATAATGCAGTGTGTGTAGTATGTGTGGGTATATAATGCAGTGTTTGTGTGTATATAATGTAGTGTGTGTGTATATAATGCAGTGTGTGTAGTATGTGCATTAAACACACACACACACACTACATTATATACACACACACTAAATTATATAGACACACTATATACACACTCTGCGTTATATACAGAGTGTGTAGTGTGTGTGTATAATGCAGTGTGTGTGTGTTTTCCTGAAGGGATGTGATTTGTGTAAAATGGGGTGGGGGGAGGCATTTTTTTATTTTTATTTTTAATGTTTGTTTTATTTTATTTTTTAATATTTATGTTTATTTTAATTTTTAATATTTGTTTATTTTAATTTTTAATATTTATGTTTATTTTTTTATGCTTATTTTTAATAGTTATGTTTTATTATTTTTGTTGTCCCCCCTGCCTGCTTGTTACCTGGTCAGGGAGGGGGGATATGACAGTCCCTGGTGGTCCAGTGGCATTGGCTGAGCTGGGGGGGGCCGCAGGTAGCGTTTACTTAACTCCCCTGCAGCTCCTCCAGCTCCCAGTGTAAATCTCGCTGCCCTTGTTGCCTGACGGCCGTGGGTCTCGCAAGATTTACACTGGGAGCTGGAGGAGCTGCAGGGGAGGTAAGTAAACGCTACCTGCGCCCCTCCACCCCCCAGGACCGGTGGATTTATAATGAGCCTGGAGGTCCTAGGAGGTATTATCGGCAATATCGGTATATATAGTGGCCGATACCGATATTGCCGAAAATACCGAATATCGGCCGATTATATCGGTAAAACCGATAATCGGTCGATCCCTATAAGTGGCTACTAAAAAAGACTGAACATACCCCATTTGCAATACCTTGGGTTGTCTTCTTTTGCAAATGGTATGCAGGGCGGACTGGCCCACCGGGATACCGGGAAATTTCCCGGTGGGCCGTCGGCACATGGGGACGGACAGAGAGCTGACTGACCTGCGGCCCAGAGGGGAGCTGGCTGTTCCGACGGCCGCAGGGGGGAGCTGGCTCCTGGCTGTTCCGGCTCTGCTCCCCCGCCCTCGTGCGCTACTTAATGAGACCGGGGCCGGAATATCCGGTCTTATTAAGCTGCGTGCAGGGGAGCAGAGCCAGCACAGCCAGCTCCCCCTTGTGGCCGCCGGAACAGCCAGGAGCCAGCTACACCCTGCGGCGGCAGCACAGCTGACCTAGTTGTCTGCCCTGCACGTCAGTCGCCCACAGGTAGCTATATTATGTGTCAGTGTGTGTGTCTGTCTGTCATGGTGTGTGTGTCATTGTGTGTCTGTCTGTCATGGTGTGTGTCTGTCTGTCTGTCATGGTGGGTGTGTGTGTGTGTCATGGTGTGCGTATGTCTGTCAAGGTGTGTGTGTGTCAAGACGTGTGTGTTTGTCATCGGTCATGGTTTATGTTTGTTTGTCATGGTGTGTCTGTGTGTGTTTAAAAATAGTGTTTTTACTCAGTTTTTTTTCTTCCCACGCCGTGCTGCGGGGCTGGCATAGATTTTTTTCCAGGGCTGCTTTGTATCCCTAGTCCGGCCCTGATGGTATGCCATCATGAGGGAAATTCTCATTCCTGAGCTACCATACGCTCTCAAAGGCAACATAACCAATCTGGCAAATTTCAATGTAAAAAAAAAAAAAAAGGAAAATCAAGCCTTACATTTGACCCTGTAACTTTCAAAAACACTATAAAACCTCTACATGGGGGGTACTTTTATACTCAGGAGACTTCGCTGAACACAAATATTAGTGTTTCAAAACAGTAAAAAGTATTCCAACAATAATATGAAAAGTGAAAGTGCAGTTTGTGTGTGAAAAATGCAAAAAACGTCACTTTCACGAACAATATCGCTGTGATATATTTTACGGTTTTGAAACACTAATATATGTGTTTAGCAAAGTATCCCGAGTAAAACAGTACCCCCCATGTACAGGTTTTAGGGTGTCATAGAAAGTTACAGGGTTAAAAACAATGCTAGCAAATTAAATTATCTGGACTTTTGGCCTGGGTTGTCAAGCAGGTCCCTCAAATTGCAATCAATAAAATTACTTAATTATGTAAAAATATTACATAAATATGCACGCAGAATTTAAATACATATACATATTTATATATTTAACCCCTTCACGACGCATGGCGGTTCAGGACCGTCCTCGGCATTTTTGCGTTGTCGACCGAGGACGGTCCTGAACCGTCCTAATGGAAAATGGGCGGCGGGAGCGATCAGAGATCGCTTCCGCCGAAATCCAGTTGTTACTATCTGCCTGGCATCCCAGGCAGATAGTAACAGCCAATTACGGCGTGTGAGCGATCCGCGATCGCTCACAATTGGCTGGTGTCAAAGTGGGCGTTACAAACACTCACTTTGACACTGATCTCTGCCTCTCTCCCCTCTGTAGTGTTTTGTGAGAGGAGAGAGACAGAGATCGTGATAGTTTGTTGCAGCAGCTGTTCCAGAGAGTTGTAAAAAGTATCTGCAGTGAATAAAAATCCCATTTTAACCCCTTCCCTGCCAGATCTGTTACAGACAGTGCATTTGTACTGTCTGTATTTTTTTTTGCCCTTAAGGGTTAACTTTATTTTAAAAAATCTGTGTCTTAGACTGTCTTAGTCTGTCGTAGCCTGTCAGTTTCCTTCCCCCAAATATCCATTAGATTCTTCTAACAGGAGTTAGTTTAGGGATTAATGTTTTAGTCTGTTTTAGTGTTTAAAAAAAAATAAAAAAAATAAAAAATATATTGTGTTTAGTATTTTGTTAGTTTAGTCTGTTAGTGTGAAACATGCAGCGCATGCACAGCTTGGAGGAGGCATATGCCTTCTTGGCGTCAGACTCTGACGCCACTGACACTGCATCCGATTTTGACCCAGGTCAGTTTAGCGGCACGTCTAGTGACATGTCATCTGTGTGTGAGCCAGCTGCTAAAAGAAGCTGTGCTTCCCCTGCTACGCTGAATGTGGAGGAGGACTGGGTACCTCCACAGTTAGCTGAGCCCAACATCCCCCCTTTTAGTGCCAACGCAGGCATTAATGTGAATGTGGTTGACTTCTCCCCTATACAATATATGGAGTTATTTTTAGGGGATACCATCTGGGAGGAGATTGCTTCCCAGACTAATTTATACGCTAGCCAATTTATTGAGACCAATCCAGGTAGCTATACAGTCAGGGAGCATGCTTGGCATCCCACAGATGTCCATGAACTTAAAACATTCTGGGCTCTTACCATGCTCATGGGGATAATAAAGAAGCCATCAATCCGCTCTTACTGGAGCACCAACCCAATTTGTTCGACTCCTATATTCTCCCAAACAATGCCTAGACCAAGATATGAGCTGCTGCTGAGATACTTACATTTTCAACGACAATACGCTCTGTCACCCCAGAGATCACCCCAATATGATAGGCTTCATAAAATACGCCCACTGGTAGACCATCTTCAGAACAGATTTTCTGAAGTTTATACTCCCCAACAAACTTTATCTATTGATGAATCCCTTATGAAATACAAAGGGAGATTAGGGTTCAAACAATATATCCCCTCAAAGCGGTCTAGGTATGGCATTAAAGTGTACAAACTTTGCGAGAGCGAAAGTGGCTACACATTTGCCTTTCGTGTATACGAGGGGAAAGATGCTCAACTGAACCCTCCTGGCTGTCCCGACTCTCTGGGGACAAGTGGGAAACTTGTTTGGGACCTACTGATCCCCTTGTTCAATAAGGGTTACCACCTTTATGTGGACAATTTTTACAGCAGTGTCCACTTGTTTAAAATTCTTTATAGTTTACAGACACTGGCCTGCGGCACTGTAAGAAGAAATGCCAAGGATTTCCCCAGACCTCTCATAGAGGCCAAATTAAAAAAAGGGGAATGCAAAGCTCTGCGCAAGGCTGAACTGCTTGCGCTAAAATTTAAGGACAGGAAGGATGTTCACATGCTAACAACCATCCATAACGAGGGCATGTCAGACGTCACTGTCCGAGGCAGGGTACAGACAAAACCGGTGTGCATCAGGGCTTATAACAGGCACATGGGGGTTGTTGATTTGGCTGATCAACTGATGCAGCCATATCTTATCTTAAGAAAGACAAAAGCCTGGTATAAAAAGGTGGCTATCTACCTGTTGCAAGTAGCAACACAGAATTCATTTTTACTTTTTAATAAAATGAATCCAGGAAGAACCACCTATCTCCAATTTCAGCTCAAGCTGATTTCCACAATAATTTATGGAGATGGTCAAGTTCCAACGACAGTGCAAGAGTCGTCTAGACATTTTATTTTTAAGATACCGCCAACACCAAAAAAAAGAAACCCCAGAAACGTTGCCGGGTCTGTTATAAAAAAGGGAAAAGGACAGACACCCCTTTTCACTGTCCCGATTGCCCTACAAAACCTGGACTGTGTATTGGAGCATGTTTTAAGGTCTACCACACAGAAAATACATTTTTATAATACTTGTTCCTGATTTATTTATTTTTTGTTTATTTTGAAAGCAGCAAATTTCTGTTAGTCAGTATCCTTCCCCCAAATCTCCAGTTAGATTCTTTTTGCAGGAGTTAGTTTACAGATTGCTGCTAACAGAAGTTTTAGTCTCATTTAGTCTGTTTTTATCAGTTTTAGTCTGTTTTTAGTATAAAATAAAATAAAAATTGTGTGTTAGTAACTCTGTGTTAGCCAGACTCTGACGCCACTGACACTGCGTCCGATTTTGACCCAGGTCAGTTTTCTGACATGTCATCTGTGTGTGAGCTGGCTGCAAAAAGAAGCTGTGCTTTCTCTGCTACGCTGAATGTGGAGGAGGAACAGGTTTCTCCACAGTTAGCTGAGCCCCAAATCACCCCTTTTAGTGCCAACACAGGCATTAATGTCAATGTGGATGACTTCTCCCCTATGCAATATATGGAGCTATTTTTAGGGGATACCATGTGGGAGGAGATTGCTCCCCAGACTAATTTATATGCTACCCAATTTATTGATACCAATCCAGATAGCTATGCAGTCAGGGAGGAGTGTGCTTAAAAAACTTTAAAAATTCTGGGCTCTTACAATTCTCATGGGGATTATAAAGAAGCCATCAATTTGCGCTTACTGGAGCACCAACCCTATCTGTTCTAGTCGAGTGTACTCTCAAACCATGTCTAGAACAAGATTTGAGCTGCTGCTGAGATACTTACATTTCAATGACAATACCCTCTGTCACCCCAGAGATCACACCCAATATGATAGGCTTCATAAAATACACCCAGTGGTAGACCATCTTCAGCACAAATTTACTGAAGTTTATACTCCTCAAAAAAAATGTATCTATTGATGAATCGTTAATGAAATATAAAGGGAGATTAGGATTCAAACAATACATCCTCTCAAAGCGCTTTAGGTATGGCGTAAAATTCTACAAACTGTGCGTGAGCGAAAGTGGCTATACATTTGCCTTTCATATATATGAGGGGAAAGATGGTCAGCTGGACCCTCCTGGCTGTACTGACTCTCTGGGGACAAGCGGGAAACTTGTTTTTGACTTACTGATCCCCTTGTTCAATAAGGGTTACCACCTTTATGTGGACAATTTTTATAGCATTGTCCGTTTGTTTCAAACTCTTTAGGGTTTCTAGATACGCCAAGGATTTCCCCAGACCTTTTATAGAGGCCAAATAAAAAAAAAGTGAATGTAAAGGTCTGCACAAAGCTAAAGTGCTTGCAATAAAATTTAAGGACAGGAAGGATGTTAATATACTAACCACCATCCATGACGAAAGCATGTCAGACGTCACTGTCCGAGGCAGAGTACAGACAAAACCTGTTTGCATCAGGGCTTATAAAATGCACATGGGGGTGTTGATTTGGCTGATCAGCTGATGCAGCCATATCTTATCTTAAGAAAGACAAAAGCCTGGTATAAAAAGGTGGCTATCTACCTGTTACAAGTAGCAACACATAATTAATTTTTACTCTTTAAAAAAAAAATGAATCCAGAAAGAACCACCTTTCTCCAATTTTAGTTGCAAAAAAAAGCAAAAAAGCGGGTAAACACTGGGTATTTTTAAACTCAGGACAAAATTTTGAATCTATTTAGCTGTTTTTTTTCATTCGCTTAAGTCAAAAAACATGTATTTTTAAAAAAATTTTCATCATTTTTTTTTTAAATTAAAATACATGAGATTATATAAATAAAGGTATGTAAAGAAAGCCCCTTTTGTCCTGAAAAAAACAATATATAATTTGTATGGGAACAGTAAATGAGAGAGCGGAAAATTACAGCTAAACACAAACACCTGAAAAGTGTAAAAATATTCCTGGTCGCAAATGTACAACATCGCAAAAACAGTCCAGTCCTTAAGGGGTTAAAGTCTATGTGTATATTTCTGAAATTATTTATGTAATTTTGTATATGGGCATATGTAAATTTCTTATTATTTTTATTTATTTATATATACATACATATATATATATATATAATTTCATTCTAAGTGTATTTTGATATAAATATATATATTAATATCAAAACACTGTTAGAATAAAATTACATATATATATATATATATATATATATATATATTTTTTTTTTTTTTTGAAAATTATTTTAAAATAATTTTTACGTTTTATAATTTATTTTAATTTACTTATTTGTATTTTATAATATATATATATATATATATATATATATATATATATATATATATATATATATATATATACACACACACACACACAATATATATAGTTATTCTATATATTATACATATATACGTGTGTAACTTAATTCTAAGCGTATTTTGATATTGATATATGTATATATTAATATAAAAATACACTTAGTATGACATTATGTATATATTTTTTACACTGATTGTTTTTTTTTTACCTTTCATTTTTTTTATTTTACACTTGCAGGAAGACTGCCTGTCAGCACAAGCAGTCCCCCTGCAGACAGATACATGGACAGCTATTGTGGCCATGTGACCGCTCTGTTAGAGCGATCACATGCCCGAGCAGTCCTAATTCACCGCATTCTCCCCGGACCGGGAGCAACGCTGATCGCTTCTGGGGGAACGGCGGAGATCAGGCAAGTACATAACACCGCTATGACGGTTTAGGACCGTCACCAGTCCTCAAGGGGATGTTTCTGGTGACGGTCCTGAACCATCATCGGTCCTTAAGGGGTTAAAAAAAACTTTATTCACTTATCTGATTCCAGCGCCGATGCCCCTCAGCACTGGGTCACACTCTGCGTCCTCCGATGTCATCTGACGTGGGAACCTGCAGCGAGGGGAAAAAGTATTTGATCCCCTGCTGATTTTAAGCGTTTGCCCACTGACAGAAATGTTCAGGCTATAATTATAATGGTCGGTGTATTTTAACAGTGAGAGACAAAAAAAAAAAAAAAATGCAGAAAAACACATGTCAAAAAAGTTATAAATTGATTTGCATTTTTAATTGCCTTTTTACAGGCATGATTCACTTCCTTGTTTTTATATAGGATGTCTCTAATTTATCTGAGTTAACTTTTTCTCTTCTTTTTATTTTCTTGGCTTACATTCCAACTAAGTCACATCGGCTTTAATTTGTTTCTGTTATCTTTGTTACCCAATGGTATACACTGAGAAGTAACTAATTTATGTTTCATAATATTCCATTTATTCACAGTTTTTTTCACAAAAGAGTTTATGCCGTTATCTCATTGAAATTGGCAATTTTTACAATTATATGTTTTAGCAGGTTTTTTATTAAATGTTTCCCATGTTTTTAATTCATCTTAGTTTTTAAATAACAGCCTATTTAAGATATTATACATAAGATAAAGTAGGGACTACTTTTTCTTATGCACAGTGTGATCCAACAAAAAGCCAAACTGCAGACATCAAGGAGAAAGTACAAAATGGCAGCACCAGGATACTGCAATCCAGAGCAAGAAAAAAAAATATAGCAAGAAAAAAAATATAATACACATAAAGGCAAGTGACAAGAAGCTATTGGAGCACAAGGAAAGAAAAACTGAAAGAAAATAACTAACGATGCTGCTTTAACCCTTTACAGGCGAAGGCAATTGTCTGTTCTGAATTTAAAGGGACACTATAGTCACCAGAACAACTAAAGCTTATTAAATTTGTTCTGGTGAGTAGACTCATTGCCTTCAGACTTTTTGCTGTCAGAGAGAAAACAGTGTTTACATTACAGCCTAGTGATAACTTCACTGGCCACTCCTCAGATGGCTGTTAGAGATCCTTCCCGGTCATGGCTGCCTAAAATGCATCCAAACATTCAGTATCTCCTCCCTCTGCATGCAGACACTGAACTTTCCTCTTAGAGATTCGTTGATTCAATTCAGCTCTATGAGCAGATGCTGATTGGCCAGGGCTGTTTTTGACTTGTGCTGGATCTGCCCCTGATCTAGTCTCAGCCAATCCTATGGGGAAGCATTGTGATTGGATCAGGCCACCACTTCTGATGATGTCAGCAGTTTTTCTGAGGCAAACAGCATGCAGAGTTACAGCTTCAGGCTTGAATACAGTAAGATTTTGTTATATTTATGGAGGCATGAGGGGCACAGGGGGGCTAGATGGTGGTTTTAACATTATAGGGTCAGAAATACATGTTTGTGTTCCTGACCCTATAATGATCCTTTAAGCCATGGGTCGTCAACCTGGTCCCTACCGCCCATTTGTGGGCGTTTCAGGATTCCAGTGGCTAAATCCTCCTTTTGAGAGAGTGGGCAGGCAGGCGCGAGTGCACACATGAAAGTACGAACTCGCGCAAGAATGTGTGCACGCGGACATGCGAACGCGTGTATGCGCGCGCAAATGTGCAACACGTGGGAAGAGGAAAGGAGGAGTGGGAACCGATAGCAGGGACAGGCAGAAGCAGGCAGAAGCGGAGCAGTTGTAAAATAGGAGAAAGAAAAGTTATAGGCAGGACAAGGAGAGAATTGTTGTTGGCTAATAATAATAAGTGGGCTAACTAGCTCAGCCTTACTTTTGTACATTACCATAAGGATGGTAAAAGAAAAGCATAAAAAAAAGGAGATAAAAAGGAAAAGATCAAAAAAATAAAAAAGGGAAGAAAAATAGAAAAAAGGGGATAAAATAAAGGAGGAGAGTATTTGTAAAAAGAAGAAAGAAGGAGCAGATTGCTTGCAGAATAGAAGAAAGAATGAGCAGAGTACTTGTAGAATAGGAGAAAGAAGGACCAGATTACTTGTAGAATAGGAGAAAAAAGGAGCAGATTACTTGTAGAGTAGGAGAAAGAAGGAGCAGATTACTTGTAGAATAGAAGAAAGAAGGAGCAGAGTATTTGTAGAATAGGAGAAAGAAGGAACAGAGTATTTGTAAAAAAGAGAAAGAAGGAGCAGAGTACTTGTAAAAAGGAGAAAGAAAGAGCAGAGTACTTGTAGACTAGGAGAAAGAAGGAGCAGATTACTTGTAGAATAGGAGAAAGAAGGAGCAGATTACTTGTAGAATAGAAGAAAGAAGGAGCAGAGTATTTGAAGAATAGGAAAAAGAAGGAGCAGAGTACTTGTAAAAAGGACAAAGAAGGAGCAGGGTACTTGTAAAAAAGGATAAAGAAGGAAAATAAAAAATATAAAAAGGAGAGAATTGTTGTTGGCTAATAATAGGAAGTGGGCTACCTAGCTCAGCCTTCCTGCTGGGCATTGCTATAAGGAAGGTAAAAAAATAGAAAAAAGGAGGGGAAAAAAAGGGGGGGGGGGGAGAGAGCTGATGCACAGATAAGAAATCAAATTATGTGCAAACAGAGAAGTTGTCTGAATATCATCGAAGAGGAGACCTTCGTTTGTTCCTTACGAAAATCAAACCAGATATCAAATATTTAGTCTCGCAGCATCAATCTCAAGGATCTCACTAATAACTAGTTAAAGGTAATTTCAATTTACTTTATTGTTTTCTTATTAAACTTTATAAAGTTAAAAACATTATAAACATGCATAAAGTAGAAATTAAAAGATAAATGTACGTACATTTCAAAAAAAAATTAAAACACCCTCCTTTCTAAAAAACATTCTGCACTTGCGCTAAAACTAGTGGGCGGTAAGGAAATGTTTCCATCAAGAAAGATGCATTAGTGGGCGGTAGGTCGAAAAAGGTTGACTACCCCTGCTTTCAGCTACAAGTTTTTTCAACCATAATTTACCTCATGTTTAGTGCATCCACACATATCATTTTGTTCAGGACAAATATGGCTTTCATTTGACATCTGATATTAACATATAAAACAATCTAATATGAATAAAATATAAATAAGGGTGAGAAATTTTAGTTTTTCCAAGTTCAGTATATTTTTTACTTTGAATACAATACTGTTTTTTTTACTATACAAAATACACATAATTGTATTATGTGATGTCACAACAATGCCAATTGTTACGGTCAAGAACACATGTATTCCTGACCCTATAATGCTAAAACCACCATTTAAGTGGCTTGTCTCCCCTCCCCCTTAAAAGGGATTAAAACATTCCTTATTTCCAACGCTGGCCCCACCTGATCTGCCTTCTTGGTGACATCATTAGAATTCGCGATTTTTATGGGAAAACATTGGATTGGCTGAACTTGTCAAGGAGGCTGGGCCAATCAGCACCTCCTCATTGAATCAAAGCATCTCTGAGAGGAAAATTCAGTGTCCCTATGCAGAGCGTGGAGACACTGAATGGCAGTGTTGTCTACTGTGCAGCACTGCCCCAGGAAGCACCTCCAGCGTCCATCTGGGGAGTAGTTACAGGAGGTGACCCTAGGAGGCAATGTAAACACTGCCTTTTCTGAAAAGGCAGTGTTTGCATGAAATGCCTGAAGGGAATGATTATACTCACCAGAACAGCTACATTAAGCTGTAGTTGTTCAGTTGACTATAGCGTCCCTTTAAGCTCCACTAATTATGCACCCATTAATATTGCCAAAACTGTTTTATTTTTTAATGTTTTTGTATTTTTTTCTTTTTTAAATCCTTTTATTAAATTTTGTCACATATAACAAAGAATTTAAATACATAAAAAACAGTACATTCATTTGTTCATATTTGACTTATTCAATCAGATAACCTATTATATTATAGTATCATAATTGATCATATTGACATTTTAAACAATTTAAATCATTCAGAAAGGAGCATCTTTTTATTTTGTTTTTATCTTATTTTATGTAACTCAAATTGTGTTTATGTAATCTTGCACAGGAAATTTCAATAAATGTGTTTATTATTCTGACTATATTTTTGGTAAACAGTGCTTTTTCCAGTTTTTAGTTGGTATCTGATTTGATTAAAAAAAATATTTTTTTAGAAGGGGTACTAGATTTCCAATTTCTGGTAATCAATATCTTGGTAGCCATAAGATAATGTATTGCTAAGCATTTAAGATTATTTATTGTAAAATTCCATTTTGTGTGGAGTAATGCTATTTCAGGTCCCCACTTCAAATTTCTACTAGCTAAAACTCTAAAACTATTATAAGCCCAATTCTAAAAAGGTTTAACCAAAGGCTATGACCACCATATATGAATGAGGGATCCAACTGGATTACCACATCTCCAACAATTTGGAGTATATTCAGGGTACATCTTACACAGTCTAGTAGGTACTACAGGGCTTGAAGATTTGGTTGGAATCTAGGAGCCAGCTAAAAAAGTTAGGAGCCAGGTTTTTTTTTTTTTAAAGGGGCACTACATTAAGCTGTAGTGGTTCTGGTGCCTATAGCCTGTCCCTGTAGCCTTCTCAATGTAAATGCTGCGTTTTCACAGAAAAGGCAGTGTTTACATTGCTGCCTACTAAGACCTCTGGTGGCTGTCACTCAGACGGCCACTAGAGAGTCCTGTGTCAGTGCTCTGCATGGATGCGATGAATGTTACCCATACAAAACATGCGCAATATCCTCCCTATGCTTTGCCATCACGGACCGGAGGGGAGATCAGTGATCTCCCTCCCCGGCCCACACAGGCCCTCCTTACACACACACAGCCCCCCTATCTCCACACACAAACTATAACCCCCCACACACAGCCCCCCTTAAACACACACAGCCCCCCATACACACAACCCCCCCATCTCCTCACACAAACTATAACCCCACACACACAGCCCCCCTTACATACACAGCCCCCCATACACACACAGCCCCCTATCCCCTCACACAAACTATAATCCCCTACACACTGCACCACACACAGCCCTCCTTACACACACACACAGCCCCCCTATCCCCTCCCACAAACTATAACCCCACACACACAGCCCCTTAAACACACAGCCCCATACACACAACCCCCCCTTACATACACAGCCTGCATCCCCTCACATAAACTAAACCCCACACACACAGCCCCCTTACATACATAGCCCTCCTTGCACACACACAGCCCCCTTGCATACAGCCCCCATACACACACAGCCCCCTTACACACAAAGCCCCCCATACACACAACCCCCATCCCCTCACAAACTATAACCCCTACACACTGCACCACACACAAATATACAGTCCCCCTTACTAACACAGCTTCCCCTTACACACACTGCCCCCCCATAAACACACATAGCCCCCAATACATACACAGCGCCACTCACACACAAACATACTGCACCTTTTACACACAAACACCTCCATGAAGCTCAGGACAGTTGGCTACAGTTGGCTACAATGCTCACTTAGCCGGCCGCCTACATGCTCCCGCGGGTGGACTTTAGATAAAAAGTGAATACAAATACAAAAAGATAAGTCCTGCGCTCACTCCCATCATTCCTGGGCGGCAGCAATGACCACAGTACACATCAGAACCAATATACAGTTAAAAACGAAAAAAAAGAATATATAGTTAAAAAAAAAATGTACCTGTGCTCTCTCCTCAATCCCTATGTATATTTAGAAAAATGGAGGTCATTTAGTTACTCCAATGGCCATTGGAGGGAATGCCTGCCTGCCAACATCAAGGCAGTACCCCCTAAGCAGGTCCTACACTGACCCTTCACTTTGCTTTCTTGAGCTTCTGGCAAAGATATCTACACTGAAACAGAGAGGGGTATTTTTTATATATACCCCTATATACTTATTAACCCTTAATAGGGAACACATGGGATGGGCGGCTGCATTGTAACTAGGCTGTGTGATACAAAAGTGAATACAAAAAGATAAGTCCTGCGCTCACTCCCATTTGATGGGAGTGTGTACTAAATTCATCTTACACACAATTATCAAACACCTAGCTTCTGGTTCTACGCCTTGATATATTATGTCTACTTTTAGTTCACTGGAGAAGATAATCGCTACGCCTTTTTTCTTATTTTTTTTTTCTAATGATGCTTGTAAAATAGTTGGAAACTTTTTTCTTTACCATTTCTGGGGTTCTGTTTGTTTCCAATGAGTTTCTTGTATGAAACCTATTTGAATTTTTTTCGATGTTATATATCATGCTCCATTTTGCTGGAGTACTTTAACCCTGTGCATTTATTGACATTAATTTAAGCATTTGAGAAGATAATCTTTTCCAAATACTTGAACTCCTGGTCTGATCACAAAAAAACAAAAACAAATAAAATAACATCTAACAAACAATGAAGATCTAGCATCTTGTTCCCTATTTACATATATCACATACAATTTTAGGAATTTTGTTCCATAATTTATCCTATAGCTTATAGAGCTATTCAGAAAACTGTGCAGTAAAGCCACACAAAGAGGGATGAACTGGTAGAAGTGGATATATTAACTTGATTTTAGATTTGTTTCCTATGCTTTAGCCCCTTCGACCGCGGACGTACCTTGTATGTTTTTTAGTAAATAGCCACTTATCTGATCGCTGGCGATCGTGATCACATGGCCCGGGAGGGCCAGATCAGGCACTGGGGGCTCCCTGAGCTCCCAGGCAGACCCCAGGATCATGATCGCCAGCGATCAGATAAGTGGAGATTTACTAAATAAAAATAAATAAATTGAAAAAAAATACAATTTAATATAATAAATAAATAATAAAACAAATATTTTATACATGTATATATTATAAAATAATTAAAGCATTTTATAATATATTATACATATATAATTTCATTATAAGTGTACTTTGAGATTTATATATATATATATCTCAAAATAAACTTATAATGAAATTATATATATATATATATATATGCATTATATATGTATAATATATTATAAAATGCTTTAATTATAATTTATTATACATACAGTTGCAAGAAAAAGTATGTGAACCCTTTGGAATGATATGGATTTCTACACAAATTGGTCATAAAATGTGATCTGATCATCATCTAAGTCACAACAATAGACAATCACAGTCTGCTTAAACTAATAACACACAAAGAATGAAATGTTGCCATGTTTTTATTGAACATACCATGTAAACATTCACAGTGCAGGTGGAAAAAGTATGTGAACCCTTGGATTTAATAACTGGTTGAACCTCCTTTGGCAGCAATAACTTCAACCAAACGTTTCCTGTAGTTGCAGATCAGACGTGCACAACGGTCAGGAGTAATTCTTGACCATTCCTCTTTACAGAACTGTTTCAGTTCAGCAATATTCTTGGGATGTCTGGTGTGAATCGCTTTCTTGAGGTCATGCCACAGCATCTCAATCGGGTTGAGGTCAGGACTCTGACTGTGCCACTTCAGAAGGCATATTTTCTTCTGTTTAAGCCATTCTGTTGTTGATTTACTTCTATGCTTTGGGTCATTGTCCTGTTGCAACACCCATCTTCTGTTGAGCTTCAGCTGGTAGACAGGTGGCCTTAAGTTCTCCTGCAAAATGTCTTGATAAACTCGGGAATTCATTTTTCCTCCGATGACAGCAATCCGTCCATGCCCTGACGCAGCAAAGCAGCCCCAAACCATGATGCCCCCCACCACCATACTTCACAGTTGGGATGAGGTTTTGATGTTGGTGTGCTGTGCCTTTTTTTCGCCACACATCGTGTTGTCTGTTTCTTCCAAACAACTCAACTTTGGTTTCACCTGTCCACAGAATATTTTGCCAGTACTGAGGGAACATCCAGGTGCTCTTGTGCAAACTGTAAACGTGCAGCAATGTTTTGTTTGGACAGCAGTGGCTTCCTCTGTAGTATCCTCCAATGAAATCTGTTCTTGTTTAGTGTTTTACGTATTGTAGATTAGCTAACAGGGATGGTAGCATTTGCCAGTGACTCATTGAGCAGTCTGCGTTGTGCTCTTGCAGTCATCTTTACAGGACGTCCACTCCTAGGGAGAGTAGCAGCAGTGCTGAACTTTCTCCATTTATAGACAATTTGTCTTACCGTGGACTGATGAACAGCAAGGCTTTTGGAGATACTTTTACAACCCTTTCCAGCTTTAGTCAACAATTCTTAATCGTAGGTCTTCTGAGAGCTCTTTTGTGCGAGGCATCATTCACACCAGGTAATGCTTCTTGTGAAAAGCAAACCCAGAACTGGTTTGTGTTTTTTATAGGGCAGGGCAGCTGTAACCAACACCTCCAATCTCATCTCATTGATTGGACTCCAGTTGGCTGACATCTCACTCCAATTAGCTCTTGGAGATGTCATTAGTCTAGGGGTTCACATACTTTTCCCACCTGCACTGTGAATGTTTACATGGTGTGTTTAATAAAAACATGGCAACATTTCATTCTTTGTGTGTTATTAGTTTAAGCAGACTGTGATTGTCTATTGTTGTGACTTAGATGATGATCAGATCACATTCTATGACCAATTTGCGCAGAAATCCATATCATTCCAAAGGGTTCACATACGTTTTCTTGCAACTGTATATATGCATACATATATATATATATGTATATATATATATATACATACATACATACACACATGCCTTCTCTGCCTGAAGAAGTGATTTTATCAGAGGCCATACAGATGTTCAAACAGCTACTAGATGCATACTTGCAAAAACAGAATATTCAAGGATATAATCTTTCAATGTAGGGTAATAACTGCTTGATCCAAGGATAAATCTGACTGCCATTCTGGGGTCAAGAAGGATTTTTTTCCCCTAGCTTGTTGCAAAATTGTGCTTCAAACTGGGTTTTTTTTGCCTTCTTTTGGATCAACAGCAAAAAACAAATGTGAGGAAGGCTGAACTTGATGGACGCAAGTCTCTTTTCAGCTATGTAACTATGTAACATACATGCATACACATATATATAACCAAGAGGGCTGCACTCACCTGAACATGCATACATTATAGGGTGTTGCTGGGGCCAAAATATACAAAATACAAAATCCAGTGCACTCGCTTGCTTATTCACTAAACAATGATTTAAAATCTTAGAGATTGTAATAGTTTTATTTAAAAACACCTCACCTAGGACAAAAAATAATGGGGGCTTAATTACATTTTATGATCATATATTGCATAAGCCTGCCACAACGTCAATGTACCCCATTCTTGGCAGGTCCTACTCTAGCAGCCTAATGCTTGCTTTTATGAGATTAATCCACTTACTTGGGAAATACTTCCTTACTGGGACTCTCTGCAAGTCAAGGCTAAATAGGGTCCTGGAATGAGGCACCTGTGACAGGGAGGGGTGCAAAACCAAGGAGTTGGCCTGGACTCCCAAATATATAAATTAAACCCTGAACATGGATACATTATAGGGTGCTGCTGTGGCCAAAATATACAAAATACAAAATCCAGCGCACTCTCTTATTCACTAAACAATGATTTAAAAGCCTGCCACATCGTCAATGTACCCCATTCTTGGCACGTCCTACGCTAGCAGCCTAATGCAATATATGATCATATAATGTAACTAAACAGGGAAGGAGCCTGGCGTTTAAAAACTACATGCATACACCTTATATACCTTCAGTCTCAGCCAGCTTACATTAAGTGGCTCATGACCATTTGAGTGTGACCATTTATTATATTAGTTACACAGAAACCTTACGTTATCATCCTATGTTGCGTTTTTCCTGTTTTTTTTTTTTTTATCTACAGGTTTGGTCTAAGTGCTTATAAAGTGTGCAATACGGGTAACGTGCAATTTCATTTTGAGTGCTCTCACCATTTATTTTTTATTGTAGAATTTAATTGGCAAGCCCTATATTTATTTAACCCCATAACTTTTTCAAAACACTATAAAACCTTTACATGAGGGGTATTGTTATACTCGGGAGACTTTGCTGAACACAAATATGTGTTTTAAAAAGTAAAACTTATTTAACTACGCGTATGAACGTATGGCTATCCTCTCCCTAAGAGCTAACTCTAAAACAAGACAAATCTGGGAGCCAGGGGAGGCCCTATACCCCTCTAACCCCCTACCCCTGAGATAGGAGAGACAGAGGGAAGCAAAAAAAATAAAAAATAAATAAATAAATAATAAAAAAAAAGGGACAAGGGAAAAGGGAGAGAACATGTGAGGGTTCAATACCAGTATCCCCTTGTTCGCATGGGGCAAACACTATACCAGCTTGTTGGCATTGTGGAAAGTGCACTCATGATGTGTGGCATGGAGCATACACTATACAGAATGTTCTTCTTTCTACTCCCCCCCCTCCCTGTGTCCTTCTTACTCCCCCTCACTCCCTATGTTCTTTTTACTCACCCCCTCTGTTCTTTTTACTTTCTTTTTACTACCCCCCTCCATTCTTTTTACTCCCCCCTCCATTCTTTTTACTCCCCCCCGTTCTTTTTACTCCCTTCCCCCCCCCAATCCTCCCTACGTTCTTCTCGCCTCCCCTTCCCTGTGTAGAGTGGGTGGCCGAGCTCCTCTTCGTCCTGTCAGTCCGGGTACTTCGCGGTACAGGAGATTCAGTTACCTGTTCCCGGCCGGACTGACAGGAAGTGCACACTGAGTGCTCACTTCCTTTCAGTCCGGCGGGAACAGGTAACGGAATCTCCTGTACCGCGCAGGGCGCCCCCTGCTATAGGGCGCCCCCGCTATAGGGCGCCCTAGGCAGCCATACAGACGACCCTATACCCGGCGTATAAGACGACCCCCAACTTTTGAGAAGATTTTCCAGGGTTAAAAAGTCGTCTTATATGCCGGAAAATACAGTACCTCCCCAGCTGTGTAGTTCTCTCATTTCCACTTCTCCTGCTATATCTCCTACAAGAGAAAACATAGGTAGGCCTCACACCTACAGTAAGTAGTCAGGAGAGGAAGCACCACCCTTTCTACCATTTACAGCAAGACTCCAGCGATGGGAGTGTATAGATGGGACAGCCACCAGACATTATGGCACACAACAACATAGGGGTCAATGTTTGAAACTATGTATGGTATACTGTTTGTTATTGACCTGGTACGTGTATTAATTGTGTCTGACCCTGTATTCTGTAAAATGTGGCAATGTTAAAGTGGAATATCAGAGATGTATCAACTGAAAGTAAAACAATAAAGTTAAATTATAAAAAAAAAAAGTAAAACTTATCACGACGATATCATCACCAGTAAAAGTGCAGTTTTTGTTTAAAAAAAGGCAAAAAACAAATAAAAAAAGCTAACTTTGTCCAGTGTTTGTGACTACGTAGCTACTACAACAAACTGGAAACCACATTTTGAATACCCTGGGTTGTCGACAATTGAAAATGGTATGCAATGATGGGGTTAATTTACATTCCTGGGCTACCACATGGTTTCAAAAGGCAACATAGACCCAGCAAACCAATCTGGAAAACTGAATTGGGCAAGCCCTATATTAACCCTGTAACTTTCCAAAACACCATAAAACCTATACATGGGGATATTCTTATACTCAGAAGACTTTGCTCAACACAAATATGAGTCTTTACAACAGTAAAACTTATCAGGACATTGAAATTACCAGTGCAGTTTTTGTGCAAAAAAGAAATGCAAAAAACAAATATGAACGCTAACTTTGGCAAGCATTTGTGGCAATGTGACTACTACAAAAACTGGACATACCCCATTTGAATATCCTGGGTTGTCTACGGTACTTTTTTAAATGGTAAGTCACGGTGGGGTTAATTTTCATTTCTGGGCTGCCATACCGTCTCAAAGGCAACATAGCCAATCTGGCAAATAGCAATTTACAAAAACAGAAATTGGCAAATCTTATGTTTGACCCTGTAACTTTCTAAATCACCATAAAACCTGTACTTGAGGGGTACTGTTGTACTCATGAGATATAAATCTACACAAATATGAGTGTTTTAGAGTAGTGATGTCCAGAACTGTTCGCCGAACTGTTCGCGAACGGTTCGCCACGGACTCCAGTCAGCAGACACATTCCAGCCAATCAGCAGCAGACCCTCCCTCCCACCTCCTGGACAGCATCCATTTTGAAGCTGCATTCTTAGTGAGCTGTCCAGGAGATGGGAGGGTCTGGGAGGGAGGGTCTGCCGCTGATTGGCTGGAATGTGTCTGCTGACTGGAGTCTGCGGCGAACCGTTCGGCGAACAGTTCGGGACATCACTATTTTAGAGCAGTAAAATGTATTATACTGATAATATAATCAGTGAAATGGCAGTTTATGTGTGTATAATGCAAAAAAACCTAATCTAAACGCTAATTTTGGCCAGGGTTTGTGACTGAGCGGCTACTAAAAAAGACTGGACATACCCCATTTTGAATACCGTGGATTGTCTACTTTTACAAATGGTATGCCATGATGGGGTTAATTTTCATTCCTGGGCTGCCATATGGTCTCAAAGGCAACATTTGCCCAGCAAACCAATCTGGCAAATTTCAATGTGCAAACATGGAAAAGGGGAAAGCCCTACATTTGACCCATGTAAGTTTGTAAAAACCCATAAAACCTGTATATTGGGGGCACTGCTGTACTCAGGAGATGTTGCTGAACACATATCGGGGTGTTCTTTGTCAGTAACATGCAACAGGAACTGAGAATCCATGCCTAAAGTACAATGTGAGAGAAACATAACACAAAAAAATAACTACCCAAAAGTTTGGACTGGTGGTAGAATTAGTGCATGGAAAGTGTTAAAATACCACCATTTGAAACACCCTAGGGCAGTGATGGCGAACCTGTGGCACGCCGGGCCCTCTCTGTGGGCACGCATCCATAGGTCGCCGGGGGAGGGGACCGCTGGCTGTCGGCAGCAATACAGAGTAGGCACCTGCCTGCATTTTGTAATAAAGTTTTTTTTTGCGTTTAAAACTTATTTCAATTTCATCCACTCTCCACTACCCTTCTCTTTTACCCTACTAAGTTTTTAAATATGATTGACTATGTTTATTATTTTTGGTCATGTGAACTGTGATGTCATGGAACCAGTATTTTCACATTTCCCCCCCTATTTAAGCAGCTTAGGTTCCCCGTGTCTTCCCTTATTAAAGAGGCTTAGTTTCCCAATGTCTGTAAAACACTTTTGAGAAAGCTTCTTGCCAGGTATATTTTTACTTGTTTTATATTTTTATATTAATTACCTTTAAATAAAAGTGGCTTTTTATTGGACCAACCTTTGCTGCTATTTTGCTTGAACTACCGTATTTGTGGTGGGGATTGTACCACCCAAGCCTGAGGGATAGAGCAGTCCACATCTGATACATCAAATGGGAGTAAATTTCTTACCACTTTAATTGTATTCTGTACCTTACGTTACACACTATTTTGTTTTGTTTTTTTTTGTTTCCTTTTTCTCCTATATTTCTGGAGGCAAAAGACCATTATCTATACCTATAAGTGGGCACTACACTATAATATCCTAAGCCCATATCTGAAGAACTGCTGATGTGTCTACCATTTGAGTGACTGCAACCACCAAGAACCACACTATATCCATAGGAGGGGATTGTTTCACCCAGGCTTTTAAGTTGGAGCTACAATTTTAGTTCCAGGAAATTGTGAGTGTATTTCTTTTTGTTTTATTCTATTTATTTGGACAGTGATATACTACACTATATATTTCCCCTTGTTTTCTTTATATATATATATATATATATATATATATATATATATATATATATATATATATATATATATATATATATATATATATATATATATATATATTTAAGGACATTTTAGGCGCTGCACCACTTCTTGTACTTTCATCTGTTTGTGGACGGGACGAGAGACCCCGGCTCCGGTGACTTAGCTGCCCTTTGGACTATTCCAGTTATTGCTTAGTGCTGAATACCCTTTAGCTTTTTTGATTATTTTAAATTTGTATCATTGGAACATCTTTTAACTCTCTGTTGTGTTCTTCTTTTAAAACAAAAGATGTTAATTAGTTCGGACAATTGTACGAGTTGTTTTTTTTCTACAATTAAACCTCAGTATTCAGCTTTAATTGCTGTGTTGGCACTTTGAGGAAAAAAAAGTTGGCATGTATTGCAGTTTGGGCACTCTGGCTCAAAAAGGTTCGCCTTCACTGCCCTAGGGTGTCTACTTTTCAAAAATATATGGTTTGATGGTGGTAAATTACATTGTCCGGCTTCAAAAATGTCCCAAATAGGACATGGGTGCATGATGACCAGCTGTGAAAAAGTTGGAAAACTGGAATGTGCACCCTCCAAATAAGGTCTTTTAGCCCCCAGAGAACCTGACAAACCTATACATGGGTGTTATCACTTTGCTCAGGAGATGTTACTGAATATATATTGGGGTGTTCCTCGGCCGTAACCCTTAAGGTTCTCAGTACATTTATTCCTAAATTTCTATGTGTGTCAAAAAAGTCACCAATTATTTTATTTTTTTATTTGGCTTAGATTGGTGGTATAATGGTTGCATGAAAAGAGTCAAAATACCCCAAGTTTAATACCTTAGGTTGTCTCCTTTTAAAAAATATATACACGTGAAGGGTTACTCAGGGTTATTCTTTTAGCCCCCAGAGAACCTGACATACCTATACATGGGTGGTATCACTCTACTCAGGAGATGTTGCTGAACACATATAGGAGTGTTCTTTGGCCGTAACCATTAAAGTTCTCAGTACATGTATTCTTAAATTGTTATGTGTTTCACAAAAAGTCACCATTTTTTTTTTATTTGGCATAGATTGGTAGTATAATGGTTGCATGAAAAGAGTCAAAATACCCCAAGTTTAATACCTCCTTTTAAAAAAATATATACATGTGAAGGTTTATTCAGGGGAGGAGGGGAAAGAACACTATGGGACAGGTGAGGGGGAGAAAAGAACACTATGGGACAGAGGAGGAGGGAACACTATGGGGCTGGGGAGGAGGGGGGAAATAACATTATGGGACTGGGGAGGAGGGAGGAAAGAACACTGAAAGAGAAGGGAGAAGGGAAGTTTTTCATATTATATTAATTAAATTATTTAAAAAGTCTAATATTAATAAAATTATAGGAAAAAAACTTTTTTTAAATCATGTTGGAAAAAAAGTCATTTTCGGTTTCCGTATTGGCCAAGGGCATCGTGAATCATCGGTTTTGGTTTCGGCCTAGAATTTTCATTTTGGTGCACCGCTAAAAAATAAACTTGGTATGACATGATATATAAGATATATATATATATATACACACATATTATATATCGATATAATATATGTACATATATCACATTTTTTTTAAACTTTTTAAAAAAACTTTTTTCACCTGCAGTGGAACCTGCTGGCAGCACTATGGACACCTATTGCGGCAATGTGACTGCTCGGCCCTAATTTGCAAAGGGAGGACTGTCTGGGCGGTCAGACAGTCCTCCCATAGAAGAGGAACACAGATCGCTGGGCGATCGGGTATGTACATATTGAGGGAGAGGGAGGGAGAGGGAGGGAGAGGAAGGGGTTACATATTTTCTTAATTATTTATTTATTTTTATATTTCATTTATCTTCACTGAGTACCTTGAACCCTCGTGGGGCAATCTGTAAGTGATCGCTCCGGGTGGCCCGGCAGTGAGGGGGGGAGGTATTCCTCGATACCTCGACATCGAGTCATCGCTGCAATACCGTTAGAGCAGCTGGAAGCGGTCATGATCGCTTCCAGCGCTCTAATTAGCCTCAGACGTATCAGGTACGTCTGCGGCCCTTAAGGACCGTTTTTTGTTGGACATACCTGATACGTCCAAGGTCACTAAGGGGTTCAATTCATAAGAATAGAAACAGTCGATGATATCCCCAGGTAGTTCTAATGAGATATTTTGAGGTTTGCTCATCTTGTCACATCTTTCAATCTTTTCTTCTTGGTCATTTAGTGGAAGGCCCAATGCAACAAAATATTCATTTAGCATGTTTCAAATCTTCTTGGTTAGTGTGTTCTGCAAAGTTTCAAAATCTTAATTGTTTTTCTTTGTAAATGATCTCCCATATGATTTATCTTAAGATCAAATGTAGACATTTTTGTGTTTTCTTCTTTCAGTTGATTAACTTGAAAATCCATATCCATATATTGATCTTCCATGTTTTGACTCTTTTTTTGATAACTGATTAATTTCATTTTTAAATTTGTTTGATTTCTAAGGTATTTGTATAAATGTCTTAATTTCTTCTAGAATGTTTTGTAAACTTGCGTTTAGTAAATCTGCCGTAACTGCATCTTTTTCTTTTCTTATATCTAAAACTAAGATATCAGAATTTGTGAGGTAATCTCTGGTAGATCTGTTAGTCTTTTCTCTTTGATTTTGTGGTGAGAAATATGTTGAAAGACATTTATCTTGATTTTGTTCTTTCTTTTCTTTTTTAGTTGAAACTTTAGATTCTTGTGGGGTTTTTTTTAGCCATTGTTAATTCAGAATTTTCCTCTATCTCGGTTTTTCTTCTCCCTTTAATCCCTTTCTCCTCTCTTCTTCTTTTATTTATCCTTTCTTTTTATTTCCCCCCTTTTTCCCTCTCTATTCTTTTTTTTTTTTTTTTTTTCTTATTTGCAAAACAAAAAATTTCCAACGCTTTGGGTCTTGAATAGGGCAATACATTGAGATTCACCTGTCTTTACTAGCAAAGTTCCAAATATATATATACCTTGCTTAATTTTGAGCTGAACAATCTTTAGGCAATTTGTCCAAGATATTAGGAAACAGCTGGTTATCGGTGAGAAAGAGTTACAGGATTTTACCTTCTTTTTTTAAATCTATTTCCAGTTCAATTTCAGTTTGGCATGCTCATTTGCCTTATTCACCTGCTTTTACTTGCAGGGTACTAGAGGTAAAATCCTCAGAATTTTTGCACAGACAAAAACTAACTCACATTGGCCTTTTTTTTTTTTTAAACAGTCTTAAGAAACAATAAAGAGAGAGTAAGTTACTTATTTTTTCTTACTAAGTAGCTAAAACTTCTTCAAGAACTCGATGGGTAAGTGGAAAACAACTCTGGAAGCCAATTCCAGGACAAAAACTCAAGTGAACATCAAATGTGGCATATACTAAGGTGATGCGCTATCCCCAGTGCTGCTCTGCATAGGCCTCAACCCCCTTAACCACATCATCAAGAACAGTGGATACGGATACAGGTTCACAAATGGAGCTACCATCAGCCACCTACTCTACATGGATGACATCGAGCTGTATACCAAAAATGAGCGGGACATTGACTCACTGATCCACCTAACTAGGATATACAGTAAGGACATCGGAATGTTGTTCAGGCAAGAGCAGTGCAGGCAGACGATGGCAAAAACAGGGAAGAAGGAGTTGAAGTTCCAGAAGGTGAAATAGAAAATGTAGAGAACAGCTACAAATACCTGGGAGTACCACAAACGCATGGCAACCACGTGGAAGAGACAAGGAGGATAGCAACATCCAAGTACCTCTAAAGAGTCAGACAAGTCCTGAAGTCCCAGCTCAATGGCAAGAACAAGACCCAAGCCATCAACACATATGCTCTGCTGGTCATCAGGTACCCAGCTGGAATTATCACCTGGCCAAGAGAAGAACTGGTCACCATGGATGTCAAGACCAGAAAACTACTCACTATGAATGGAGGATTCCACCCGAAATCCAGCACCCAGAGACTGTACGCCTGCCAGAAGGACGGAGGTCGGGGCCTGATGAGTGTTAAGGCCACAGTCCTGGATGAAACACAGAGCATCCACAAGTACATCACGAAGATGGCTCCCAAAGATGAACTGCTAAGGGAATGCATGAGACTTCAACAGACAGAGGGTGCAGAAAAAGAGGAGGTTCCTTGGCAAGACAAACCTCTCCATGGGGTGTACCAACGGCAGATAGTGGATGTGGCTCACATGACAAAATCCTACCAGTGGTTGGAAAAGGCAGGACTGAAAGACAGCACTGAGGCACTAATCCTAGCAGCACAGAACCCTATAACACCCAGGTCTGGTAGAGGACCAGAGAATGAGGAATAAACATACCACCCAGGAGGGGTGAGAAAAATCATACAGTACATTACAATCCCTCCTCTCTATCCTGAAGATATATATAGGTTCAATGGGACCTTGAAGCAAATGCTGCACACTTTTGCCGACACCCATAGGGACTGGGAACGGTTATTGCTGCATCTCCTGTTTGCCTACAGGGAGGTGCCGCAGGAATCGACAGGATTCTCCCCATTTGAGTTACTATTTGGGCGGAGAGTAAGGGGACCCCTAGATCTTATCCGGGATCACTGGGAGGGAGATCGGAGTACCGACGGTACCCCTGTCATACCATATGTACTGGCGTTTCGAGAGCGTTTGGAAGCGTTGACCAAGTCAGTCCGAGAGAACCTCCAGGCGGCTCACGCACATGGTATGATGGGGGCGCCAGGGACCGCAGCTTCCAGGTTGGGCAGAAAGTTCTAGTTTTGAAACCAGTCCAACATGACAAGCTGCAGGCCTCCTGGCAGGGCCCATATAAAGTGATGGAGCAGAGATGCGACACCACGTATATAATTGGCGCCTGTACGGGAACTGGGGGGCGACGCGTGATCCATGTGAACATGCTGAAGCCCTACCAGGAACGTTCAGAGGAGGTAACCGCGATTTGCGTCCCCTCCAATGAAGAGTTCGACAGCTTGCCTCTCCCAGATCTCCTGGGGGACGGCAGACTGTCCGGGGATTTGGGGGAAGTTACTCTGGGGGATCGGCTGAGCCCACAGGTGCGTATCGAGGTACAACAGTTATTAAGCGAGAAACAGGACACATTCTCCAATATACCTGTGTACACTCCTTTGGCCACTCACTGGGTAGAGACCCCAGGACAGCTCCCCATGCGCCAAACCCCGTATCGCATCCCTGAAGCGGTGAAAGAAAGTATGCGTAAAGAGATTGAGGAGATGCTCCACGTCAGATAGCCCCTGGGCCTCCCCTGTAGTCCTCGTACCCAAGCGAGATGGCACAACTCGCTTCTGCGTGGATTACAGGATGTTAAATGAAAAGACGGTATCCGATGCATACCCTATGCCCCGGATAGAGGAATTACTGGACAGGATGGCTAGAGGTCACTACCTCACGACCATTGATCTATGTAAGGGGTATTGGCAGATTCCCCTGGCGCCCAAGGCCAATTCTAAATCCGCTTTTGTCACCCCATTCGGTTTATACCAATTTAAGGTAATGCCGTTTGGGATGAAAAATGCACCCGCTACCTTCCAGAGGAAGGTAGACCGACTCCTGGATGGATTTCAGGATTACATTTGTGCTTATTTAGATGACATCTGTAGCAACACGTGGGAGGAACATTTGGCCCATATAGGGGCGGTGTTAGATAGGATCTGAGAAGCCGGATTACCCCTGAAGCCAGCTAAATGCAGTATAGGGATGGCAGAGGTACAGTACCTCGGACACAGAGTGGGGTGTGGGAAGCAGAAACCTGAACCTGCTAAGGTAGAGGCAGTAGCCCAATGGCCCACACCCAAGACAAAAACCCAGGTCCTTGCTTTTCTAGGGACTGCCGGATACTATCGCAAGTTTGTCCCCAACTATAGTGCCCTGGCCAAACCCCTTACTGACCTTACCCGTAAAAACTTACCCCGCCAAGTAACCTGGACCCCGGAGTGTGAGAAGGCGTTCAACCTGTTGAAAGATGCACTTGTTAATGCCCTGTCTTGGCAGCTCCCGATCCAACTAAACGTTTTCTTGTTCACACAGACGCTTCTATGTTTGGATTGGGAGAAGTATTAAGCCAAGTCGGGGCCGATGGCGGAGAACACCCCATAGCCTACATCAGTCGGAAATTATTGCCAAGAGAAGTGAGCTACGCCGCCATTGAAAAAGAATGCCTGGCTGTGGTGTGGGCCCTGAAGAAATTGCAGCCATATTTGTATGGACAGCCCTTTTCATGCTCACGGATCACAACCCGTTGGTTTGGCTAAACCGGGTGGCTGGGGACAATGCCAGGCTGCTGCGCTGTAGTTTGGCGCTGCAGCCTTTTGACTTTAACATTCAGTACCGCCCGGGTAAACAGAATGGGAACGCTGACAGAGAAATGATCCAAACCGACCTAGAGAAATGATCCGTGAGCCTCCCCGGACATCCCCAAGCCGATCCGTGTTGGATCAGACTGTGTATGCCAGCTTGTGGGCAAGGGGGGCAGTGTAGCGGATGGCACTGGGCTGTCCTGAGAATTACATATGTTTTGAATGCATTTATGTAAAATGGCAAAGTTATATGTGTTAAATGTATTGTATTCGTCTGATTGTTCGGTAGTTTCATCCCCTTAGTTTGTTCGAATGAAACTACCGAACAGTCAGACCTCCCCTGTGTGAAGTGTGCCTTCAATTACCCGTTGCAACATTAGGGAAACGAACACATGGCGGCGGCCATTTTAAAACTCCTGAACAGCGGTGTTTTGCAGTCGAGTGTCTGGAACTCAAAATGGACACTCGACTAGGCGAACACCGCTGAAACCTCCACAAGCCTGGTCCGTTCGGTTCCAAACTACCGAACGGCCCCTCGTTCGGTAGATAGAAACAACCGAACGAGGGGATTCAGGCGAACCCTCCCTAGTCTCTGTAGCTTGAGGCTTTCGTGCAGTTTGTTCCCTTACTCCAGGATCGAGCGCAGGGCCCCATCGCATGGAACCCGATTCGGCTATTCTTTCCAGTGCGGTCGGTCATTTTATTCCCTCCATAAATTTCTCGAACCCCTGGTCTGATCTGGGTGATTTTTGGATATGTTGTTCACCCAGATCAGGGCTACCAGGGGATGTCTAATTTAAAGGGGTACCCCTAGGTTTAGGGGTACATCCAGAAACAGGGGGTGTCCTGGTTAAGGGGATTATGATGCAGGCTGAGGGGAGGAGATGTGTGGGAAGTTACCAGAGCAGGATTGGCTACTGTACAAATTAATGGAAATCCCTCCCTTGCATGGGAGCAGGCTTTATAAGGCCACTGTCTGAATAAATCTTGAGTTCTGCTCCTGATACTGTGTGTCGTCCAGTTATTGGGATTGCTGTTGGGTTACTGCTGTGTTATTTTGCCTGCTGGATACTTTACCCTATGGATTTATAATTGCTTGTTCCTGAACCTCCCTGGGATCTAAAGTGGAGATCTCCGCTACATACACCTAATGAATACATGCCTGAAAAATTCATCCATGCAATTCATTGGCGGCATATCTACTAAACAGTGATTTTATGGGGGGTGAGGGGGAGTTGCCCATTTGGACAGAGTGTTCCTTTGAATAATTATTGTAACTGAAGTTCTACAGTATATTTAACCTTTTATTGATGTGAAAGGAAACAGTTAGGAGTGAAATGCAGCTTTAAATTTGTATATACATTTAAAAAAAATTAATAAATTGAATCACTTGAAAATACTTTATTATTTTGGCAGGGAGGGATGAGGTCTGTGCACAGAGGCTGTGAGGGTGCAGGGAGAGAGGGGGCTCTGCATGATGCAGTCAGGGGGTCTCTAGAGGGTGCAGTAGGGATGGGGTCAGGGCAGGGTGCAGGGGAGGGAGGAGGTCTGTGCAGGGGGGTCTGTGAGGGTACAGGGATAGAGAGGGGGTCTGTGCAGGATTCAGTGAGGAAGGGGTTCTGTGCAGGGAGTGACTGGGGACTTTCAGGCTGCAGGGGAGAGAGGGGATCTGGGCAGGGGTGAGAGGAGTCTGTGCGTGGGGAGTAGGGTCGCTACCTTTCATGGAAAAAAAATACCGAACATACTCATTTGCAAAAAACTACTAAACAAGAAAAAAGATCAACTTTTTTTCTCCCCTCAAGCGAACCAGGAGGTTGTAACTGCACCCCCCAGGTATAGGAAGGGTTATAGCCATTTAGGATGTTCCCCTTAGAGAAGCAGCTAACGAACACCCCAATCAGCCGAACAGGAACCATACGAAATCCATCCACCAATCAGCCGAACAGGAACCATACGAAATCCATCCACCAAAAAGCCGAACGGGAAAACCATACGAATCAATTCCCCCAAGTACGAAACAAAGCTCCGTATTGAGGGTCAGCAGGAATCTGGTTTATTATGGGCTACCTGCCCGGTATTTATGCAGGCTTTCCACCAGATGGACACTCCCCTATGGGACCTGTAGTAAAACTGTGACAAGGACATTACAAGAACCAATCACAGGCTTACAGGTATAACCACTCCCACAGTACATTACAATCCCTCCTCTCTATCCTGAAGATAATTGGGAAGTAATCCAATTATCTCCGAGGACAGAGGCAAAACTCCATTTTATTCAGAGTAATAAAAATACAATAAAATGCATAATATAAAAAGTACCGAACAGAATAGATACATTCCACATACCTCCAGATAGCTAGATCTGAGCACACATTATCACCGAATGGCGTTCAGATCCCATATACACAGTTCAATCACCATTGAGCCAAAGTCTTTCACCTAGTCTTTTGTTATACGAATGGGCTGCATGGCATAGCTATCTGGGGAAAGTCTATTCGTGCACTGAGACTACTGAACGGACCGGCGTTCGTATGCTAGGGAAATAGAAGAAGGGAGGTCGGCGGCTTCAGCGGTGTTTGTGAGATATAGTGTCCGTTTTTAGTTCCATGGAGTTGTTGACAAACACCGCTGAGCATTCGTATGTCCAAGATGGCCGCCGCCTCGTGTTCGGCATACGAACAACGACCACCCAATCGACATTCAACAATTAGGAAGTGTCTGCGGTTAACCACAACGTCCTGATGGGGCCAAGAGGTTAACAAGCAGCACACTTCCATGCTGGGTGGCCGGCCGTTCGACAGTTGTTCGGTAAAAAGTATAAATAACGGTGGGTACTGTACGGACAGGGAAATAGCCGAACAAACAGACGAATGAGGGAACAAATAAAAGTATTTTACAGACAGGCAGTTCTGTCACAGAGGTAAATGAAGATCGGTCTCTGGATTCTTCCTTTCCAATAGTACCTTTTCCTTCAGATGCAAATAGTATTACTCCAGAAATAATGAAAAACCTGTTGGACAACACACTTAAAGAAATAAAAAAAGAAATCCAAGATAATTCTATAGATCTCAAAGGAGATATCTCTAAAGTTATAACTCGAATCCAAAGCATAGAAGAGAAAGAAAAACATACAGAATTCCAGCTCCTAACACTTAACCCCTTAAGGACACATGACATGTGTGACATGTCAGGATTCCCTTTTATTCCAGAAGTTTGGTCCTTAAGGGGTTAAAGAAACACATAACAAGATGGAGGCAAAAATTGTATCTCTGAAAGAGAAAATAGCCGATTTGGAAGATCGCGCTCGCAGAACAAACCTAAGATTTAAAAACATCCTAGAAAATATAACAAACGATAAATTAAGAGATTTCCTGAAATAATTTTTTACGGCTATGAATATTTCAGCAGATTCTCATGACATCAAAATGGAATGTTGTCACGGAATTTTTAAATCTCCCAATGTGAAAAATAATTTCCCAAGAGATGTCATAGTCGCATTCCATTTGTATGCATTCAGGAAACTCATTTTATCAACACTGAAAAAGAAGAAATTTCCCAAAGAAAAATTCAAGGAAATATATGCCCTTCCAGATTTTTCATACAATACAAGAAACAAAAGAAGAGAATTTTCTCCAATTTTTCAGATCCTGACAAAACACAATTTAAAATTTAGATGGCGTTACACATCTTCGCTTCAGATCCTGCACTACAATGATTGGCAAACCTTTAAGTCCTATGACATGGCAAGAGAATGGTTGAAGTCAACCAATTTCAAATAACTTTGAACTACAAATGAAGAAGACCCAAGAAGAACTTAAAGGACCACTATAGTGCCAGGAAAACATACTCATTTTCCTGGCACTATAGTGCCCTGAGTAATTCACTAATCTAAGGAATATATACAATAACAGAAAAAGCTAATTGGGAGCCTAGAAAAGGTGGAATGGAATGGAGATTTAGGGTTAAAACTTTAAAAAAAAAAAAATTAAAAAAAATCAAAATACATACTTGATAACTCCCTTTCTATGAATTAAGCTCACATGATTATTTAAAAGGAAACACAATAAAATAAATAAATAAAATAAATGAGAATAAGGGAGAGTGAAAGGAAGAAGAGACAAAGAGAGGGATTGAAGAGAAAGAAGACAAGATACTATGAAAGGAGAATTAAAACAATCCCCTTAACAGGGGGGCGAGGCCGGACCGCCGAGCTGGACGGTTGCAAAATAGATCAGCTCCTGCAATTCACACACATTAAAGCTTCTAAACTATGGAAAACGACTTGAATACCGACTGACAGCACTGGTCCTCGGTTCTACAGGGACACTGGATCCAGGCAGAGGCTGGCTCATCGAGCTTCAGTCCCCTGGAGGTGAGGCCTTCGACGACCAAGTTTGGGCCTATGCCGGCGGTGAGAGGAGCGGACGGCCGTTGCCCCACTATCCTGCCCAGCGGTCCCCAACCAGAGGCCCAGACCCAGAGGGACCCGGCCCTGTCCCCCCCTTATGAACCGGTGGGGGTGATCCCGGTCCTCACCCAGAAGCCAGGCAGCCAGAGCCCATAGGCTCCAAAGCCACACTCGAGGGCCAGATCGCACCACACAAGATGGCGGTTGCCATGTGCCCCGGAGTCGGCAGAGGGGAGTACTCCATAGTGGAGCTCAGAGCACCCACCGAGGCATCCAGGCACGGGCCCAGGGGGTCAGAGGAGTTTGTGGCCTTCCTTCCCTTCATTGCAGCCCAACAGGTGATATCATACCTGTCCACGCAACGAGCCATGCTAAAGGTGGGCAGCAGCGGAGGCCCAACTGGACCCACAGCAGCTGCTACACTAGTAGACTGGGAGTCTGCTCAACATTCACCCCTGCCAGTGACTGATGACCCTGCCGCCGAGCGAGGCACTCCCACAGCAGGGCCGACCACACTCTTGCCTTACGCACTCCCTGCAGTGCGGCAACCCCGAAGAGGGCCAAACAATGACTCGCAGCAGCAAGCCAGAGTTAGCAACGTCCGAATGCCAATTCCGGAGAGCCCTCACCTCCCGATGCCTAGAAGAGGCAAGCTTAACCAGAAAAGGAAGCAGCCCACAGAAAACCAGCAAGGAGCCCAGAGACGCGCCTGGAGAGACATCACCAGTACCCCAGCCTTGAGGGACACTAACACACTGTCACGCTAACACGGCAGATTAGGCATTGGCTGACCATGTGTCCACTACCACCCGTGAAGCATCGGGCCCGCCATATCGATGGTCCCTGGAGCGTGTGCCAGTTCACCAACTTTCAATCAGCCAACTTTACATGTAGAACGCTGTTTAGCCTTAGCATGTTTATATACTGAGCCTTTGAGTATAGCTTACCGTACAAATCTTCTCACACACCCAATAGACATGCATTCAAACTACCAGCTAGCATTACACAGCATAATGGTACCCAAGCTTGTTCCCCACTATGTTAAACTATTTACTGTACCTTTAAAACATATATGTCACAATACTACCATCTCTGTTATTGATCTTTGAAACACACACTGGCATAAGGGCAGGCCGTCAGCTAGATTTCAGATAAATCATAAAAATCTAGTGCTTACCTGATAGCAAAGTGCAGCAGTTTAAAATGTTTAAGGAATGCCATAAAGTACCAATTGATTGATGTCAGACGTAAATACCCAGCATGTATCTAAAATGTGTGCTTTATATCTGAATGTCATACAAATGTTAACGAATACCTGTTTTTAAAATGTTTACGAATAGTGTTGTGCCATCGCTGACATGCGTATGTTATCTCGAGCACAGCAAAAATAAAGAATTCAAAAAATGTTTTTAAAAAATATCCCCTGTCAGCTGACCGGAGAAGTTCGCGACATCACTACTAATGGGCAGCCGCACATGTTGGCTGCCCATTGGTCCGATGTCACTTAAGCCCGCCCACCTGTCAGTCGCGTCACTTGACGCGATGATGACATAGATGTAGGGGTGTGGTGTGCAGATTGAGTGATACCCACGTGGGGTCAATATGGGAGTGGTTAGTCAGTTAAACAACGGCGGATGAAGAATTCCCATAAATAGGGACCTAGTATAGGCACTGGATAACTGCACAATCATATTCGATCAACAAAAAAATATATACATTGAGTACCTGAGTAATGGACCCCGTTATAGAACATGAATTATCAATTCCTATAATGCATGGTCAATGCATCAATTATAATTAGAATATAATTCATATCCAATCAACTAAGTACATGTTGAAGTACCCAAGTAATATGCTGAATCCCATTGCTATGGGACATAGATTGATTACTATAATACATGGATTGTGATAAAACAGCAAAGAGCTTAATTACAGTATTACAACATAACTCGCAATTGATATAAAGAAGGAAAATAAGTGGGTCAAATTCCATTGAATCAAGGTTAACATTCAGGGACATAAAGTTACATACATGAGAAATAATAATTAATAAACAATAGTGTTATATTGATTTATCGTACAATGTGTTAAATCCATAGAAGGACTAGCAGGGATATCCCTGTAGATTATTTACATCCAAAGTAGAAAGAAGATGAAGACCAGCGAGATAGGTTAAAGAAAGGCAGTAAAGGAGAAACCCTCATTTAAACCAACAGGGGAAAGGATCTTGAGTCTGTAAATCCAATAGGATTCACGCTGTCTCAATTTCTTATCCCAATCACCCTTCCGTTGAGTATGTGGAATATGCTCTATACCCATGAATTTTAATTTGTTTGCAGAATTCGAATGATGAATCCTCAAATGACGTGAAATTGGGGTGTCCAAAGGTCTTTTGACCGAGTTAACATGTTCCCTAATCCTTAATTTGAAGGGTCTGAAGGTTTTTCCCACATATTTCATGCCACATGAGCAGGTAAGTAGGTAAATGACACCCCCCGTCCTGCAATTAAAAAACGAACGCACCGGAAAAATCTCCTTATTATTGCTGTCTGTGAATTCTTTGGATTTCTGCTCAATGAATTCACATGCGCTGCAGTGTCCGCACCTATATGTCCCCTTGGGTAGGTAATTAAGAGTCCCTCTTTTAAGAGGGGCTAAGTGACTCTGTACCAATGTGTCGCGTATATTTTTACCTCTCCGCGCAGTCACAGAGGGAAATGTGGCAACTACCTGTTTGACTTGTGAATCAGATGTCAAGATTGGCCAATAACGCTTTAATACACCCATCATGAATTCCCAACCTGCATCATATGTGGCAATACAACAAATTAATTTCTGATCTTGTCTTTGTGCTTTGTCATCTGTTAAAAGTGACTCTTGTTCAGTACTGATTGCTCTAATATAGGCCCTACGTACAACCCTGTTAGGATAACCATTATCCTTGAAGGCTCGCCTGAGTTCCCATGCCATGATTTTAAAGTTATCAATGGAGGAGCAATTACGCCTCAGTCTTAGATATTGCCCTATTGGTATACCCGCTTTTAGGGGCCGAGGATGATGACTGTGCCAATTCAACAGACTATTAGTGGCTGTTTGTTTCTTAAAGAGGGTAGTTGAGACCCCTCCTCCAGAGATGGTTATTGTTATGTCCAAAAAATTGAGTTGTCTACCGCCTATCTCGCTAGTGAATCTTAGATTCAGGTCATTCACGTTGAGAAGACTGTAGCGGAGATACAATATTCCCCAGGTTATCTCCGCTTAGGATCCCAGTGAGGCTCAGGAACAAGTAAATTATAAATCCACAGGCAAGGTTTCCAGCAGGCAAAATAATCCAATAGTATCCCCACAGCAATCCCAATGACTGGACGACACACAGCATCAGGAGCAGAACTGACAACCTTTATTCCACAGTGCCTTATATAGCATGCTCCCATGCAAGGGAGGGATTTTCATCAATTAGTACAGTACCCAATCCGGCAATAGTAACCTCCCACACATCTCCTCCACTCAGCCTGCATCATAATCCCCTTATACTGTACCCAAATTCCCCCAGTTTCTGGATGTACCCCTAAACCTAGGGGTACCCCTTTAAATGGCACATCACCTGGTAGCCCTGATCTGGGTGAGCAACATATCCAAAAATCACCCAGATCGGACCAGGGGTTCGGGAAATTTATGGAGGTACTAAAAAAACCGACTGCGCTGGATAGAACAACCGAATTGAGTTCCATGCGATAGGGCCCTGCGGTCGGTCCCAGTACAAGGGAATAATTTACACGAACGGCTAAGGCTACAGAGATCAGGTAGGATTCACATGAATCCCCTCGTTCGGTTATTTCTGTCTACCGAACGAGGGGCCGTTCGGTGGTTTGGAACTGAACGGACCGGGCTTGTGGAGGTCTCAGCGGTGTTCGCCTAGTTGAGTGTCCGATTTGAGTTCCAGACACTCGACGGCAAAACATCGCTGTTCGGGAGTTTTAAAATGGCCGCCACCACGTGTTCGTTTCCCGAATGGCGGCCACCCCGAGACAAAGGACCTACTGCATAGCTTGTTAATTACCCGTTCGCAACATTGTTGCAACGGGTAATTGGAGGCACACTTCACACAGGGGAGGTCTGATTGTTCGGTAGTTTCATTCCCTTAGTTTATTCGAATGATTCTACCGAACAATCAGACGAATACACTTTATTTAAACACATATAAAACCAGCAGTTTACATGAATGCAGTGAACACATGAAATTTTCAGGACAGCCCAGTGCCATCCGCTACACTGCTCCCCCTTGCCCACAAGCCGGCATACCCAGTCTGATCCAACACGGATCGGCTTGGGGATGTCCGGGGGCTCACGGATCACTTTTCCAGGTAAGTTTGTCTCGACAACCCGTCAGCATTCCCATTCTGTTTACCCGGGTGGTACTGAATATTAAAGTCAAAGGGCTGCAGCGCCAAGCTCCAGCGCAGCAGCCTGGCATTGTCCCCAGCCACCCGGTTAAGCCATACTAACGGGTTGTGATCCGTGAGCAATGAAAAGGGCTGTCCATACAAATACGGCTGCAGTTTCTTTAGGGCCCACACCACAGCCAGGCATTCCATCTCGATGGCGGCGTAGCTTACTTCGCGGGGTAGTAACTTGTGACTGATGTAAGCCACGGGATGTTCTCCGCCATCGGCCCCGACTTGGCTCAGTACTGCTCCCAATCCAAACATAGAAGTGTCTGTGTGAACAAACAGTGAGGGGTTTGGCCAGGGCACTATAGTTAGGGAAAATTTTCTGTAATACCCAGCGGTCCCTAGAAATGCTAAAACCTGGGTCTTAGTCCTAGGGGTGGGCCACTGAGCCACGGCCTCTACTTTGGCTGGCTCGGGCTTCTGCTTGCCGCACCGTACTCTATGTCCCAGGTACTGCACCTCGGCCATCCCTATACTGCACTTGGCCGGTTTCAATGTCAAACCAGCCTCCCTAATCCTGTCTAGGACCCCTCCTATATGGGCCAGGTGCTCCTGCCACGTATTGCTAAAAATGGCACAGGTATAGTCCTGGAACCCATCCAGGAGTCGGTCCACCATCCTCTGGAAAGTAGCTGGGGCGTTTTTCATCCCAAATGGCATGACCTTAAACTGGTACAAGCCAAATGGGGTGACAAAGGCCGACTTAGGGATGACATCTGGGGCCAGGGGAATTTGCCAATACCCCTTACATAAGTCAATAGTAGTGAGGTATTGGCCCCTGGCCATCCTGTCCAGTAGTTCATCTATCCGTGGCATAGGATAGGCATCCGATACGGTTTTCTCGTTTAATCTCCTGTAGTCCACGCAGAAGCGAGTCGTACCGTCTCGCTTTGGTACGAGCACTACAGGGGAAGCCCAGGGACTGTCTGAGGGCTCAATCACCCCTAGTTGGAGCATCTCATCGATCTCCTTGCGCATATTTTCCCTCACCGCTTCAGGGATGCGGTAGGGGGTCTGGCGCATGGGTAGTTGCCCTGGGGTCTCTACCCGGTGAGTGGCCAGAGGGGTGTAACCAGGTACATTAGAGAACGTGTCTCGTTTCTCTTCCAATAGCTGCTGTACCTCGATACACTCCTGTGGGCTCAGCCGGTCTCCCAGTGCAACCTCCCCTAATTCCCCAGACAACTGCCCATCTCCCAGCAGATCGGGGAGTGGTAGGCTGTCAAACTCGTCAGAGTTGGGCGCACATATGGCAGTTACCTCCTCGGAGCGCTCCTGGTAGGGCTTCATCATGTTCACATGGAGCATGCGTCGTCCTCCAGTCCCTGTGCAGGGGCTGATTATATAGGTGGTGTCACATCTCTGTTCCACCACCCTATATGGTCCCTGCCAGGCTGCCTGTAGCTTGTCATGTCGGACAGGTTTTAAAATTAGCACTTTCTGCCCGACCTGAAAGCTACGGTCCCTGGCTCCCCGATCATACCACGTGCGCTGGCGGGTCTGTGCCGCCTGAAGGTTTTCCCTTATCGTCCTAGTCAACGCTTCCAGGCGGTCTCGTAATGCCAACACATATGGTATGATGGGAGTGCCATCGGCGCTCCGGTCCCCCTCCCAATGCTCTCGAATAAGATCTAGGGGGCCCCTGACTCTCCTCCCAAATAGCAGTTCAAACGGGGAAAACCCTGTGGTCTCCTGCGGCACCTCCCGGTAAGCGAACAGGAGATGCAGCAGGAATCGCTCCCAGTCCTTGTGGGTCTCTGCAAAGGTTCGGAGCATTTGTTTCAATGTACCATTGAACCGTTCGCAGAGCCCATTAGTTTGGGGGTGGTAAGGGGCACTGATAATAGGCTTAATGCCACAGATCCTCCAGAGATGTTGGGTGAATTCTGCGGTAAATTGGGTACCCTGAACCGAGATAATCTCCCTGGGTAATCCCATCCGGGAGAAGATCCGCATGAGGGCATCCGCGACCGTTTCAGCGTGGATGTTGGTCAGAGCCACTGCCTCTGGATATCTAGTGGCATAATCTACTACCGTTAAAATGTACCTTTTGCCTGACGGGCTAGCTTTCTTGAGGGGGCCTATCAAATCTACCGCTATTCTGCTAAAGGGTTCCTCAATTATGGGTAGGGGGTGTAGTTTCGCCTTCCTTCAGTCTCCCCTTTTCCCTACCCTCTGGCAGGTATCGCACGTAGTGCAATACCTGCGTACTTCCTGGCTGATCCCTGGCCAGAAGAAACTTTGGGTCAGTCTGTACCTAGTGTGACTGACCCCTAAATGTCCGGATAGCAGAATATCATGCGTTATCCGGAGTAACTCTGCTCGGTACCGCTGCGGCACCACTAGCTGCCTCATCACTATCGGGTCTGACCCAGCAATCTTCTTCTCTGTCTCTCTGTATAAAAGCTGCTTGTCCCAGACAAATCTCTCTCCCTCCCCCCCGGGTGAGTCAGTAACAACCTTGTCCCTATATACTTGCAGCGTAGGGTCGGTTACTACTTCAGCTGCAAATTCATTAGGTGGGGCCCAGGGGACACATTCTAAGGAAGGGGAAGGATCTCTTACCTGAACCTCTGGGAGTGTGTTGTAGTCCTGGGTGCGGGCCTGTTGTCGGGTGACCACAGGGTGAGCTTCTCTTGTGGTGGGCGTCTGGGGCTCAAAAGCAGACGTGAGCCTCCCCAGATCGTTCCCCAATAAAACCTCTGCCGGTAACTGCGGCATCAACCCCACCTCCACATGTCCCGACCCTGCTTCCCAATGCAAATGTACCCTTGCTGTAGGTAGCCGGTACACTGCTCCCCCGGCTAACCTGACGGCTACAGTTTTACTGAGCTTAGCCTGATCCGAAACCAGGTGACTTTTTACCAGGGTGATAGTAGCTCCTGAGTCACGTAGTCCTTGGACCGCTTTACCCTCCAAGTATACCGTCTGTCTATGGTGCTGACGATTATCATCATTGGCCTGGACTGGATCAGCTTCGTGCAATACTTCCCACTGTTCCACGGTGGTAATAGGTACTGCTGAGCCATATGGTGTTGCCACTATGTCCTGGTAGTGGTGGACTGCGGCTGCTCTTGGTGGTGGTGGCGGGCCTGGTCGGATCCAGGTGGAACGATCCCGTAGTTGTGGGCATTCCCTTTTATAATGTCCCCATTTCTGGCAGTGATGACAGGGCCCAGAAGTGGGCTGACGGAAACGTGGCTGTGCAGCGGGCGGTGGTGGTGGTGGTAGTTGTCTCGGTGGAGCTGGGGTATAGTTGGTTCCCCCAAAGGTTTTAAATGTGGCTTTTGGAGCTGCAGGTTTTTGCTGCCTGCGTGCATCCAGGTACTCGTCTGCCTTCCTGGCAGCTTCGGTGAGGGAGGTAGGGTTTCTGTCCCTTACCCACTCCTGGACATCGTTGGTTACTCCCTCATAAAATTGCTCCATCAGCATCATCTGTATTATATCCTCCATGGACCGTGCCTTGCTAGCTTGCACCCATCCGAGTGCTGCCCTTTGTAACCTGCATGCCCACTCTGCGTGTGAGTCTTTTTCCACTTTCTTTAAATCCCTGAATCTCCGCTGGTATGCTTCTGGTGTTATAGCATACCTGGCCAGTATAATTTCTTTTACTTTACTGTAATTCCAGATTTCCTCATTGGGCACAGTACGATATGCCTCTGCTGCCCTTCCAGTTAACCTTCCTGCCAAAATAGGTACCCAGTCCTCTGTGCTGATTCTATGCAGTGCACACAATCTCTCAAAATCTTGCAGGAAAGCGTCTATATCTTCCTCTGCCTCCACATACGTTTTAAAAGCCTGGTATGGTATTTTTGGCTTACCTTCTTGTTGCATATTTACTGCAGAGCTGCGTTTTGGGGCTGCTGTTGTCTGTTTCCTTAAGATGAATTCCTGGACCTCTGTCATGGTCGTTCAAATAATTTCTGCTGGAGGGAGTTCCCCATAAAAAGACAGCCTAAATTGTAGCTGCCTCTGGAACTCCATCTCTTCCTGTGTTTCTCCCGAATCCCCCTGTTCGGGAACCGAATCGCCATCCATTAGGTACTCTGCCATAAGTTCAGTAATGAGTACCGCTTTCTTCTTGTTGCTGGCTTGGATACCCCTTGCCTCCAGGAGGTCCTTTAGCGTAGCAAAATCAATCTCCATCTGTACTCCATTTATGCTTGTTCCTCTGTGAGTCTGGATCCCAGCGCTGCCAACCAATGTAGCGGAGATACAATATTCCCCAGGTTATCTCCGCTTAGGATCCCAGTGAGGCTCAGGAACAAGTAAATTATAAATCCACAGGCAAGGTTTCCAGCAGGCAAAATAATCCAATAGTATCCCCACAGCAATCCCAATGACTGGACGACACACAGCATCAGGAGCAGAACTGACAACCTTTATTCCACAGTGCCTTATATAGCATGCTCCCATGCAAGGGAGGGATTTTCATCAATTAGTACAGTACCCAATCCGGCAATAGTAACCTCCCACACATCTCCTCCCCTCAGCCTACATCATAATCACCTTATACTGTACCCAAATTCGGGGGAAATTTATGAAGGTACTAAAAAGACCGACTGTGCTGGATAGAACAGCCGAATTGGGTTCCATGCGATAGGGCCCTGCGGTCGGTCCCAGTACAAGGGAATAATTTACACGAACGGCTAAGGCTACAGAGATCATCTCGGGGTGGCCGCCATTCGGGAAACGAACACGTGGTGGCGGCCATTTTAAAACTCCCGAACAGCGGTGTTTTGCCGTCGAGTGTCTGGAACTCAAATCGGATACTCGACTAGGCGAACACCGCTGAGTCCTCCACAAGCCCGGTCCGTTCGGTTCCAAACCACCGAACGGCCCCTCGTTCGGTAGACAGAAATAACCGAACGAGGGGATTCATGTGAATCCTAGACAAAGGACCTACTGCATAGCTTGTTAATTACCCGTTTGCAACATTGTTGCAACGGGTAATTGGAGGCACACTTCACACAGGGGAGGTCTGATTGTTCGGTAGTTTCATTCCCTTAGTTTATTCGAATGATTCTACCGAACAATCAGACGAATACACTTTATTTAAACACATATAAAACCAGCAGTTTACACGAATGCAGTGAACACATGAAATTTTCAGGACAGCCCAGAGCCATCCGCTACAAAGACTTACGAAGATTTAAGTCTTTTTTGCTCCCTGTCCATATGATTAGTACATCACCTCTGTACCATTTCCAACATGATATCATCCCCATGAAATGACTCAAATTAGATTTTCCCAAGTACCCAGATAAAGATTAGCGTAGGAGGGAGCACAGGATGTCCCCATCGCTGTCCCCCTAATTTGCTTGTAGATGGTGCCGTTAAAGAGAAAGATGTTCTTTGTAAGGACTGTTCTGAGTATATAGGAAATAAGGTCTATGAAGGCAACCGGAGTTTGTAATTCTTGTTCAAGGATAGTTTTAATATTGTCAATTCCCTGTGTACGTGGTATGAAACTATATAGGGATTCAACGTCCAAGCTACACAATAGTGCCTGCTCTGGTATGGAGATATCCTTCAAGAAATTTAGCATCTGTTTCGTATCTCTTATATACGATGGTAATTTTGCAACAATAGGGGACAGAATCTTGTCCAGAAAAATACTCAGATTTTGAGTTAAATTCCCACAACCCGAAACATCAGTCTTCCTGACGGATTGTCTAGGGATTTATTAACTTTAGGTAAACTATAGAAAGTTGAGAGTATTGGTTGTTTAACCAGCATAAACTCAAATTCATTTTTGGTGATCAGATTTCCCATTAGGGCTTGACTTAACATAGCTTTAATTTCGGTGAAGTATTGTGTGGTAGGATCATGATTTAAGAGTTGATAGGTCTCCCTGTCATTTAATAAACTTTGTACCATCTGTATGTATTTAGAATGATCCATAAGGACTATATTGCCGCCCTTATCCGATGGTTTAATCACCAATTGGTCATTCTCCTTAAGTTGCCTCAATGCCAATTTTTCTGTTCTAGTAAGATTGCCAATAGATTCTTTACTCAGAGTTCCTAATTCAACTTCCTAAATTTCCCTACACACCATATCTAGAAAGACTTCAATGTTCTCATAGTCTTTCAGATGTGGTGAGCAGCTCTTGGGTGCAAGCTGGGTAGTTGGGATGTTGGTGTCATTGGGATTATTGGAATCAAGTAGTTCAATCAAAGTTTCCAGGCAGTCCATGTCCTTAATTGTCAGCCCCAAACTTGATGCTTTTAATTCTTTTTGCGATATCCAGAAGATGTCAATGACGTAAAGGATAATCCAAATTAGTAAATTAGAAGAGTTCTTACTTACAGTTGACAGAGCTTAATCCAGCTCTGGTGTGAATGGCTTACAGCGGTATGAACCCTGCTTGCAGGATATACGGCAAGTATCCTCTTCTATGTAGTGGCAGGGGAGCAAGTTGGAAATAAAAATGGAAACAATAATGGTGCAGTATGTTCCACACGTGCAATAAAAGGTATAAAATATAATAGATACACTCACATTCGGTAGAGCTTTGGCTAGCTCTAGTTTGTTAGGCGTGCAGCGGTATAATCCCCGCTTGTAGGATATAGGATGAGTGATCTTGACGAGAATATCAATAGCTTGGAGAGAAGATTAAACAACGATAGTTCTCTCAATAAAATCTTGGTGATGAATAAAATAATAAAATATACTCACAGTGTAACAGCGTAGGTGGTATAATCCCCACCTAGGATTCTTTGGAGTATAATACCCAGGAGATAAAAATTATTCTTAAAAAAGTATATAGTATAAAATATATATAAAAGGCCAGGTGATAGTAAAAGATGATGGTTTAAACGTAAAAAATGACCAAAATCTTTTTATTAACAGTATATAAAAACAGTAAAAATATCCAAACGCGTTTCGCCAGTATAAGGCTTTATCAATGGATAACAAACATTTTAACCTGGCTGGTTAGAGTTTATATAGGTATAGAAATAATTAAAATTGTACAACCAATAGTAAAACAAATAATTTTTGCACATACATAGCAGCATTTGATGATAAGAATTGGGTAGATATAACTTATCTGATGCTTATGGCATAACTTTTGTATAAAAATGAGCATTATTTATTGAGAATTTTCATATTTTCGGCCGGACCACGTGACGTGCGTCATAAGCGTGACGTCACTTCCGGCCACACAGTATTGTGGGGCATGTAGTCATAAGGTAGACTACATGTGTTAAGAGTGAATAAAGCCCTGTATTGGGCAAAGGGGAAAGGGGAGTGGCCAGGGGACGCATAGGAAAGGGGCTAGAGGCAAAAATTATGGCGGCGGCCATCTTGGATGGGGAATGTACTCCTAAGAATTAACATGATAAGTGGCCATATTACTAGTGGTGTATATAAGCACCTTAATAAAATACAAAACTTAGGAACTACTGGTGCATTTAAAATTAAACATATAGTACCATAATAAAAAGCATACTAAAAACCTGATAATAATAATAATAGTTAAAATGATAGGTGTGAAGGACTTTTATGTATTTGCCTATATGCTTTCAGCTTAACCCTCTCCCTGCTGTTTTAATGTCTGTATTTGTTCGGTTTAAAATGTTGAGAATAAATATATTCATTTACCAAAAGGGGACCACACACCCTGGGTAGCAAGTAGCAATTAGAACACAGGATGGCGACCATCTTAAAACTCACGAATGCGGTCAGCGGGGCTTACGCATGAATTGCATGGAACTGTTTTCGGTACGGGAAACATGCGAACGCCCGGTCCCCATGGAAGTCCTGGATGAATACGTTCCCCTCCACGAATCAAACTGGCATTCGGTAGATAGCATCTACCGAATGAGGGGAACATTCACAGGTAACCAGCTGAACCATACGAACGGTGGTTTTGTTGTAGTTAGATGCGAACGGAGACCGCCTCTTGCTACTGATTCTATGGAACTCTAATTCGGATACCTCCACATGGCAAGCCGGTCAAACTTCCACACGATGCGACACGGAAACTACCGAACGGAAATTCGTGAGATTTGGATATGTGACTACCAGTATCCTCAGCTACCCAGGGATGTTAAAAGTATATTTGTATGTCTTGTAAAAAGTATGTTTCTGAAATTGTTAAAAATTTTAATGTTTCTGGCCAGCAGATAATTGAGCTGTGTGTATTGTAGAAACTCAATTATCTAGCCTGGCCCAGAGGAGGAGTTTTGTGTTGCATAAATTGTGAGTTCTGTGTGCCAGTAAATCAGTCTTGTTCCAGCATTAAGTTTTGGCTCATGTGTGGATTATTCGGCGATTCCAGGGATATTTCTGCTTATTGAGTGCTTTTCTTTTATGGGAAGAAGGGAATGCTTGACGGGGATATTTTCTACTACCGTCACAATAGGTTTGTGGATGAATGGTATAAAACAAATAAAATGGTATATAAAATTATTAAATAAAATTGAATAAATCAAAATAAACGTTTAAACCATTAGGAATTAATGTTTTCAAATTAAAAACCCATTCCATTTCACATTTACCTAAAATATTTTTAATATTGCCTCTTCTCCATGGAATAGTGCATTTTTTTATGCCGATACATTTTAAGAGACCAGGATCATTATTATGGATAGTAAAATGTTTAGATACAGTATGATTTTGGTATCCATTAATAATTTTTCTGCAGTGTTCTCCTAATCGTGTTTTAAGACTTCTTGTGGTCATACCCACGTATTGGAGCCCACATGGGCATTCTAGGAGGTAAATTAAATTTTTAGTAGTACAAGTAATAAAATCTTTAATATTATATGTTACATTAGATTTTATTAGATTGGAAATGTGTGGTTTTGGGTTTAATCGACTGATCAGTACATTTACAAACTTTGCAGCGTTTACATTTAAAGAACCCTTTAGTGTTAAATAAGAGACAGGATTGTGATTTTTTTGCGCTTTCTTTAGTGAAATTGGAGGTTAGAATGGATTTCAACCTAGAGTCGATAGATCCTGAGACAGATGCGCTCACGCCACGCACAGTTTCTCAAACTCTGTCAGAGGACTATGGAACAGGAGTCGCCCAGTGTGGGACAGATAGTAAGTCTTAATTTGAAAATATCGGAATCTATAGAGGCCCCTAGGTGTCCCCTCCGGCATGAGATCCGGTAGCTGCTTCAGTGAATCTGCTGTATACCACTGACTCATATATGTCCAGTCCGATTCTGCAAATGCTCTGATGTCCTGTGGCTTAAGGCCCCCTAGAAGATCGGGGTTGTGTGTTAGTGAACCCGGGGTGGTGGATAGCATGAGTTTGGTTCTGATCGAGTACCAAACCCTCAGTGTAGCTCCGATGAGCGTGTTATTCCGAGTCCGCATGCTCCCCAGGGAGCCGCCAAGCCACACAGCCGCCAGAAGCGTCCCGTCCATTTGGTTCTTCTCCATGTGTATCCAGACTTTGCTGGATCTAGGGACATGCCAACCCACCACTTGGTGTAGATGAGTTTCTCTGTGATAATCTTGAATGGAGGGGAGTCCCACTCCTCCTTGTGCTTTCGGCAGGCGAAGGTACGCTCTGCTCAGTCTGGGGGTCTTGGATTTCCATATAAACCTGGAGATGGCAGTGTCCAGTGCTCGGCAGAGGTCACGGGTAGACTGATCGGTATGGTTTGGAACAGATACAAAAAGCGGGGGAGGAGGTTCATCTTTATAGCATTCATTCTCCCGAACCATGAGACACATAGCCAGCACTCCCCCTCCTCCCCCAAGCGGCAGGTCAGTTTTCAATGTGTGGGCCATTGGTGCGAAGTTGTGGGGGTATATTTGGATCAGGTCTGCAGTGAGCCAGATAACCAAATATTTAAGCTTGGCCTGGCACCATGTAAAAGCGAATTGGATTCGTAAGTGGGCAGTAGTTTCTTCTCCTATCGAGATGGGGAGAGCTTCTGATTTTTCCGTGTTCAATTTCAAGTTGGAGATCTGACCATATTCCGCAAAGGCTTTCAGTAGATTCGGGAGGGAGACCAACGGGTTGCTGATAAAAATATAGCATGTCATCCGCATATGCGGCCACCTTGTGCGTCGTTCCCCGCAAGGCAAAACCATCTATTCCCCCATCCTGTCTGACTGCCCCCAGGAAGGGTTCCAGGGAGAGGGCAAACAGAAGGGGGGAGAGCGGGCATTCCTGTCGCGTCCCGTTATGTATGTGAATCGGTGCTGAGAGAGCCCCATTGATTTTTATCCTGGAGGTCGAAATAATAATAATGAGGAGATCCAGGTCATCAGGTGTGGTTCGAATCTCATGGCCACGAGCGTCGGTTTCATAAATTGTCAGTCTACCTGGTCAAAAGCCTTTTCCGCGTGGAGAGGAGATGGACCTTCTGCGTCGAGTGTTTTGCCGCGTGGATGACATTCTGTGTGCGCGTATGGTATTATTCCTCGCTTCCCTACCAGCGGATAAAGCCCACTTGGTTGGGATCTACAAGCTCCGGGAGGACTCTGCCGATACACATTGCGATAATCTTCATAAATATTTTCCCCTGAGGGTATCGTGCATCTTGCAGCCTTGGGCCCATCTCCCCTCGGAAGTGGTTTTTTTGTAGAAACGCGATGGACACCCTCGCTGCACCGAGCGTAGGAGATGCGACCTCCGTTTAGGCACGTTCAGGCCCCGGACATTATTCAACCAGAGGTGGAAAGGCGCGGAGGCAAACCCCCACTCCATGGCCGCTATGGGGAACACTGGGTGTTTTTAACCAATGAACGACTAAGCCAAATGTACATGTTGTGATCAAAACAAAACGTAAACAAAAACTTGAATTTGCGCTATATGTCTGTTCAGGCGTAATTCACCTCTTTCATATTATGTGCATTTTATTCAGGGGAAACAGAGCTTTCATTTAACATCAAATATTTAGGTATAAAACATAATTTAATATGAATAAAATATAAAAAAATGGGAGAAATTTTTTAAAAAATGTTTAGTTCTACGTGACATTCTAACTGTGAATGTCATAATACTGTCTGCTTTTACTGCAATAAAATACACATATTTGTATTCAGCGATGTGGTTTTATGGTGTTTTGGAAAGTTACATGGTCAAATATAGCAATCTACAATTCGCCAGATTGGGATATCCTGAGGAGCTAGTATAGCTGTATAGCTGAAGAGAGAGCTCTTACAAGACCTAGCAGTGATATAGCAGGTATAGCTGTTCCCTATAACACGAGACAAGGCTGCGAGTTGAGGGTAAGGTGGTCTGTTTTATTGAGCATAAAGGCATTTCTTTCATACACATTTTTAGGCCAGAGGCACACCCCCTGGACCTGATGGTAAACTGGGACAAAAGGGACACAAACCAATAGGAACAATAATTAGTACAGTAACACTCCCACATACAGTCAGCAATCCCTCCCCTCTGCCTGTGATATAATTAAGCTAGCTAATGGAATAACCTAATTATCCACAGGCAGAAAATATAAATTTTTACCCAAAGTCCAGAAACACCCCAAAACACAAACATATCCCCATATCCCCACTTATACATCCCTGGATAGCTCTGATCTGGGCGAACAACATATCCAAAACTCACCCAGATCAGAGCAGGGGTTCAAAAGTTTTATGGAAGTCTCTTTTGACCGACCGCAAGCATGGCTTTCATGCCCAAAACAGTTCCACAGATTTAGGCTGTGCGGCCGGTCTATCTTCTCTTTCAAATAAGGTACAAATTGCACGAACTGATCCGTTCGTACCTAACTTCGTTGAAAGTGTCTCGTTCTGTAGTTTATTCTCCACAAATAGCGCTCTGTTCGTGTGTTATTAGCCGAACGCACGGAAGGTGGAAGTCTCAGCGATGTTAGTGTCTGAGTGTCCAATTTTAGTTCCACACGTTCGATGACAAAACACCGCCGAGCGCGTTCGGCTAAACAAAATGGCCGCCACCACATGTTCATTCATACAAACGCCGACCACCCTGCCTGGGGTGGTTAAATAGCAGCACACTCCACATGCAGGGTGGTCGGTGGTTCGCCACTTTGTTCGGTTACTAGAATACTATGATCCGATTTGTGATGAAATCTTTATTTGCAGAAATCACTAACGAGCACCCCAGGAATCATAAAAAATCCGACCAGAGCAGGGAAACAAAGTCCAGTAATGTGTACTTTGGTGCAATAAGCATTAGGAAGGACACCCACACCATAATCACTGTAGGAAGGGACAAAACCACCATCACTACTGCAAATCAAAGAGGGGTTTTGTTACAAATAGTTTCCCTTTTCTTAGTCAGAACTTTTAACTATATTACGCAAAACAAAATAATTGCAATGGTGATGCTGCATGCTTCCATAATAACGATTCTAAAGCCAGAAAAAGACCCTACTCAAGTAACCAACTACAGACTGATCTCTTTGATAAATCAAGATATCAAGCTCTATTAAAAAATTATGTCCGAGAGGTTTAGACAGGTTATTCCGGCAGTCATACATAGGGATCAATGAGAGTTTGATGGGGGCAAGTCAGGTAATTGGTAAGGCATTTTAATTTGATTAGCTAGGCTTTCGCTGTTGATTGTTGGTTACTTATCTATTGTTTGCAAATAAGCAGGGGTCCACCCAGGTGTTAAACATTCATAGTGGGTGGTGCTTTTAGGAGTTATATAAGCATTGTGGTCATTAGCTTGGCTAATATAGCTTGGTTGCTGCTTTTTTTTTTTTTACATTCTTTATTTATTGATGTTTTTCCAAAGTAAATGGGATACAGAAAAGAGTGGGTAGGGTACGGCACTGTTACAATTTGTCAAGCAAACAGCAAATATAGCTACAACACTAACCCTTCGTATAGCAAGGGAGTTTATCTGATGGTTACAAACCAGTAAGTGGGAAGTGCACAGTTGTTTTTTTAGGTGTCTCTGTGGCGGAACCAACCTCGCCACAAAGCACTGAAGAAGCCTGGTTGCTCATCTGCTGCCTTTGGACTATGGCCCTGCATTAAAAACCTTTTATTTTCCATGCAGAAAGGCTTGTTTGTGCCTTTCTGCCTGGGCGTTCGGTAGATTGAATCTACCGAACCAAAGCACGAATGAAGGGACCACCTGGACAAGGAGTGTGCCAGGGATTTACCTCCCAGAAGCTGCGGCTAAAAGCAGCTTAATTGGTGAACGCAAGGGGGGTCGCTGTTCGTATAACCGAACACGTGACAGCGGCCATCTTAAACTCCTGAACAGCCAGCGGTGTTGAGCTACAAAACTTTGGAACTGAAAACGGACACTTATTTGCGTGAACACTGCTGAACCGCCGACCTCCCTTCTCCTGCCTTCAGTCATTTAACCAAACGCCAGTCCATTCGGTATTTTAATGTGTGAAGAGTGCTACCCCAGATATCTAAGCCATGGAGCACATTCTTATACCGAAAGACTATGGGAAAGACTTTGGCTCCATGGTGACTGAACTGTATGTATGTGATCTGAGCACCATTCAGTAATAATGTGCGCTCAGATCTAAGCTATCTGGGGATATGTTGAATGTATATGTTTTATGTAGTAATTGTAACACAGTGTAATTTTATGTCTTTTTACTAACATGTGGCTAATGGAGTTTTGCCTCTGTCCTTGGAGATAGTTGGATTACTTCCCAGTTATCTCCACGATAGAGAGGAGGGATTATAATGCATTGTGGGAGGGTTAACACAGTAAAGGAGTTTAAGCATGCGTGGGATAAGCATAAGGCTATCCTAACTATAAGATAAGACTAGGGACTAATGAAAGTATTTAGAAAATTGGGCAGACTAGATGGGCCGAATGGTTCTTATCTGCCGTCACATTCTATGTTTCTATGTATTTAAATGTGTAAGCTTGTGATTGGTCAATGTCCACTATGTATTCCATCTGGTGCCCTAGGGGAGTGTCCACCAGGTGGAAGACCTGCATAAAAGCCGGGCAGGTAGCCCCAGTAAATCAGTTCTGCTTGTCCCTCAAACAAAGTGTCGTCTCGTTCTTGGAGGGAATTGGATTGTATGGTGTTACAGTGCGACTGCCAGGAGTGTAATCGTTCGTATGGTTTTTACTCTTCGGCTGTTTACAGCATTCGTATGGCTCCAGTTCGGGAGTTGGGGAATTTGTGTGTTTCCTGTTCGAGAGATTGGTGCTTGCAGTAGCTGCCTATGTATCTGGAATGGGAATATCGCCTAAACGGTTTTTAACCCCATTTATGCTTAACGGTCCGTTACAGTCTCCCCATGGGTGCTAGGCCATGCACACAGTGTTGAGTGTTCCTTTTAGGGAGTTATGATGCTTTGGGCTATGTCAAGTCCATTGATTCGTGGGGTTCTGGTTGGACCCTGCCTTAGGGTGTTATTTACAACAGAACTGGGGACATGGGTAAGGGAACAGAACTATTAACAGGTAGCGGGTATAGAGTGTGTGGTGTTTGGTTGCGAAATTGTTAGAGTGGTTCATGTGGAGCGTGGAGAGGTGTGGGAAGAAAAGAGTTTAGCAGTTTATAAGAAGAGTAGGCGGTCCTAAGGAGCCCCCCTGGGATGCCCCGTGGGGTTGTGGGATGCAGGGTACGGTTCCTACAATGTGGCATATAGCACGTGGATTTGTGTGGTTATGAACGGTTTGTTCTTGTAAATAGGGGGATCCCATCCCACTGTTAACCCATTGATTCTGTGGAAATCCTTAGGTATGTCATGGAGTTGTGCCATCAGTAAGTCCATTTCTAATGCTTCGTTGATTTTACGTTTCACTGTGGTGAGCATCAGAGAGCGTTTGTTGGCCCATAATTCATCAATAACTCTACGCACTGCCAAGGCCATGCATGCTGCTTATTTGTTTTCATGTCTGGTCATTGTGTTGGTCTGGACAGTAATACGGCCCGGGGGTCCAGCGGGAATGGTTTCTCTAATACTAGTTTAATTAGTTTTTGAATCTCTAGCCAAAATAGTTGTAGTTTGGGACAAGATCACCAGCAATGGAGATACGTGGCCTGTTCGCCACAGAGTTTCCAACAGTCTGTGCAGTCTTTAGGGTGTGAATTACCAGCGGTAGAGTGTATTGGTGTTGTAGACACAGGCTCAGGCACTGAGTATAGTGGAAGAACACAAAACAAACAGTACAGTAAGGATGCGCCTAAAAAGTATACTAAAATATATGAAATAAAATACGTAATAAGACAATGTGTAAAATATAATATAAAAAAATAGTTGACAATCGTCCAAAACTTATCAAAGTTCGTGATGAGTAGTCTTTTTTGTACAGTTTATTTCCATTCCAAACAGAGCTACCATAAGAAATGAAGCCAAATCCTTGCTCCCGAAACCATTCACCAAGCCAGAAGTTAAAGTCCCTAATACACATCCGCCTGTCGTACTGAGTGTTTTGCACAGGCAGAACTTCAGAGAATGACAGTGTTTGGAGCAACCTGCAGTATATCATTGGCAAAAACACAAAAAACTTCCTTTACCTCTGAAATCTCATTGCAAGCCAAGTCATTTGTCCCTAGATGTACAAGTACATCCAATTCCCCTTCTATGCTTTTTGTCATTGGATGCAGTATTGCTCAACTTTGACATAGAGGTTGGAGGTTCCACAAACTCTGTGCCTGAGCCTGTCTCCATAACACCACTACACTCTGTGTCTGAGCTTGTCTCCACAACACCACTACACTTGGTGCCTGAGCCTGTCTCCACAACACCACTACACTTGGTGCCTGTCTCCACAACACCACTATACTCGGTAGGAAAAACAGAAAAAAATCAGCGCTAAATAGCCACAATATATGAAGGCTGCACTCCTCAAAAGGGGATCCCCTACAATTCCCCAAAGATTGGAAGAACACAAAACAAACAGTACAGTAAGGATGCGCCTAAAAAGTATACTAAAATATATGAAATAAAATACGTAATAAGACTATGTGTAAAATATAATATAAAAAAATAGTTGACAATCGTCCAAAACGTATCAAAGTTCGTGATGAGTAGTCCCACGGAAAGATAAAAGAAGATTCTTTAGGGTGTGGAGTAAGGTCAAATCTTCATATAGGATTCAGTGGAGCATATGTGGAGAAAAGAAGAAACAGGACTCCAATGGTACAGTATGTAGATACGTTGAAAATGAGATAATTAGATAGGTCTTACTCACAATTTTCAGAGCTGAGGATCCAGCTCTGATGTTAATCACATGAAGTGGAATAATCCCCACTCAAGGATATATGGAGTAGACTTCAAATGGCGATTCTCTGGTACACGTTCAACGTCCAAAGTACAGACCCAAAATATTTTAAGTAAACATGAATTTGAATATCTCAATGTATCTCATCCCATTATCCCAGTTATTTATTTTTTACCGAAAATTCATAAAGATATTACTAATCCCCCAGGCAGACCCATTGTGTCGGGTATTAAGTCTATTTTATCGAATCTATCTGAGTATTTAGACATTTTTTTACAACCTTCAGTGAAACGTATGAATTCATACCTAAAAGACTCGATGTCCTTACTCCGTTTTGTAAACACTTTTAAATGGAAAAATACATATGTTTTAGTGACTTGTGATGTGCAATCTTTGTACACCATTATTTGCCACAAAAAAAGGATGTTTAGCAGTTGAAAAAATTTTAAAAGCTGAAAAGAATATCCCTGATCAACAAATAGATTTTATTATCCAAGGTATTAATATTATTTTAAACAATAATTATTTTTGGTTTTTAGATTCTTTTTATCTACAAAAACAGGGTACTACTATGGGGACCAGGTTTGCCCCCAGCTATGCTAACCTTTTTATGGTGGATTGGGAATCCACTGCCATTTTGGGTGAACATGGCTGGCGGGCGAGCCTGGTTACATATTTTAGATACATTGATGATTTGTTTTTTATTTGGGATGGCCCAGAAGACTCTCTTAATCAGTTTTTACAACATCTTAACAACAATGACAAAGGTATCATTTTAACTTGGGATTTTAGTAAATCTTCTATCAATTTTTTAGATTTAGAGATTTTTATTAAAAATTATCAAATCCATACTAAGACTTTTTTTAAGAAGGTATGCACCAATAACGTTATTGATGTATCTAGTTGTCACCACAAACCATGGCTTCAAGGGATACCAAAAAGCCAGTTTCTCCGTTTACGTAGAAACTGTTCCCTCACACAAGATTTTGAGGAACAGTCTCAATTACTGTCCAACAAATTCTTTCAAAAAAATTATCCTAGAAACAATGTGGATCAAACGTTAAAATATATCAGGACAACCAATAGATCTGAACTTCTAGAATATAAAACAAATAAAGAAACGAAAACCGCCCCAGTATTGCCAATTATTTTCGACTTCAATAACAAAAGTAATGTTATGAAGAAGATCATAAAGAAACATTGGCATATATTAAAAGTAGGGATCGACCGATTATCGGTCTGGCCGATATTTGGTATTTTCGGCAATATCGGTATCGGCCAATTCAGATACCGATATTGCCGATAATATATAACAGTACCGCTGGGCCCATTACAAGCCCGGCGGTCCTGTGGGGGCCAGCAGCAAGTGCTGATTTACCTTGCATGCAGCTCCTCCAGCTCCCTGTGTAAATCTCGCGAGACCCACGGCCGCAGAGCGTTGCCACGGGTTACCATGGCAACGCTCCGCGCGGCACTAAGAGCCGCGAGATTTACACAGGGAGCTGTAGGAGCTGCTTGCAATGTAAGTCAGCGCTTGCTGCTGCTGAGCCACCACTGTACTTAACAAGCCACTGGACCACCAGGGGATACTATATCCCCCTCCCTGGTAAGAAGCAGGGAGGGGGGACTAAACAAAAAATAAAAAAAACATTTCAATATTAAAAAAAATATTAAAATAAAAAATTACACAAATTACATCACTACACACACACTGCACACATACTGCATTACATACACACTACACAAACACACACTACACAAACACACACTGGGGGGGGACTAAACAAAAAAAACATTTAAATATTAAAAAAAATATTAAAATAAAAAATTACACAAATTACATCACTACACAAACACACACTACACAAACACACACTGCACACATACTGCATTACATACACACACACTGCATTACATACACACTACACAGGCACACACACTGCATTACATACACACACTACACAGACAGACACTACACACACACCACAAACACACACTGCACACATACTTCATTACAGACACACACTACACTGCACACACACTGCATTACATACACACACTGCATTACATACACACACTGCATTACATACACACTACACAAACACAGTACACATACTGCATTACATACACACACTACATTAGGCACACACACTGCATTACAACACACACTACACAAACACACACTGCACACATACTGCATTACAGACACACACTGCACACACACACTGCACACACACTGCATTACATACACACTACACAAACACAGTACACATACTGCATTACATACACACTACACAGACACACACTGCATTACATACACACTACACAAACACACACTACACAAACACACACTGCATTACATACATACACACTACACAAACACACACACACTGCATTACATACACACACAAAAACACACTGCATTATACACACACACTACATAAACACACTGCATTATATACACACACTACATAAACACACTGCATTATATACACACACTACATAAACACACTGCATTATATACACACTACACACACTGCATTATATACACACACATCCACTACACACACACACACACAGTTCCCCTGTCTAAACACACTTCATCCACTACATGTGGCATGTATATTTTGTGCATTTACCTTTCGAATTAGTTTATTTATTCAAAATAGTAAATGTACAGAATATCGGCAAGATATCGGCTATCGGCCTGAAAGTTCGCAGATTATCGGTATCGGCTCTAAAAAATCAATATCGGTCGATCCCTAATTAAAAGAGGATGAGACTTTGGCTGGGATTATCCCCGAAAAACCACAAGTTATATTTAGGGGGGCACCCAGCTTTAAGTCCATCCTTACAAGTAATTATACTAAACATAAACATAGCACCTTATCCCCTAGTCCTTCTACCTTTTTGAATAAACCAAGCGGTTTTTATAAATGCAATAGATGCATTGTTTGCAAGCGTACGAGTAATATTATTAAGTCCAAAACTACATCGTTCACATCTACAATTACACAGAAAATATATCAAATAAAACACTTTATTCATTGTAATACCAAAAACGTGATTTATCTTCTGGAATGTCCATGTGGACTACAATATGTTGGCATGACCACTAAAAATTTAAAAACAAGATTAGCCGAACACTGTAGGAATATTTTAAAAGGCTATGAGAATCATTCTGTCTCAAAACATTTCTTACAACACGAAAAGAACCCAAAATATCTTAAGTGTTTAGGCATAGACATATGTAATGTCCCATGGAGAGGCGGTGACATTAAAAAAGTTCTTGGCAAAAGAGAAATGGAATGGACATATAATTTGAAAACCCTTGCCCCAAAAGGTCTGAATATTTGAAAACCCTTGCCCCAAAAGGCCTGAATATTGATTTTGATCTTTTAAATTTTCTATAATTTTTTACATTTTTATTTAATTTTTTTTTTTTTTTACTGTTTTAGGTCTTTATTTTACATATTTTAATAATCTCTCATAATCTTACCTCTCCCCATATCTTAATATTAACTTCTTTTATGTACATATCCCTTTTTTTACACAATTTATTTTAACATAATTGTATGTGTTGTTCTCTGTGGGAAGGCTGTTGCACAACTGTATGTATATTTTGTATGAATACTGCCTTATAAGATTATAACTTTATACTATTATATTATATCTTTTATTTGTCCATATTTGGTTTTGATCCCATAGTTTGGCTCATGCCTGCTGCCTGTCTGCCTGAGTGGACGGTCAGTGTGTGTTATGTGCCACATGAAGGCTATCTGCTTGCTGTTATCAGCAGACAGCCTTCTCTCTGCTCGATTAAACTTTTCCTCGAGCATCTGGGAGAATTCACCTCCCCTTCTATGACGCATGCGTTCCACACAAGATCTAGAGATCGCGCGTCACGTGATTGTTTTCAATATGTTACTTTTAGTGATAAAAACCTTCGTTTTTTTAATTAAAGTACTATATCTACCTCACATTCACCATATCTACATATATGTATGGAAAATCACTGTTTTTTTGTCTGTACTATTTTGAATGCTCTGATGATGTCATTTTGGCGGGAATTTTAAACCCATAACCCTATTGTATCCTATATAAACCTTGTATGTCAGGTGTGTCCCCCCTTTTTTCACTTTTATCTACTTGAAGAAGCCCCTGTGGCGAAACGTGTCTAGATATTATTTTATTACGTTACAATAAAGAATTTTTTGGCATAAAACACTTTATTGCCATTTTTTCTTGCTTGTCTTTCACCTGACTACCTATATTGCCTAATTTTCAGAAGCTTAAAGAATCCATAGGTGGGGATTATACCACCCAAGCGCTTATAGTGAGCAGTATATACCTGCTCAAAAGAATGTGAGTAATATTAATTTTATAATTTTAATATTTTACTGTAACACAGAGAGCACTCTATATTTTATTTTCTTCTTCTGGGTCTGTACTTTGGACGTTGAACGTGTACCAGAGAATCGCCATTTGAAGTCTACTCCATATATCCTTGAGTGGGGATTATTCCACTTCATGTGCTTAACATCAGAGCTGGATCCTCAGCTCTGAAAATTGTGAGTAAGACCTATCTTATTATCTCATTTTCAACGTATCTACATACTGTACCATTGGAGTCCTGTTTCTTCTTTTCTCCACATATCCTCCACTGAATCCTATATGAAGATTTGACCTTACTCCACACCCTAAAGAATCTTCTTTTATCTTTCCGTGGGACTACTCATCACGAACTTTGATACGTTTTGGACGATTGTCAACTATTTTTTTATATTATATTTTACACATAGTCTTATTACGTATTTTATTTCATATATTTTAGTATACTTTTTAGGCGCATCCTTACTGTACTGTTTGTTTTGTGTTCTTCCAATCTTTGGGGAATTGTAGGGGATCCCCTTTTGAGGAGTGCAGCCTTCATATATTGTGGCTATTTAGAGCTGATTTTTTTCTGTTTTTCCTACCGAGTATAGTGGTGTTGTGGAGACAGGCACCAAGTGTAGTGGTGTTGTGGAGACAGGCTCAGGCACCAAGTGTAGTGGTGTTGTGGAGACAAGCTCAGACACAGAGTGTAGTGGTGTTATGGAGACAGGCTCAGGCACAGAGTTTGTGGAACCTCCAACCTCTATGTCAAAGTTGAGCAATACTGCATCCAATGACAAAAAGCATAGAAGGGGAATTGGATGTACTTGTACATCTAGGGACAAATGACTTGGCTTGCAATGAGATTTCAGAGGTAAAGGAAGTTTTTTGTGTTTTTGCCAATGATATACTGCAGGTTGCTCCAAACACTGTCATTCTCTGAAGTTCTGCCTGTGCAAAACACTCAGTACGACAGGCGGATGTGTATTAGGGACTTTAACTTCTGGCTTGGTGAATGGTTTCGGGAGCAAGGATTTGGCTTCATTTCTTATGGTAGCTCTGTTTGGAATGGAAATAAACTGTACAAAAAAGATGGTTTGCATCTTTCTCAAAAGGGAACAAATGTTCTCAGTGTGCAGTTCAGAGATTTTGCTAGGATGTATTTAACCCCTTAAGGACCAAACTTCTGGAATAAAAGGGAATCATGACATGTCACACATGTCATGTGTCCTTAAGGGGTTAAACGGGTTATAAAACATCAATCCAATCCAAACAAGGACAGCAGGTGCAAATGTGTTAAAAAATAATAAGCTCAGAGTCATGTCTACAAATGCTCGCAGTTTAGGGAATAATATCCATGAACTTGTGGCAATAATGGCAACTGATAAAATAGATTTTGTAGATGTTACTGGGGCATGTCCAGTGCATGGTATAACGAGAAAAATTACTGGGACAAAGCAATACCAGGGTACTCTTTATATAGAAAAGACAGGGAAGGCGAGAAAGGGGGAGAGGATAGCATGTGAATGATAACATAAAATCTAGTCTAATAAAAGGTAGTGAGGCGAACATAGAGTCTGTTTGGGTTACGTTAGAATTTGATTTACAGGCTCCCAAGACAAATAGAAGAGTTAGATAATCTAGTAGTTGAGGAAATAGCAAAAATGACAATGAAGGGGGAAGTTATCTTTTTTTTTAATCTTCCTGATGTGAACTGGAAAACCAAAATAGCTGCTTGTGCCAGGAACACACATATTCTAAACTCCCTACTGGGATTGTCTCTAAAATAAGTCGTTGAGGAGCCAACTCGTAAAGAGGCCATACTAGATTTAGAGTTAACAAATGGAAATTTGGTATCAGATATTACTGTAGGTGAACGTTTAGGATCCGGTGATCATCAGTCAGTGTGGTTTAATATAAGAACAGTGACTGAGTCACACCTCACAAAAACAGACTTTTCTAAAATTAGAATTTGTGTAAAGGAGTCATTATCAGACTGGAGCAGATTAAATGGAGTCCAAGAGAAATGGGATTATTTAAAAGTTGCACTGCTGAATGCAACAGAAACTTGCATTAGGCTTGTAAGTAAAAGCAAAAAATTAAGAAAGCACTGTGGTACTCTGCAGATGTGTCCAAAATAGTAAAAAAAACAAAAAGTTAGCATTTAGTAATTATTAAAAAAAAACAGAGCAAGAAAGATAGACAGATCTATCAGATTGGGCAGAAAGAGGCTAAGCAAGTTATAAGAGCTCCCAAATCACAAACAGAAAAGAAAATAGCACAGTCAATAAAGAAAGGGGACAACACATTTTTAGATACATACATGAGAAAAGGAAAGTAAAAGAAGGATTAGTTAGATTAAAAACAAAAGAAGGAGGGTATGTAGAAAAGGATAAAGGTCTAGCTGACTGCCTCAATGAATATTATTGTTCAGTATTTACAGATAAAAATGAAGGAAATGGACATCAATAAAATTATGGGGAGCAGGGTGCAGCGGCTAGAGGACACCACAGCACCACACCTCCTATGTACGGAACAGTCGCCTAAACTGTGCTCTCCAAGAAGGGACAACCCTCAGCAATTTCCCACAAAATCAAAATAAATTCCCAGTCAGGTGCTCTAAAGCGAAGGGACTGCACTGGGAAAGAGCACAGCAAGTAGAAAGAAAGGAAACAGCAAAAACCCTAACTTTATTACATCTAAGGCTAAAAAGTGGGGAAAACCCAAAAGGATAAGACAACTACAGTTCTAGGGAAGAGTGGACTATAAATACCTAGTGCATTAATGTGTACTCGTCTATTAGACTCTACTCCTGGACAGAGAGAGCTCTAGGTCAGGAACTACAAGTGGACAGTCTATATATCTTTCAATGAGGATACGACATAGACCTATGTATAACCTATAGGTACCATACACCCAACTAAAGAGAGTCTAGAGATGCCTCAATATAATGTCTAATGCTTAGCTCTGTCCCTTGTTACCTCGGCACCGCACGTAGCTAGTGCCTACCTGCACCAACAAACCCTAGAGCTGTATTGAAAAAACAAATGAACTATAAAGTGCTCATAGTGCTACCCAAGTGTGAAAATAAAAGTTGAAGAACAAATTGCCCACAAGGTGCCAAGTGAATAAGCCCCTGACAGGCCACACTAGCTCATCCAGCAATGCAAGGGGGTGGAGTGGCGGTCCAGAGACAAGTCGGGAAGGGGGAGGAATACTCCCACATCATAGACATCCCATTTCCACTCGAAAATGTCACCAGTGACACAAACGGGATCAGCCCAAAGGGGCGTGTCCAGTGCAGGGTGACAATATCCGTAATGTTGTAAACCTGCCAATCATTTGTACATCTTGAATCCCCTAGTTATCCTAAGTCCTGAAAGGCGGTGTATATATATTACCCACCCCTATTTAATTTGGACATATATATGTGTCTCCAGGCTCACAAATCTACAGTGTAGACTAAGGATTATCAATACTCTGAGTATATTCCAAGGGGCATAAAAAGCATTTGATCAAGTGGCTGATAGTAATGTACTATATTGTGTGTAATCGCTTAATCTAAGTATAAAGATTTCACTTGTTATAAGATTACACTTAAAGGACCTCCCGTCCAGGATACTCCTTGGGTACACCCGAGTAATCATGTATGATCAGCCCATGATTATCCATACTTGTTATAAGGCAAGTATAGAGAAATACAATAGATTCTACATCAGAGAGATGTGATGTATCTGTCAGGATTACAGTATGATCCAACACATAGAATTGTGTAACACAGAGGACTGATAGGTAACATATACTGGACATTAGAATGGCCGGACTAACGTACCAAAGAATAGCCAGGAATAGCCGATGTCAAGGGACACAGGAAGAGACACAACAATAAGGAAAAGCTGGGGCCAGGGATGCCAGAAAACAGGGAAGTCAAAATCAATGCCAAAGTCAAATAACCAGAATCACTAACACGCTCTCGGACAACCACAAGGGAAACCACGACAGGGCACTGAGCAAGAGGAGAACTGGGCCTAAATACCCCGCCTGTGGATCTGATAGGTTGTAACCGGCCTTTGACCCCAAAGGCAGTTAGCAGGTTCCTATTTGCATGATTGCTGCTCAGCACAAACCCTCCTGTGGGTTGATTGATGCACGACACAGCTTTTCCTGTCAGGACAGTAATGTTGCTCGGCACAACTTTTCCTGTCAGAACAGTAAATGCCATTAATCACATTTTTAAGTGAAGATGAATATGTGACATTACCCCCCACAAGAAGAACGCCCACCAGGCGGGCAGGACCAGGCCTGAGAGGAAACTTGGGGTGAAAATAGCGAATCTTGCAGCCAGCATGCATATCAGATGTCGGAACCCAAGAACGATCGGCTGGTCCATAACCTTTCCAATCCACCATGTACTGTAAACTGCCCCGTGAAACCTGGAATCAATTATGGAGGAGACCTCATACTCTTCCTGTCCAGAAACAACTAAGGGAGGAGGAGGGACACTCAGGACAGTATATTTATTACAAATAAGAGGTTTGAGCAAGGACACATGAAAGGTATTAAGAATTTTCAAGGAGGCCGGACGGGCCAGAGAGTATGCAACAGGATTGATCCGACGAAGGACATGAAAAGGTCCAAGGAACCTAGGAGCAAATTTCATGCTAGGGACTTTGAGCCTGATATTACGAGAAGATAACAAAACCCTCTCACTCACTTGGTAAACAAATGAACTATAAAGTGCTCATAGTGCTACCCAAGTGTGAAAATAAAAGTTGAAGAACAAATTGCCCACAAGGTGCCAAGTGAATAAGCCCCTGACAGGCCACACTAGCTCATCCAGCAATGCAAGGGGGTGGAGTGGCGGTCCAGAGACAAGTCGGGAAGGGGGAGGAATACTCCCACATCATAGACATCCCATTTCCACTCGAAAATGGGATGCAACAGGATTGATCCGACGAAGGACATGAAAAGGTCCAAGGAACCTAGGAGCAAATTTCATGCTAGGGACTTTGAGCCTGATATTACGAGAAGATAACAAAACCCTCTCACTCACTTGGTAAACAAATGAACATAAAGTGCTCATAGTGCTACCCAAGTGTGAAAATAAAAGTTGAAGAACAAATTGGCACCTCAACGTAATTCAGCATAATGTTTGAAACGGTCAACAGCAGTACCCAGAGCAGATTGAACTTTAACCCAGGTATCACGGATGGAAGCCAGACAGTCATCCAAAGCAGGAATAGCCGTATCAGAAAAAACAGTCGGTAGGACAGTAGGATGTCAGCCATTATTAACAAAAAAATGGACTATGCCCAGAGGAGTCATGGTCAGCATTATTCCTAGCAAACTTGGCCCATGGTAGTAATTCGGACCAATTGTCTTCAGTGCTATTAACGAAACAACGCAAATATAATTCCAAGGACTGGTTAGCCCTCTCAGCTGTACCATTGGTCTGGGGGTGGTAAGAGGATGAAAAAGACAATTCAATTCCTAATTGTTTATTGAAGGCCCTCCAAAACTGAGACACAAACTGAGAACCTCTATCAGATAGTATATTGTGAGGAATGCGATGCAGACAGACAATTTATCATATAAAGATTAGTACCAGGTATTGCGATGATGGCAATTTCTTGAGTGGAATAAAATGAGCCATTTTAGAAAAATGGTCCACAATCATGAGAATAGCGGTATAACCATTAGAACTAGGAAGTTCAACAATGAAGTCCATGGACAAGTGGGACCATGGAACCTCAGGAATAGGAAGAGGTTGCAACAAGCCACAAGGGAGTTTATGAGGTAGTTTGGAAACCGCACAAACAGAACAAGCCTGCACATACTCCTTAACATCCTTCCTGAGGGAATCCCACCAGAAAGACCTCAGGATAGCAGAAGTGGATTTATTAATCCTGGGTGACCAGCAGACACATTGTCGTGAAACACCTTCATGATATTAACCCTTTCCCCCAATGGAACGAACAATTTGTCCTGAGGTTTACCGCAGGGCACCTGAGACTGAGCCTCCATTATGGAGCCAAGCAGTGGAGATGACAATGAAAGGACGCAATAATACATTCCGGAGGAATGATATGGGATGTTTCTTGCTCTAGTATAGCCTCAGTATCAAACTGCCTGGACAAGGCGTTGGCCTTGACATTTTTAGAACCAGGTCTATAAGTGATAAGAAAATTAAAGCGAGCAAGAAATAGAGACCACCTAGCTTGTCTAGAAGATAATCGCTTGGCATCTCCTATGTAAGCCAGGTTTTTGTGATCAGTAATGATCAAAAGGGGGTCCTTGGAACGCCAACAATTCTCTATTGCAAATATCGTAATTGCGCTCAGCAGGAGACAACTTTCTAGAAAAGTAACCACAAGGTTGTTGCAGAGTTTCCTGGCTCTCCCTCTGGGAGAGAACTGCCCCTACCCCTGTCTCTGAAGCATCAACCTCCAGTATGAAAAGCTTACTAGTGTCAGGATGTATCAATATGTCGGCGGAGGCAAACCGCTGTTTGAGAGTTTCAAAGGCTTCAAAATCCTTCTTAGACCATATCGTATTACTAATCCCCTTGAGTGTTATATTGGTGATGGGGGTTAATACCGAAGAAAATCCCTTTATAAATCTTCTGTAATAATTGGCGAAAACAATGAATCTTTGAATGGCTTTCAACCCAGTGGGTAAAGACCATTGTAGAACAGACTCTAGTTTTTTAGGATCCATCTGAAACCCTGAGGCAGAAATCTTATATCCTAAAAACTGTACTTCAGACTGGTCAAATATAAATTTTTCCGATTTACAATAAAGTTGTTTTTTTTTAACAAAGTTTGCAGAACTTGTTTAACGTGATCGTGGTGAGACTGAAAGTCAGGAGAATAAATAAGGATATCATTCAGATATACCAACACAAACAAGTAAATGTAATCCCTGAGTACATCATTAATGAAATCTTGGAAAACTGCTGGAGTGTTGCACGAACCAAATGGCATCACTAGATATTCATAGTGTCCACTTCTGGTATTAAATGTAGTCTTCCACTCGTGGTTTTCCTTGATTCTCACTAAATTGTAAGCGCTTCTAAGGTCAAGCTTAGTAAACACTTTAGGGCCCTGGAGTCTGTCAAATAATTCAGCAATAAGAGGAATGGGGTAGGCGTTCTTAATGGTGATTTTTTTCAATGCCCTGTAATCGATACATGGGCGCAACTCACCAACCTTTTTAGATACAAAAAATAATCCTGCACCAGCAGGTGAGGATGATTTTCGGATATGGCCATTATTCTATGAATCCTCCATTACACTACTCTTCTGAGAAAATAGAGCATAGACTGCTCCCTTAGGTGGCATAGCGCCGGGTAGTAAGTTAATGGAACAGTCATATGGTATGTGAGGAGGTAGCGTATTAGACAGAGTCTTGCTGAATACTTATTTAATGTCACGGTATTGTATAGGGATCTCGCGATTTTGAGGTGTACTAGTGGGTAATTCAATAGTGCCCACTCTTTTGGTGACATGCAATATACACCTTTCATTACACGCCTTACCTCATTCTAATATTTCCCCATTAGCCCAGTCAATGTGAAATTTATGCTTGCTAAGCCATGGAAATCCTAATATGATAGGACAAGAAGGAGATGCAATCACCTGAAATGTAATCTCTTCATTATGTAAGGCACCAATGGAAATATTAATGGGTAAGGTTTCATGCGTTATCAATGGTTGTGAGAGTGGTCTCCCATCAATAGCTTCAACGGCTAGGGGTGATAGACTCTCCTTGAAGGGTATAGTATTATCCTTGACAAATTGGACATCAATGAAATTTGAAATTATTTTTGTCAAGAATAATCAAAATATCAATGAGAAGTCTATATTTATTCTTTTCAGAGGACGTCTCCATTATACCTAAGACCTGTCTCCTTAAGGCGCTTAGGTGCGGTAGTTTCTTCGGACGAATGGTACAATTGTCTCTCATATGTCAATTACTATCGCAGTATAAACATAGACCTTCGTTTCTCGGCCTCTGACAGTCTAGTGACCCCAACTGCATGGGTTCAGGTTCGGACTGTATAGGAAGGTCAGGAACAACAGGTTTGAAGAGATGAGGTGTTAAAAGCATAGTCGTACGTCTGGTCTTATTTCTAGTATTCTCTCTGGTTCTTAGTCTATTATCAATTTGCATAACAAATGTGATGAACTCGTTAAATTTCTTGGGTAGATCTTTGGCAGCAATCTCATCTAGCATAGTGTCAGATAGTACCTTTTTAAATGCAGAGATTAGCCCACTGTTAGTCCAGTCTACCTCGGAAGCCAGGGTACGAAATTCTATGATAGACCAGTTCCCTTGTCTGATGTGCATCAGGGCAGTGGAGGCGTCATCCTTCCTGCCTAACGGTTCAAAAGTAAGTTTAAATTCCATAAGGAATTCCTGGTAATTGTGTGCCACACTCTTATTACTCTCCCATAACGGATTGGCCCACGCTAAAGCTTTACCTTTTAGTTGGTTCATCAGGTAACCAATTTAACGCTATCTGTGGGTAAGGCCTAAAAATGATATTCTATTTGGTTAATGAATCTCCGGCATTCTTGAATATTACCAACAAAATGCAGGGGAGGAGATAGAGAGATAGTGGGCACCTTGTATACTATAGGTGGAGGTGAGACGGTAGAGGAGACCACAGGCTGCAGATGTGCTATTCAGGAAAAAAGCGTATTGAAGGCCTGGGCAAATTGATCCATGCAGTGATCATTCTCCTCTAGTTTCCTTTGGGAAGCAGCTATGTGCTTACACAATTCTACAGGATCTATGGCCATGTCATAATGTCAGGATTACAGTATGATCCAGCACATAGAATTGTGTAACACAGAGGACTGATAGGTAACGTATACCGGACCTTAGAATGGCCGAACTAACGTACCAAAGAACAGTCAGGAATAGCCGAGGTCAAGGGACACAGGAAGAGACACAACGATAAGGAAATGCCAGGGGTCAGGGATGCCAGAAAACAGGGAAGTCAAAAACAATGCCAAAGTCAAATGACCAGAATAACCAGAATCAATAACGGACAACCACCAGGGAAACCACGGCAGGGCATTGAGCAAGAGGAGAACTGGGCCTGTAGATCTGATAGGTTGTAACCGGCCTTTGACCCCAAAGGCAGTTAGCAGGTTCCTATCTGCATGATTGCTGCTCAGCACAAACCCTCCTGTGGATTGATTGGTGCACGGCACAACTTTTCCTGTCAGGACAGTAATGTTGCTCGGCACTACTTTTCCTGTCAGAACAGTAAATGCCATTAAATAAATTTTTATGTGCAGATGAATACGTGACAGTATCATTGTTCTATTTCCCTCTATATGTACTAATAAAAATGTTAATCCTAATGTGATCAAAAATATCCCCATATATAAAAGAACCATAAAAGATCGAAAGAACGTATAAATAAAAGAAGATAACAAAGTTAGTGTAATTGGTTAATTTGTTTGCTGATTAGTATAGCTAAATCCACATCTGATTCAAACATGAGTGTGGCAAACCTAGCCACTTTTAGAGTAAATGGCTGTATCTGCAAAGGTTGTCTGTATAAGCCGCGGGACTGTTATATTTTAATGTCTGCATGTACTGCTATGTCCTAGAGCATTCGTATGCTAGCAGCCAAAAGCCGCTAGCATTCATGTATTCGTTTCATGAACAGGGACTTTACCTGCTGTTCGTGAAATGAATGAGATACCACCCAGTAGCTCACACACAGAGGGTCGTGTGGCACCCATTAACCGATTGCAACAATGTTGCAATCGGTAGTTAAGTGCTTTCCTAGGTGGCCGTCGTTCAGCTCCCGACCACGCGGCAGTCGGCCATCTAGGATCCTTTGTTTCACCAGCGGTGTTTGGTCGTCGAGTGTGTGGAACTGAAATTGGCTACTCGACGGCACGAACACCGCTGGGCTTCCAGGCCGTTCAGGAGCTCCGGTCTTTCACTATAATGGTTCCCCATCGGTGTTCGGTACTTTTAGGCGAACCTAATGTTAAAGTGCATTTCGTGAAGCGTTCGGTTATTTATGCTGGGATCTGAGCGGTATTCTCACGAAATGTGCGCTCAGACCCTAGCTATCTACTGAACGTCCATTCGTTTAAATAACGTGAATGATGGAAAAGTTATATATTTTAATGTAAAAATTTGGCTCTGCTTCATGGAGGGATAATCCACTTAACGGTATATTCCAGTGGGAGTATCCCTCTCGTTCAGCAGGGCCTGATGGGAGAAATGTCCAGATTGTTAAGTCCCCCATGTAGTCCCCTACTGTATAACCCCTGCAATGTCAGTAGGGAAACCCCTTGCATGGGGACTTGCATAAATACTGTGACTTGTGAATAAAAGCTCAGTTGACTCCCAGAACTGTGTTTCGTACGGTTACTGGGGGGATTTGGGATATTGCCTTACTTTTCAGTGCTTTACTTTGGATTACCCTCTGTACCAGCGGAGATCGTGGAATTTAATATTGCAGTTCCGCTACAATGAGTATAATAATGACATTAGATGAATGTCGAGAAGGAGAAGCCTTCAAAGTATTTAATTTATATATCCAAAAGGCTTCCCTGGTGTAGGTGTCTAGAGATAGAGCCTCTTCACCAAATTTACATGTTCCCGGGTACGACATTTAAAGGGCTTAAAGATTTTACCCATGTAGTTTAAGCCACATGCACTAGTGAGGAGATAAGATAACCCCCACTGATCGGCAATTGAAAAAGGAACGTGACTTAAACCATTCAGTTTGGCAAATTCTTCAGAGTTTCTAGATACATAACGGCAGGCACAATGTCCGCATCAATATGTTCCTATGGGTAAATATTGTTTTATGTGGGTTGGCGCGAAGGTACTACAGTGACTTGGCACCAGAATGTCCCTTAGATTCTCCCCCCTACATACAGTGACTGAGGGGAAGGGATCTTTTAAAGATGTCCTGCATAATGTCAAAAGTACCTATACAACGTATGGGAGGAGTCTCTAATCTTGTTATGATGTGTGTCAGTGTATATGTGTCAGTATCTCTGTTTACATGTGTGTGTCAGTGTGTGTATCTGTATATCTGCACTTGTATCTGTGTGTCTTTATCTGTATGTGTGTCAGTGATTGCATCTGTGTGACTATGTATCTGCATGTGTGCCAGTATGTCTGTGTCTATTTGCATGTGTGTCAATGTTTGTGTAGGTGTGTATCTGTGTATCTGCATGTGTGGCAGTGTTTGTACCTGTGTGTCTGTACATTTGTATATGTGTTAGTGTGTGCATCAGTATGTCCATGTAACTATATGTGTGTCAGTGTGTAAATCTGTGTATCTGTATGTATGTCAGTATGTGTAGTAGTGTGCCTGTGCAACTGCATGTCTGTCACTGTGTGTATATACATGTATGCCAGTATGTGTCTCAGTGTTTGCATCTGTGTGTCTGTGTATCTGCATGTGTGGCAGAGTTTGTGTCTGTCTGTATATCTGTAAGTGTGTGTATCTGTATGTGTCAGTGCATGTGTGTCATTGTGTATTTATTATATTTTATTTATAAAATATTTTACCAGGAAAGATACATTGAGATTTCTCTCGTTTTCAAGTATGTCCTGGGTCCACAAAACATTGCATTGTTACATTAGAGTACAATAAAATACAAATACAATACAAATACAAAAACACTATTAATACACAATATATACAAAATGTAGCATTGAACAGGTAGGAAATATATAATCACTCATGACGTGCATTATGTTTTGAGGTATGTAGAGAGGGATCTCTTAAAGGACTCTAGGCTTGGGGAAGATTTTAAAGTGTGCGGGAGGTCGTTCCACAATTGCAGTGCTCTGTAGGAGAAGGAGGATCGGGGTGCGTTCTTTTTGTATTGAGGTAGACTAAATAAAGTGCTGGTACTGGATCGGAGGTTATTCACTTTCAAACAGATGTAATTTACCTTAAATAATTGTATCTCAATCTCTAAAATGAACTTTAATCACATACAGGAGACTCTTGCGGGGTCTAGCAAGCTGTTGACATAGCAGGGGATAAGAAAATCTTAATTAAACAGAACTTGCAATAAAGAAAGCCTAAATAGGGCTCTCTTTACATGAAGTGTTTATGGAAGGCTGTGCAAGTCACATGCAGTGAGGTTTGACTAGGGTTCATAAACAAAGGGATTTAACTCCTAAATGGCAGAGGATTGAGCAGTGAGGCTGCAGGGGCATGTTCTATACACCAAAACTGCTTCATTAAGCTAAAGTTGTTCAGGTGACTATAGTGTCCCTTAAAGGAAATCTTTTTTTATTGTGAGCGTTATAAAAGACCATTGATCCTGAGAGTGGGAAAGATATGTAGTTAATTTTGTTTTATTGTCTTTATATTCATACATCTTGTTTTCACTTAACTGTTGTATAATAATTAGTAAGAAAAAAAAAAAACACTTAAAGAAGTAGTGTGCTACCCAATACATGTTAATATGCCCCCAAAGGACAAATAACTGAAAATCCTATATACACAGAAACACAAACATACCTTATTTCTCACAGCAGGAAGCAACGCATTGAAGCAGGTAGCCAAGAAAACCCCCCCAGCAAATGCATTACAAAGGCTGAGAATTCGACGAGATCTGGAAGCCTTCTCACAATCTGCCACAATTATCTTGACTGGTAGAAGAGATCCCAACATCATGAGGACAAACACTGCCAGCAAGCACAGCAGCTTGGCTACAATGAGATTCATCTTGATTGATATGTTGTTTATAGATCACTGACGGAAAAAATAGCCCAAGCCAGACTTTCAGCTTCAAGTGAAAAAATGAACTGGAGATGGTACCATCCTCATCGTTTATCGGTGGACTAAACAGGGGAAACAAAATGAAGGATGTCACATGAATAGAGACAGGAAATTCAATTTAACTGTGCATCCAGTGTAAAACATATGGAATTGTCAATGAAGCTTTTAATAATACTGGACAAGTAACATCCTTATGGTTTATCTGCAAACTACATAAAACCATAATTCTTACGCGAAATTTATTTTCCTTTTAATCTTCTAGCAGCACATACCGCAATATAAGCCTTAAGGTAGGATAGGAAATAGAAAGAAAACTATAAAAACTTACCCCTTTAAGAAGAAATTTATATCAAAGAAAGTTCAGTCAACCATGTTAAGCTAAAATATCAGAAGTGTATTTACCAGGGGTGTACTCACTTTTGTTGCCAATGGTTTAGACATTAATGGCTGTGTGTGGAGTTATTTTGAGGAGATAGCAAATGTATAAAGGTTGTACACTTACTACTTTACATTTTAGCAGAGTGTCATTTCTTCAGTGTTGACACGTGAAAAGATACACTGCCTCGCTAAAAAAAAAATATAAAAAAAGTTGCCACCAAACAAAAAGTTCACACACACTAATATTTAGTTTGGACTGCCTTTAGCTTTGATTATAGCACGCATTCACTGTGGCATTGTTTCAAAAAGCTTCTGCAATGTCACAAGATTTATTTCCATTCAGTGTTGCATTCATTTTTCACCAAGATCTTGCATTAATTAAGGAGAGATTTGGACCACTGCGCAACGCCTTTTCCAGTACATCCCAAAGATTCTCAATAGGGTAAAGGTCTGGACTCTGTGGTGGTCAATCCATGTGTGAAAACTATGTCTCATGCTCCCTGAACCACTCTTTCACAATATGAGCCTGATGAATCCTGGCATTGTCATCTTTGAATATGCCCATGCCATCAGGAAAGAAAAAATCCATTAATGGAATAACCTGGTCATTCGGTATATTCGGGTAGTCACATGACCTCATTCTTTGGGCACATAATGCTGCTGAACATAGGCCTGACCAACTGCAGCAACCCCAGATCATAGCACTGCCCTACAGGCTTATACAGTAGGCACTAGGCATAATTAAACAGAACTTGCAATAAAGAAAGCCTAAATAGGGCTCTCTTTACATGAAGTGTTTATGGAAGGCTGTGCAAGTCACATGCAGTGAGGTTTGACTAGGGTTCATAAACATGCCTAGTGCCTACTGTATAAGCCTGTAGGGCAGTGCTATGATCTGGGGTTGCTGCAGTTGGTCAGGCCTATGTTCATCCTTTCATCTGCCTCTCTTCTTTCCCTGATGTGCCCATCACTGGAGTTTCCCCACTATCCTTCCAGTTTTTAATAATGTGTTGGACAGTTCTTAACACAATTTTGGTAGGTTCTGCAATCTCCTTAGATGTTTTCTCTGCTTAATGCATGCCAATGATTTGACCCTTCTCAAACAGACATCTTTTCCTCAAACACGGATGTGTCTTTCGACATGGTTGTTTAAGAAATGAGAAGCTACTCATTGCATCAGTTGGGGTTAAATAACTTTTTGCCAGCTGAAAGATAAACGCCCATGCAGTAACTATCCAATAGGAGGCTCTTACTTATTTTGACATTTTATATAAATATATAAATATAAACACACACACACAATACAAAATTCCTTGCGCTCACGCTTAATATTCTTTGTGCCTTAACTGCCTTAACCGGGTGCCAATCCTTGTAGGGGTCTTTATATAGACAAATTAAAAATGCAGGCTGCACTCACGGTCTTAAATTTCAATGGTGTTTATCAAACAGACAGATCAACGTTTCGGTCCACGCAGGGACCTTCCTCAGGATCAAGTGACTCAACAGTAAAATCAAACAACTTCAAATATATAACTACAATCATTATAGATAAGTGACTTACCCCAGGTGTTGTGCTTAATCCCCGGTGTTCACCCCATTTCACTGCGCATGTGCGACAACCTGTGTGCCCTGACGTTGACCCGCGACCCATGCGTGATGATGTAACAAACACGTCGTTGCCTAAGCAACGTTTGTACACATCTCCATGGGAACCGCTACGGATCAAGTACAAAAATAAGTGAAACAGAGAATAGCCTAGCAGGGTGAAAAGACATATGGGAAATAAATGTGAAATGATAGAAAGAATAATGGGTGAATTAAAGTAAAATAGATGAATTAAAGTAAAAAAAATAATTTAAAAGAACAAACTATGATATTTGTGCCAATATGCAAATACTTTAGATCCTTAGTCTTATAACTTAAAAGACAAAAACTACTTCCATATATATAATGGTCAGTATCTTATATTATGGACTTTATGAGTCCTTGCATATTTATTATAGTGCCTAAATTTGCTTCATTGCACATAAATACTGTAAAGTACAAAAACCTACGTATTTACACTTAAGTCCTAATGCTATGTACAATGAATAATGAATCAAAAACTGCTAAACATATGGGAAAACCAACCTATCAGGTGCTTCTATCCTATTTGAGTAAGATGGCATATTGGGGAACTCAGTGCCACCGGCGAGCCAAATGAAGTTAATACTGAGAGTCATCTAACTATAATTAAAGTGTAATATGGATTTGCACAAGCATGTCAATCATGAGTGTAAACATTATAAGTCATACAGGAGCAGCTAGTTGTAGTGTAACAATAAAAAGAGACTTCTGCTGGCAATACTTATTATTCAAATAAAGGTCATTTTACCATTCAACAGAGTGCTTATACTTTAGACTATTTATATAGTAAACCCGACAGGCTGGCTATACGTTCCAATTACATTCAAAACTAATTCATGTAAGCAGCGCTTTCGCTACAGAAAGGAGTGATATGTATTCATTTTGTTAAGTCCTCTGGGTGAGACTGTATCAAGCCTGAATATCCAAAAGGTTTCCCTTAAGCAGCGACCTTCCTCTATCTCCTCCTCTGCGTGGCTCACGGATATGATTAATTTTATGGCAAGACAGGAGGCTTCAGATTTGCTTTACTTTCTTTACTGTAACTCCCAGCAGCAAAGAAACAGTTAACAGTAAGTAAAAAATTTAACCAATCCGAGTGTACAATAGAGTATGTCCAGTCATCAGACTCCTCCCAATTCCTCTTTCTTTGCTGCTTAGCCTCCCAGGTGAGTCTATTCAAAGTACAGCTTATTTACAATCTTCATATACATATATATTTTAACAGATTCAAATTCAGCTCTATCTCACTAAAACATACTATGCTTATTAATATCCAAAAAGCTGCCTTACTAGAAGGTAGCCAATAGGAAAGGAACCCAGTCCAATCTCAAAAGTAAGTATAAAGAGTACCAAAAAAACAAAACTTTATTAGAATATAGTCAAAGCCTAGGGCTAAACAAAGATGTCTAGGATCCAGGGCCGGACTGGGAATTAAAAGCAGCCCTGGAAAAAAAATATTTACCAGCCCCATAATGCGTCGCGCCAGCATAGTGTGCAGATACAGAGTTAGAACAGATAAATTAAAATTAAAAAGTACTTCAACGTAAAAAGCGCACTCATAGGCTTCAAAATAAATAAAAGTGCAGATTTATTTTAAGCAGACGTGCCTTTGCATGTAATCAATGTTTCAGTCCAACTACCTTGACATATTAAGGAAAGCTTGTTAATGGGACTGAAATGGTGAATGTATGTAGGGCACAACTGTAAAAAATTTTTATTTTGAAGTCCTGTGGGTGTGCTCTTCACTTTAAATATGTTATTGTGCTGGAGTATGCACCTAGCAACAAGACTGGGCCAATATCTGCTCATTACATATGGTACATATTAATGAAATTTCTCTGTGTATTATGCATATATAAATGTACATTAATATGTGTAAATAATATATATATATATATATATATATATATATATATAACTAATATACATGTCATATACCAGTGACGGATCCAGAGCCTGAGCCCAGGAGGGGCACTTGTAGATTATTTAAATAAATATTCCATGCACAATAACCACTACTCCTCTGTGTAGTGGTTATGGTACCAGGAGTGTCGGCACCCCCTCCCAGAGTAAGTAGTCAAACCGTTTAAGAACAGTTTGACAACTTACCTGGCATCTGCTGGGATATGGGGCTGTAGTAGGGTATAGGAGCAGTGGTGCAATGTGTGAGTGGGGCAGTGTGTGAATGTGTATGGTGTGTGTGGGGGCAGTGTGTGAATGTGTATGGTGTGTGTGTGTGTATGTGTGTGGGCAGTGTGTGTATGGGGCTAGAGTTCACTCCTACTACTGCGACCACCAGGAAGTGGTGAGAGTGAACTCTAGCCCGTAGCTCCAGGGCTAGAGTTCACCCTCGTGAGAGCCGGAGCGTTGCCCCAGGTCCTCTCTTTCTCCCCCTCACTGCTCCTCTGTGTCAATGTCTCCCCTCTCCTTCCCAGTCTCTCTCTTCCCCCTCTGCCTCTTTTTTCCCCTTCCCTTGTGTCTCTCTCATTTCTCCCTCTTTCTCTCTCTTCTCCCTCTGCCTCCTTTCACCCCCTTTCTGTGTCTCTCCCTCCCCCCTTTCCCTGTGTCTTCCCCTCTCCCTCCCCCCTTTCCCTGTGTCTCTCCTCTCCCCTCTCCCTCCCTCCTTTCCCTGTCTCTCCTCTCCTCTCTCCCTCCCCTTCCTGTGTCTCTCCCTCTCCTCCCCCTTTCACTGTGTCTCTCCCCTCTCCCTCCCCACCCTTTCCCTTTGTCACTCTCCTCTCCCTCTCCCTCCCCCCCTTTCCTGTGTCTCTCCTCTCCCTCCCCCCCTTTCCCTGTGTCTCCTCTCCCCTTTCCTGTGTCTCCTCTCCCCTCTCCTTCCCCAGCACCCTCCTCTCCCCCCCTTTCCCTGTGTCTCTCCTCTCCCCCCCACTCCTGTGTCTCCTCTCCCCCCCTTTCCCTGTCTCTCCTCTCCCCCTTTCCCT